AGGGAGCATCAGGACAGAACACGATGGGTATAAGAATGTGTTGGATTTCATTATTACACTCGTTGTGGTCAACTTATTATACTGTACTCTCTTACAAGTTCTTTACTTAACAAGATTAGTACTTTGTTATTCTATCTTACTATAGAATTGATTGTCTTTACTATTGGTTAAACATCCATAACTCTTTTCCACCTGAATTACTCGGCAATCACACGGCTTACCACGAACCCGCTGACTCGCCCTAACCCGGATCGAGTCCTAGCTAAGTATAGTCGAACCCCGTGTAACACTGTGATCAACTTGATAGTAGAAACTAATTGTATTGATTGCTCTATCTCTGTCTCTAGCGGCGCGTTAGCGCGCCGCCTTATAAGCGCTATCGCTATTGCTTTTTGTATTAGGTAGGCGGCTGAGTATTAGCCCTGCCTAGGGGTAGACCTTGGCGCTTGGTTCTAATCGGCCTAGATTACAGAATCCGGGTGCTTAGTTACACCTAGATTCTGCCACTTATCTAACACACCCCCTTAGCTTAGAGCTAATTAGGATTGTAAGCTGGACTATTAGTTAGTTAGATCGCTAGACGCTTAATTTGATCCTAGATCTCGAGTAGAGCCACTTTTTGAGTTGCGTCTTAAGTCTGGCTTTTTGTTAGCCCTAGTTAAGTTAGAAATCGCTGCTACTAGTTTACTAGGAGAGCTTTAGTGAGTCTGTCTGCTGTTATATCTAATAATTAGGTGTAAGTGACTTTAATCCGTCCACTAGCGACTTCTTGTCTTAGCTAGTGGTTGTGGATATCCACGTGTTGAAGCTTAGTTTAGAGTCTTGATATTTCCTAAGTAACTAGCTAGATAGTTTGCTAGTTATTGCACTAGATTTTAATCTAATCTAGCAAGTTAATCTTAAGTTCTTTGATTAGTCTTGATACAAAAATGGCTTCCTTAGCTACTTAGGATAGAGCTAGAAGCTTGGCTTTAGTAGTGGACGTAGTGACGGTATCTTACTTGCTAGCTCGCTAGGCGATTAGTCCGCTAAATAGCTTAATTGTGTAGCCTTAGGAGCTTTTGCGATCTAGCGTATTGTTAGCAAATAAGGCGTTACTAGCTACTTGCATAGAATTGCCTAATCTTAGCTGCAGCGCTAGGTGCTTAGTCTCTTTGAGGTAGAGTAACACTCAATCTACAGCCCTCTAGTGTTCTTGGCTAGGATTAGAGAGAAACCTAGCTAGATAGAACGTTGCAAAAGCAATATCTGGCCGAGTATTAATAGCTGCGTAGAGTAGGGATCTAATCTTGCGTTGATATTTGTTAATTTCTAGTAGAGTAGCTAGCCTGTCTTGTAGCTTTAGCTTAGCACTGCCTATTGGTGTATTATGTTAGACAGTCCAATCCTTAGCTAGTTGGCTAATCTTCTCGCAGTAAGCACTTTAGGATAGGTGGATAAGTCAATTTTCTCGATCTCTCCTCACTTCGATCCCAAGAAACCACTGAATATCGTCCCCACCAGTCATTGAGTAAGTCCTTTTGAGATCTTCTACTAATATAGTAGCCTGGTGTAGCTGGTTTTGGCGATAGGCAATATTGAAATCATCTACATAGAAGAAGACTAGAGTGCTGTCCTTAATTATACAGCATGGCTCATAGGGTATAGTCTAAAACCTAAGCTTAGTGAGCGTCGCTATAAAGTCTTGTTGCTATAACGCTGGCAATATCCGCAGCCTATAGAGTGCCTTTTAGAGCTTAAGTATAGTACTTAGCTTCTAATATCTATAGGGCATACGCATGTACACTTCTCTATTAAGTCAGGCGTGCACGAACGCGTTAGTGACGTTAAACTACTTAACTTTAAGGTTATATTTAGCAGCAATAGCCATAAATAGACAAAAGGATCGTCTAGCTAGGGTAGCAGCGTAGGTGTCTTAAGAGGTAATATTCCGCTACTAATCGCCCCTAACTACTAGTCGTGCCTTGCACTTAAGAAACTAGCTTTCTTGATTGAATTTGTAGGTAAATACCCACATGCAGTCTAGGATCTAATGTCCACTTGCCTTAACTGCTTTATGTAGTACTTCTACCTATAAGTTGGTGATCTTGTGGCTGTCTAGATAAGCGCGTTAGGCTTCTTTGAACAGCTCGCCTATTGGATGCTCGTCTAGATTTAATCTAGCTGTTGGTGGCTTAGGGACTGTTCTTGACGATTGGATTTTGGGCGCACCTGCTGCTTCTCCACTCATGAGCTGAGCTAGTAGCGCTGCTGGTGGTGGAGTGACTGGAGGCGTTGGATAGTGCTCCTGAATCTTTCTTCCTATGTAGTAGCCTGGTGGATCTTCTAATTCGTCGATCTCTTCTGTTATATTGATAGTGTCGTCTTTATGAAACGACTCCGTCCTAGTGTCTAGGATTAGTGGTGGGAGCTTAATAGTCTAGACGTATGCTGCAATCTCTAATAGAGTGCTGTGCATAAGGCTGTCTATTAGATCTTTAACTTTCCTATTAAATATTGTATCTTCGTTAAAGATTACATCTCTAGTGCTAATAACTTTAGCAAGAGATGGGATCTAAATTCGATAGATTGTCGACGCCTGGTAGCTAACTAGATAGCCAATCTAAGCTTTGGGATCAAGTCTCTATAGCCTTGATTTGCCGCAGTGAGTATTGTTAGTTATTGCGAACGCCTTGCACCCATATGCCTTAAGGTAAGCTAGTCTAGGCTTCTTTAGTGTAACTATCCTACTAGTCTAGGATGCATAGGTGAAGAAGACTTTATAGGGTGTCTTCCACTAATTAACGTAGTTTAGCGTTCGATTGTATAGGTATACTGCGGCTTGTGTGACTTCTAGCTAGAGTTCCTATAGTAGATTTGCGTCTAACCGCATTACACGCGCCTTCTCTTTATTCACACCCCTTAAGCGTTTAGCGCTACTGTTTTGTGCTTAAGTGTTTAGTGCTAAAGGCTTAACAGCGATACCTTAGGCTTGGAGCTAGCGTATCACTTTAGGCTTAATAATCGCGATTTTGTTGTCTATTTTAACGACTTTAGGCGTGATATTGTATTAATTTTAGAGGAAAGTAAGGAAGTTTAAGAGTATTTAGATAATTGATTTGGCTGTCTAATTGTCTGTGAGATAGAAGTCCCACTAGAGTTGTGAGTGCTTGTCTGTGATTAATAGCTGTGATAACTCCTTATTGTAGGACTATTTCTTATAGGTATAGAAATTGATAGTTAGCCTCTTACTATGCTTCTAATTATTTGTTCTTAGAGCGCGACTGATCTATTGGCGGATTTTTGCTCTCCCACACGCGTTGCACTGCACTATTGTTATTCTCTTAATCTACACCCCCTTAGCTTGCTAGACTAGGTGCTTAATCGCTGCTGGCCTTAGGTGTCCTAGTCTCTTATGCTAGAGGAGAGCAGGCGCCTGTTTAGGTCGCTAACGCGTTCGGGACGTGTGGGTGTGCGCGTGTAGGGCTACTCTATCTACTAATCCAGCCAGCTAGTGCTCCAGCACCTATTGCCTATATAGCTCTGCCAGCTCGCAGATAGTTGATCCGTCTAATCGCCTGATTGCTGTGGGGTTTGATTGGGTGTCCTACTAGATTCCTTGCTTTCTTAGTACTCTGAAGGAGACGATATTGTAGAGGATATCTAGGCAGATTGCTACATTGTGGAGCACGAGTTTCACTAGTGTCTGGTTGTGCTTCAGCTAGAGTATGATTGACCTATATCCTCTGATCTATATCTGGCTATTGCCTGCCTATATAAAGTCTCCTTAGATTGGTGGACGATAGTTATAGATCTGACTAGGGCTATTTGTGATATGACATGTTGATCCTAAGTTAAAGATAAAGGAGTTTCTTAATGGATATTTGTGGTGATCTAATATAGATATCGCGGAGAAACTGGCATTAATCTCTGAGATCTGTCGTCTAAATAGTCAGTTATTAGTTAAGTTTGGTATAGGGGTTTGAGATTGCTTAATAGCTGGAGTTCTTGTCCTTGGCCGACTTTGGGCTCTTAGGAGACTCTGAAATTCTAAGTCATTTGCTTTTCTAAGCTTAATTGATTCCCGAATAATCTGATTCGGCTTCCACCAACTAGGTGCCTTCTTCTGATCTAAGTAGAAGCACTGGTAAAGTGGGTGGCTCCCGTCGCACGCGGGACAGGGAGCAGAGATTTTACGAGCTCTGGTGCTTCCTAGAGACGGTGATCTAGCTCCGGTGCTTGCCAGTTTACCTGGCATGAGCCTAGTGCTTCCTGGAGACGGTGATCTGGCTCTGGTGCTTGCTAGTCCACCATGACTTTGATAATTTATAGAGCTGGGTGAGGGATCCTGGTCATCCACAGCTGTACGTTAATACTAGGGTCTACCCCGCTTACGACTCTGAGAGTTCCCCATAGTAGCCTGCTGGGCGTCCCCTTCTAGCTGGGTAGATCGGTAATTACTAGCGAGGTATGACGATTCCTCCATTACAAAGGCTGCCTTCTGGCTTCTACCTCTTGTGACTGGGTGATTTAGTGTTATATATTCTCGAAACCGTCTTATTATGTCCTTCTAGCTTAAGCTAGGTTAATCCTTTCTAGTAGCTTGGAAGGTTGCTGCCTAGATAGAGGCTATCTTGTTTACTGCTAACGTAAAGTCTGCAGCTATGATATTAATCTAGGATACCTCTAGTACTTTTAGCATCTTGGCTTCTGATGCGGCTTGGCTGTATTTAGTGAGCTAGAGATCCTAGACGTTCACTGAACGTGGAGGCTTAAGAGTATTATAGTATCTTGTACGAGCTTGTTTCTGCTTAAACTTTGATGCAATCCTAGCCTCTAGCTTTAGGTTCTTAACCCACTGTTTGAGTGGTTCGCTGGGTAGACAGCAGGTGCGCTGGAGATATGGCGCCATAGTGGACTGAATTAGCACTACTATGTGCTGTAGGCTGGCTAACTTGGTCTTGTATGCAGCGTATTTTAGCTTATAGCTCTCTATTTGAAGCTTGTAGACTTTAAGATTGTTCTTATAGGCTCTCTGCCCTGATGAGGATAGATTAGATAGTTAAGCTGGCACTCCTCCTTCTCCTAGCGCTGATGAAGGTGTATACTTGGAGATATTAGGGAGCATTGGCTGGGTTGGCTCCACTAGTGGTGTAATGATTGAGTCTGGGTTGACTTGGGCCTATACTTTATAGGCTTCGCATTAGGCTTGTAGCTGGTTATACCAGGTGCAGTAGTCGTTTCTGTTGCGTAGGATAACTATCGCGTTAATTGGAGTAGATTAGGCGTTTATGTTAATTAGCTTAGTAGCGGCACTATTGCGGATTTAATTAATTAGTTAAGATAGTTTTAGGTTGGTAGAGGCAGTGAGACTCTTAATTGTCAGACTATAAGGGTTTTTCTAATTAAGGATTGATTTAGATCACTGTGATAAAGGACTGTAATTAACTTAATAGTAGAAACTGATTGTATTAATTGCTCTATCTCTATCTCTAGCGGCGCGTTAGCGCGCTGCCTTATAAGCGCTATCGCTATTGCTTTTTGTATTAGGTAGGCGGCTGAGTATTAGCCCTGCCTAGGGGTAGACCTTGGCGCTTGGTTCTAATCGGCCCGGATCACAGAATCCGGGTGCTCAGTTACACCCGGATTCTGCCACTTATCTGACAGAAGGAGGTCTAGATTATATGTTGGATGTTACTGCACGTTTAGGTTAAGTTGTGTGGCGTGGGGTGCTGTAGAAGTGCCGAGGGAGGTAAAACATAGGATTGGTTCATAGAGGGATTTTTATTGTTTATTCCTTGGTTTGGGATGCTGCATGTTAGGGGATACTAGGTAGAGTTCATATATGGGGATGTAGCACGGTGTAGGAAGTGGGATACTTGCAAAGTATAGGGACCGAGAATGGTATTGCTAGGCTTGTCAAGGTAAGCTGTGTTTCTTTGTGTGTAATAGGAGGTTACTGTTGCTCTTCTTTTTTATAGCTATGCTGGATAGGTGGGATGTGGAGTATGTTAGTATAAGAGGGATGCAATATAGCCTAGAAAGTGAATTCTAGCAAGGCTTAAGGCCTAGTTATTGTATATACACGATTGAAGGGTTTTGATTTTCGGATTATTAGGGTAGGGGGCTAGAGGAGATGTGTGGATGGTGCTAAGGTTGAAAAGGGTCAGTCTCCAAGTCGTCTGATCTTCGGTAAGCTACCGTAATCGCTAACAAACACTATTTTTATCTTATACATGAAAACTTATGCAAGACAATTACTACGTCCTCCAATAGTATAACCGAGCATGGTTCAACCGTTCGCAGCAATTAGTCAGGCCCAAGTCGATATCGCAATGACGTCACGCCACCACTTTCACCATTACCGGCCCAGCACGTGGCATCGCGCCTCACCATATGCAGCAATAGATGGATCCGGTTAGCGGAGACATAAAAAAACTAACGCACATATGACGGAGCCTGGAACCATGCAGGTTTTGGTGGGAAAAGAAATTAGTGGCCTGAAGCTCCGCAATTTCCGATCATTCGATCTTGACACTCACGCGTGAGCTAGTGTCACGACACCTCGTTACATGCCAGCGCCCGAAACCATTAATTCCCTGCTGAATCACAAACAAATACTTTGTTTTGCTGAAACTACCCAGCTCCTTCAGACTTCTGATTTCTTTTTGACTGACGTCATATCTGAGACCCTCAGGAATCACCACATACCTCAAAGAGCCACTGGAGTCGGTCTTAGCAAGCATGCCGGAAATTATCCTCTCAATCAATGCGGGATCGTCAAGCGTCAAAATATCCGTGTACAAGACGCCTGAGAATGAGTCCATGGTCCCAGTACAGCTGGCTGAAGCGACAGTCGAAGGCCTGACTGCGCCTCCTGCCAAGCTGAAATATGAACGTGGCGATGAAAAGATCAAAGGAAAAGAGCTGGAGAATGTCGAATCACAGGAAGACGGGTTCCGATACATTCTTGAGCACTTGACGAATGACAAAGGCCTCCCAGAATTGAATCATACCGACGATATTCGATTTACGTGTCATCGCGTTGTACATGGCGGTGACTACCCCAGAAGCCAAGTCATTGACCAGGAAACGTACCATCACATCGAAGAGCTCTCTGATTTGGCGCCACTTCACAATGCCCCGGCCCTTACCATTGTTCGGGCAGTAGCAGAAGCCTTGCCGCATGCTAAGAACATTGCCTACTTTGATTCGTCATTCCACAGCACACTGCCCGATTACGTATGCACGTACCCAATTGACCAAGAGGTGGCGCAGAAGAACAAGCTACGAAAGTACGGGTTCCATGGCATCAGCTACTCATTCATCGTCAATGCTGTAACAGAGCATCTCAAGAAACCGGCCGATCAGCTCAACATCATTGCACTGCATCTTGGCTCCGGCGCATCTGCATGCTGCATTAGAGGAGGGAAATCGCTCGACACTACAATGGGCCTTACTCCTCTCGCTGGCCTACCAGGCGCTACGCGTTCGGGTTCAATCGACCCATCGCTAATGTTCCACTACACGCACAGCGCGGGGAAGCCATCGCACAGCTCCAGTGGAAAGCTGCACATTACGCAAGCCGAGGAGATCTTGAACAAGCAGAGTGGTTGGAAGAGTCTGACCGGGACTACCGATTTTGGCAAAATCAGCTCCTCGGATCGCCATGAAGACAAGCTTGCTTTCAACATTTTCGTTGATCGCATTCTCAACTACGTTGCTCCTTACTTTACAAAGCTCGACGGAGAGGTTGATGCTCTTGTATTCGCAGGAGGGATTGGCGAGAAGGGTGGAAAGCTGAGGCAGGCCGTTGTGCAGGGAGTCAAATGCTTAGGCTTTGCGATTGACGAGAAGAAGAATGAAGCTCCGATTGAGGATGTGGTCACGGACATAAGTGCAGGCAGCGCTAGATTTAAGACACTGGTTGTGCAGACTGACGAACAGTTGGAAATGGCAAGGGGTGTATTGGCGGACAAGGACCGCTTTGTGGGCAAGAGATAATGCTAATGGAAGTACATGTCGTTCACATCTAATGCAAAGCACATGCCGCTTATAATCAATGCAATATCTCACCGCCCGCCTAATGCTGTATTATTATGGGGTGTCCTTGGTACACTTGGACATGTGTCTGAAGCGTCCATGTTCTCGTCAACAGAGTTGGATGCTGGCGCGGTGAAGATGTTGGAATAGCTTGTTGGTAGTGCGGAAGTAATGATTGTGCATTGTCTAAACTTGTTTAGCTGACTGCTAAAAATACCATGAAGATGGAACAGTACTGTTGTGTCCAAGATACCACTTTCTCCATGCTAGCCGGGCAAGCAGAGCGAATGCAGGGACTGCAAGATTTACCAGCAGAGTGATGAGGCCAATACGCGCTTCGAGGGTCCAGCCGGACATGATGCTGTACTTTGTGATTTGGGGAGATTGGGTATATTATGTAGAAAGAAAGAGTTCAAATGCCTTTTTAAGAATTGGGAATTTGTAATGTCTGTAGTGGTCGTTGCGGAATGGGCAGCAAAGAGATGTTTTACATACCTATCTGGTATCCAGAATCTGGTCGTCGTCGCCGCATCTTCAGGGCGAGTGATGAAAGCATTGCCTAAGGCGCAGTACTTCCAGAATCTGATGTTCTTTGGTATCCCATTTCTCGAGAATCAGAAGAGGAATAGGCGATTAGAGACATTCCAGATTACGGGAAGCTCGGAAGCAGCCTTCCACTTTGCCTACCCGGGCGCTAGGCATCTCAATTCCAGAATCTGAAAATCAGGCCCTCCAGCAGGGGCTAACGTATTTTTGTCGCCCAATAGGATCTTCTTGACAATGCACCGGTAATGACGTGGAGATAAGGTGCCGTTCCTGGCTAAACGAGGTCTGCACCACAACCTGCAGATAGGCCATTTCCAGAATCTGGTTGTACAACTGCTCCAGCTTAGCTCGTGCGGTGACTACATGTAGTGTGTTGCATATATCACGCTGTCAGCTAAAGCATACAAGGGTCTATCTGTCGAATCAATTAGTGAGGCGGAGGAGACCGGTGAAGCGAAGACGGCTCAGCCTTGTGACCCTCCGACAGCCTGGTAAATGTTCAGCTGATGGCTGCCCCTAGTTTCCAGATTCTGGATTTCCCAAATCTTTTTTCTGAATTCTGTCTCTCTGGCTTATTCCAGATTCTGCTTCTTCAAATCCCGCTTTTGGGATTCTTGGCTTTGGTCTGTATTCATAAATTGGTTGCTTCCATATCGGAATTGCCGGTCATCAATTGTCAATCTCTTCCAATTACAAGCTTTCCAAATTAATAATTGAATATGCCGAAAATCAACCACCCTAGGATATCTCAGGCCGAATGGCATGATCGCAAAGAGACGATCAAACGGCTGTACATGTCCGAGAACAAGAGTCTGATGGGCGAGAACGGCGTTATCGAGCTTATGAAGCAGAAGGGTTTCTTCGCAAGGTAATGCTCCGGCACTCGTGGAAGGCATTCTTAGGCTCACCAAACGCGTATGAAGCAAACCACAGTACGAATCTCAGTTTCTACGCTGGGGCTTCAAGAAGAAATTGACTCGCGAAACCTGGCATACCATTGGGCATATGATCAAGAGTCAGGATGAAAATGGGAACGCTAGACACGTATATGCTTACGGCACAAGAATCTCCGATGAGAAAGTCAAGAAGGAAACCTCTCGATACAAGAGTTGCAATGCGCACAGAGAGTGCTGTGCAAGAACAGAACTACCAGTCGGTGTTGAAATCCGGCTGAATCAAGAAGCGGAGGAGGAAATCCTGAGTCCCGGAGTCCAGGAAACCTATTTTGAAGATCTAACCAATGAATTTCTCTCAGGCTATCAGCGCAGCTCTGAGATCTGTTGGAGTCTAGCATCAAATTCCGGGCCCGCCCAACCAAACGATATCAACGTTTGCCACAACAGATCGTTGTCAATACACTCAAATCTACCCGTCTTCGGCAACACACTCAATCACGATTTCGCTACAGCTGAGTGGTTCTCAATCACATCGAACCCACCACCTCCATCTAGTGATTACTACGATATCGCCCGTGCGATGCTCTCACACCCATCGAGGCTCGAGACAAACTCCATTCCTCGGAACACCATCTCCTTATTCGAAAACCTCAATAGGCCGCTCTTCCGCGAATTCAAAGCTTTGTTAAGGAGCAACCGAGGAAACATTCTTGCATCAATCCACAACACCAAGCATTTACTCCCGAGCGAACCCAGCCAAGAAGTTCAGAAGGCATCCGTGGATATCGTTATATTGAAGCAAATACTCTACCTTCTGATGAACAACTTTGCTGGCTCCGACTATGCGGCCTTTGATACCATCTTCGAGCAAGTAAGGCAATTTTCGACCGCCCAAATGGAGGACATCTTGGACGCACTGCCACATCCCTATGCAGCAGCACTGCAGCAAAGTATTTTGACTATCGCTATCAAGTCTAATATACCAAGCCTAGTAGAGATACTTGTAAAAAGAGGCCTGGATATCAACTTGGTTCAGTGCCGGTTTGGGGGTGAATCATATACACCTCTCGGTTTGGCATGCAAGTTCCGATGTCTGGAGATTGTAAAAGTCTTACTAAATCGACATGCTGATCCCAACTGGTGCCTCCCCGGAAATCGCCTGCTCGGACCTATCGGACTACTTCTCGAATCCAAACACAAGGATAATGAGGTAAAGACCAAATTCCCACCAACTGTTTCCGGTATCTTCCAATGTCTCTTGGATTCTGGGGCTTATATGTCAGTATCTGAGCTGTCACTTGCCCAGTTCTGGGAAAACGGGCTCCTTGTTGATTTCTATATAAATCATTCCAACCCTCCTCGTCTCGACACTGGAGCAGCCATTCCCGGTATGGGGATAGTTCTTGAGAAAGCTGCATTGCTCTCTCAACCTGAGAAGACCATTGCTATGATCCGTAAAATGCTTGGAGACGTTCCTGTATCTGAACATTCAGAAAGAGTTAAGGAAAGTCTCTCGGTTGCTTTGGAAACCGCTTCCTATCAAGGCAACCTTAGCTTGGTCAACTATCTATTGGATGCAGGGCTTTCTCCCAATTCGAATAGTTTGTGTATGGCAATCCAAGGAAACCATTTGGACCTGGTCAAGCTATATATCCGACTGGATGTGGGTATTCATAAATACTATCACATGAATTCATCAGGGATCCGTTTTCCCCGAAGCCCTCATACAGTTGAAGACCCCGAAATATCCGCATACTACGCTCTTCGGATTTACAGAACGACACCGTTTGCTGAAGCTATTAGATGGGGTCGTCAAGAAATGATTGCTCTGTTTGAAGAGCAGACTATCATGCACGCATTTCCGTCTAGCGAAAAATTCATGGCAGCTGTCTATGCGGCTGCTGAAACAGGGAACAAGGAAATCATGCAAAAGTTGGTTGAAATGTGCATGTCCAGATATCCTGTGAGCGCTGCCACATCCTACAACTTGATTGAGATCGCTGTAATGGGAGGCTATGACGAAATTGTCGAGTTTCTCATGTTGTATGGAGTTCGGCCAAACTGTTCCAGCGTTGCGGCCGCTCTTCTGACACACAACGCCCGGCTGGTTCAGCGGTTCCTTGACACAGGGGTCTGTATCAATGAAGTGAAAGGCCTCGTCTACCTTGCTGTGCATTGGGGGAGCAAGTCTATGTTGGAACTGCTTATAAAAGCTGGAGCTAAAGTCGATTCGTATTGGTTTCGTCCATCTGCTTTGGGATTGTCGTCCGTTGCGAGACCAAAAAACTCACCCCTTCAGGAAGCTATACGGCGTGGTGATCGTCATATATTTCAACTGCTCCTTGATAACGGTGCGAATGTTTGCACGAGGCCTCCTGTGACCCAGGCTTCTCTTTTGACAGAAGCTATCAATTGCGGTAACGAGGAATTTGCTTATGAGCTGCTCACTCGTGGTGCAGATCCGAATGATCCAATTGCACTTCAGGCCGCTATACACAAGTCATTCAAGATTGTTGAGGCCATCATGACCTCATTTCGCCACCGGTATCCTAATGGCGATCAGACTTTTGTTGTCCCCGCTCTGCGCCAAGCGATCAAGGACAACAATGTGACCATAGTAAATATGCTCGCAGGTCAGGCCGCTTTGAATAATGCAACATTCACTGTTAATGAAGAAGCTTGCTTTCCAAAGTTCTTTCTTTCTCTACTTGGAGAAGGAATCGTCACAGGTAATGTCGAGATCGTGTCCATCTTACTGCGATCAGGTGGCGACCCTGACAGTACAGTTGCAGTAGCGACAGAACGTCCCCGTAAAGGCAGATTGAATCCTATTTTGATTGCAATATCAACTGGCAATCTCGCTATGGTACAACTTCTGCATAGAGCTGGGGCGGACTTGAGGTTCAGTGCAACCCTTGGCATCACGCACACCTCACTGCAGTTAGCTATCGAGATGGGTCATATTGAAATTGTTCAATACCTCCTAGATGAGGGGGTCGATGTCAACGCCCCACCGTGCATATGGGAGGGGGCTACCGCTCTCCAGGTGGCCGCCAAAACAGGTTCCGTTCGCATTGCGGAAATGCTTCTTGACCGTGGGGCAAGCGTCAATGCTCCTGGGAGCAAATACGTTGGCAAAACTGCATTCGAATTTGCGGCAGAACATGGGCGAATAGACATGCTACTTTGGCTCTTCCACCGAGATGTGGATATCACGTCAGACGGTGGGAAACAAATCCGCAGAGCCTGCGAGTTTGCAGAAAAGAACGGCCAGGTAGCCGCAAAGGATCTTGTAATGCAACTCAGTGCATGTGTAAACGGGGAAGATTTCGTTACAGTTCCATCTGATTTCTTTTAGGACTCATAGACGGAGTAAGCATGGAGGAAAGCAACATAGATTGTACTTTTACTTGCACCGCAACTTCAATGCTTCTGCAACGATGGTATGTCCATGTGCTGGACGATGTTGAAATAAACCCTGTAGAATGAGAGCGTGATCTCGTACTAACATTCCCCTGACATGTTCTCAATAATAGTCCAGCTTAATGTGAAATGTGAGTAGTACGCCTCAAAAGGCCAAGACACCCTCACGTAGACTGACATCCTACATCATGCTAAGCAAATCACTTTCACCGCTTAGCTTTCATCACTATCTTATCTTCTTCGAGAAGGTCACGGTAAGAGTGCCGCGGGAACACGTCGACACTAGACCAAATCTGTTGCTAGCGTATGATTCGTGAACTCTTAACCTGCATGGACGCGCAATGACCTAGGACGCGCAATGACCCACCCCACCAAAAAACCTATTGCAAAAGATGAGGCTGTACAGCCACCTATAGTCGCTATTATTACGAGATTTTATGGTGTTGTAGTAATTATAGCATTGCGATTATAATAGGCTACTTGTATCTACTTAGTAGCTTAGTAGTGCGGCTGTAGCAGGTGGTCTAAGTTAGGACGGCTAGTGCAGCTACCTTAGCTTGTACATGAGATGAATTAACAACAACACGTTTCTAACGCTTCTGCTTTTGAGAGGAGCCTTATGAGGCTTTGCGCTTACCCCTTTGGGATAATTGTATAGCTTTTTCAGCCTCCCAGGCTGCCTTTTGAGCCTCCTTTTGAGCCACCTTGGCGGCTCTCTCCTTCTCTCTCACCTCCTTGAGCCTCTCTCTCTCAACACGCTTCTCCTAGGCTATTTGAAGCTTGTACAATTGAGCTTGTCTCCTTAACTCAGATCTCTCAGCTTTCTAGAGTTGTAATTGCTGTTGTTCTTGTTGTCGTTCCATCTCATCCTCCTTGGCTTGGCGAACCTTCTTAGGAGACCAAAAGACAGCTCCTCCATAGTACTCCTCAGGCCTATTGAGTTGAAGCGTGTAGCTCTTCTTTTGGTGTCTCTTTTTGACCTTTAGAGCCTCCCTTAAGCCCTAGTTTTCTCCTTTAAGTATACTATTTTAAGCTGAGAGGTGATAGAGGCTTTGGCGAAGCTTTTTTACCTCCTTATTATTAAAATCCTTCACCTCCCGGTGTATAATAGACTTAATTTTGAGCTAATCATCTCCACTAAGGACAGAAGAAGAGCTTTCATCTGAACTAGAGGCCTCTTGTTGGAACTTTTGGAGAATAACCTTAGCATTTAGTGGGTTAATGCTAGTTGCCTTAAAGGAGCTTATAATAGTCTCCTTTCTAAAAGCTGTACCCTAAGCCCTCTAAAAGAGCTTAAAGAAGTCTCCTTTTGCTAGAGGAAGGATTCCATGGCTTCAATAGAGGAAGTTTAACAACTCCTTTGAGTAGGCTGACGCTAGAGGCCCAAACATCCTAACGTTAAGAGGCTGAAGCCTATAGGTTGAATGAGGAGGATATACAGCAACTAGAATCCTATGGCTGTTATAATAATCTAGAAAATCCATGGTTACATGAGATGAGTAGCCATTAACAATGAGTAACTAGTACCTAGTTCGAGCGTAGCGTGCAGTCTCTCTTTTAAAGACCTCTTTAAGCCAAGCTAGGCCTATATTATTGTTAGTCTATCTAGAGGGCGATGAGGTAATAAAGACTGAGTGCTTGTTTGGATTAATAGCCTCTACCTAGGCTGATTTTAGAGCTCTAGCATCTGACTGAAAGATGAGAGATGGAGAAAGAGGTGTACCATCTGAGCAGATACAGGCTAGGACTGTAATCCACTCTCTAGAGCCATCTTGTAGGCTTAAAACAACTCCTCCTCTTTTATATTGCCTCTTACTAAAGATCCTTTTAGACCTTCTAAGGATTCTAAGTAAGAAGCCCTTTTCATCTATATTAAAGATGTAAGAGGGCTGTATATTGTACTCCTTCATCTTATTGTGTAACAGCTCAAAGTACAACCTATACTTAGTTGCTAAATCAGCCTTGTGACGCTTCTAGTCCATAGGACTCTGCTAGCGAGAGATGAGATGAGAGGAGTTCCTGCAGAGGAACCTAGAAACCCAGCGTTCTAAAACGTTTCTACTAAGCAAGGATGACGCAAGATAGCGTATTATTAGACGCAAAGGTGGTGTACGCCTCTTAGTAAGGGATTTAATGTACTGTACAAGCTCCTTTTCGCGTTGTAGGTGGATAGAGAGGTGGGCGAGCGCGCGAGGCTAAGTTTTGCCTTAGTGTCTTTGAGCGAGCGTACAATAGCTAATGCCAAACCTTTTTACAACTTAGCGATAGCTAAAAGATGCGCCTAGTTCGCGCGATTTAATTTCTTTAATCGCTTCCTGAATTAGGTCTATATTAGTAGAGTTATGAGGTATTTTGTGGGGGGATGGCGCAGTGGTGGAGCGCCTGGAAAATTTTCTGCTGTCTCACGTCAGCAAAGATCGAAGGTTCGAATCCTTCTCCCCTCACAACCATATTTATGGTCCACCCACATGAGAGAGTTACTCATTAAACTACCTATTCGACTGAGAGAGTTACTCGTTAAAACTTGAGAGGAAGACTCATTTAAAGTGAAAGATCTGAGAGAGTTACTCACTAAAAAACTACTAGGCTACGAGCCTCACCTTCATTTAGATAACCCCCTACATTGTACCTACTCAATTTGTACCTAGATTAAATTCTAGCCTACGTAGTTACTTGCAGGCCTTAAGCCTGCACGTCTTATATAGCCCTTTGGGCTGAGAAAGGACGTTAAACTACAATAATAATAATAATAATAATAATAATAATAATAATAATGAGGTATTTTGTGTAGGTGTTGAGTTTGGTGGGGTGGGTCATTGCGCGTCCTAGGTCATTGCGCGTCCATGCAGGTTATTCAGTACTAGCTTCGCCCCTGACTGTCCTGTCAAAACATCGCTTGCATAGGCGCATGCCAGCCTCAATACTCACTTTATAAAACAATCCCTATCCCTATCGCGTCAAGACCAGCATACATCAGCAATACACGAGCGACATAACGTGCGTTCACGTTTGCATAGGTGTAGTGCTTACCGGAGCACTCGTTCGCATGACGCGCACTCTACATTCGTTATACGTCATAAGATCCAACCGCTAGATCCATTCTTGGTCGAGCATTTCTGAATAGCGCGGGAGTTTCAAAGACGACTGCGCTGTGGGGCAAAAATACCGCGGAACCACTGAAGTCTCATCAAACAACTTCCGAGTCCAGTGATGGCTGACTCAGACATTCATCGGCATATTGAGGGCGGAAATGCAAATTTCATTGCTGGATGTGCGCTTTCAGAGTTCTTTTTAAGCCCTCACATTCGTATTACGAATAACCTCTCAATCAAAGCCGATGCTAACACGATACTGCTATCATGGCACCCAAAAAGAGCAACGAGACCACCGTTGATGAAAAGGGTGCTTCAGTCATTCATTGGACCGTTCAGATTCTATCGAAAGGCTCCATCAACCATATATGGCCGCTGGCCTACGAACAGCATTGTAGGCTTCTATCAACCAGAACATGCACTTGCTGCCTCAAAATACTTCAAGAGCAACCCGGATGTTGAGGTACAGATTCTCTATACCGTCTACTTTACTGCGCCGAAAGAGTTGTTCGATGCAGTCTTGCTCGATGTCGAAGAGGTCATGTCACAGATTCCAGAAGGAAATGCAACGTGGGATGATTCTCCCAAGCATGGTATGGTGACACTGCGCCTATCCGGGACAGATCGAGAGAGCATCGTGGATATGAAGAGAATACTGGAAGCCATATTCGCTGGCCGAATCGCAACCGCAGAACAGGGCGGCCGTACTACGCAACATGAGATATGGCACAACTTCTTCGCGACTGCCCCGGGTGTTGTATGGTTACAGCACCTGGCGCGAGAGATGGGTGTAGTTATCATGAGCGACAAATTGCAACGGCGCATACGCATCTATGATGAAGAAGAAGACTACGCCCACATGAAGATCGTTGAGCGCCAAATCACGGAGAAGATTGCCGCGCTCAACATGCCGGAAGAAACACATACGATACAGTTTGACACCAAAGACTTTAGAAAGCTTCTTGTCTCTGACAAGGCTTCCAGGGCGCAGAAAAAGCTAGGAAAGTCCAAGGTCAGTCTCGATGTTCTCAACAAGACTCTCGTCCTGCACTGTCAGCGCCAAGTCGCCTTGCTCGTTACTTTCGAGCTTGATCTACCCCTACCACCGCCATCAGTAATCACAAAGAGTGATCTAACCTGCCCTCAATGCGGCGATGCAACCAGCGACGTTAAATTCTCAGCCTGCGGCCATGTTGCGTGCAACGAGTGCTTCGACCACCAGCTACAAGTAGCATCATCTGACCTTACCAGCAACCACTTTCCCTTAATGTGTTGGCACGCAAATTGCGAACAGCCTGTAGCTATCACAGATCTGCGCAAGCACGCTACGGGAACAATGATGGATGCACTGCTAAAAGCCTCTCTGACATACCATATTCGTGCTTTTCCGGAGGTTTACCGCAATTGCCGGATGCCAGACTGTCAATCTGTATATCTCCGCAATGGATCATATGAGATCTTTACTTGCCCTACCTGTCTGACGCAAACATGCACCTCGTGTCACGCAGAGCCGCACGTCGATTGGACTTGTGCAAAGTACAAGGAACATCTCCAGAAGGATAAACAGAACGAAGAGCTATTGAACGCTTACAAGGCCGTTGCTGGCACAAAGGAGTGTCCAAAATGCGCAACACTGATTGAGAAAGTCGACGGCTGCAATCATGTGGAGTGCAGTGGCTGCCATGGACATATTTGTTGGGAGTGTGTCAAGATCTTCCCGCATAGCGATTCTGCGTATCAGCATATGAACGATGCGCATGGAGGAAACGGGCTGGTGGAGGAAGAAGATGACGAATAGAGCGATTCCAAGGAGAAGGTGAATAGACTTCAAAGCGAAGGAGGAGATAATGAGCAGAAATATTGAAGCCAGGGCGACTGTGCTATCGGTAGTCAATTCTTGGAATAGCTTGCAATTTGAGCTTTTACGGATACACTAAGCGCATGTAATATTGCGGGACTTTCAATTCGAATACCTGATCATCAGAGGCGAACACGATTGCCTGTGAGTCATTTGTCAAGAACGCGCCAGTCTTTCCTCGTAATCAATGCCGACAATGATTAGTATTTTCGAAATTGGACGATAACCTAGTACTCATGAGTCAGGGCACGTGATACTGTGCCTAGCATGCACAGCCAATGAAAGCTCTCTACATCTTGGCCGTATGCTTACCAACAATCGGAAGCCCTCAGATCCGGCCGCCGGCATCTACATTACAAACCTCAGTCTGCTTTCACGATACAATTGCCCTCAACGCCACGACAACAGTTTCCTCCACTATTTGCGCGGATGCGTCCGGACCTGTAATCACGGGCGATGAGCAGATGAGATATCGGTCCGTGTGTAGGTCATCGGTCCGACGTAGGTAGCGTTTGAAGATAAACAATACATGTAGGAGGTAGGTCTCAGTATTTTTCATCTGCAACACATTCAACAATTTGCTTGCAACTTTCCCCTTCTTAAGATACCCGTCATTTCATTGCATTTCAACACCAACCATGTCCGAACAGCGCAACATCGTCGTGCTTGGCGCCTCGGGCGCTGGGCTTCAGGCCGCCCACTACGTCCTCAAGTACATATTACCCGATCTCAAAGCCAAGAACGACGGTAGATATCACGTGTACCTCATTTCGCCCATCTCATACTGGTACTTCAGAAATGCGTCGCCTCGAGTGGCAGCTTCTACCGACCGCATGGCGCTCGACAAAGTCCAGCTGGATATACGTCAGGGCTTCAAGCAGTACTCCCCGGAAGATTTCACCTTTATCGAGGCTTCTGCAACTGGCCTCAATCAATCGGCGCGAGAAGTCCTATATCGCAAAAAACAAGACGCAGAGGATGAGGTTCTGACTTATCACGCGTTGGTTATTGCAACTGGTAGCAGTACGCACTATCCCGCCTTTTCCATGAGCATGGACGCGCAGGAAACATTGGATTCAATTACTTTTACCAATGAGAAGGTGGCTACAGCAAAAAGCATTGTTATTGCTGGCGGTGGTCCTACAGCCGTGGAGTTCGCTGGCGAGGTTGCCGAGCACCGCAACGGTAAGCCGGGCTGGTTCAGCAAGGTCGAGCCAAAGGCAGAGATCACTTTGATTGCGGCCGATGAAAAGCTTCTCCCTGGCCTGCGCCCTGCCATACGTGACACAGCAGCACAAAAACTTGAAGCTCTCGGTGTAAAGGTTGTCTTGAACTCGCGTGTGACGGGAGCCGAGCCTGCACAAGATGGCCGGACGGTGCTGACCCTCAAGAATGGCGACAAGCTGGATGCTGATCTTTACGTACCCGCGTATGGCGTCAGGCCAAACTCATCCTGGATTCCAAAGGAGCTTCTGGACGAGAATGGCTATGTCGCCACCAACAATTCCACCCTTCGTGTCGATAGCGCCGGCCCCCGAGTCTATGCTCTTGGCGATGTCGGTTCCTATTCGCGCAACAACTTCTTTGATATCTTGGATGGGCTCCCTGTTCTCGGTGTCAACCTCAAGCGTGACTTGGTGTCGTACAACAGCATGCTCCCTGACGAGAAGCCCAAGGGAAAGGATCGGGAATTCAAGCCCAACATGAAAGAGAGCATGGCAGTCCCAGTCGGAAGTGGTGGTGGCGTTGGTGCTCTCTTTGGTTGGAGGCTACCGAGTTTCTTCGTTCGCTTGATCAAAGGAAGAGACTATATGATTGGTATGAGCGGATTGTCGACCGTAAATGGGTCTCGTGTGAGCGAGGCCAAATGGACCAAGGAGGAGGCTCCCATGTGAACAGAGTAAACAGAACGGGATATCTCTGCGTGTGGTTTGAGTGTATAGTTTTATACCACTTTTCTTTGCTTGTCCTTGTAGCAGTATAGAGCTTAATATAATCATACACCTGTTGTTTCTTGCTGCCCTCGCACGTTCGGTGAAGCCAGTGCACGCACTGACGGTCCTTTTGCTCTTGGCTCCTTGCTTGCGACGAGTGGGCCATTATCCACCCGTGGGAAGACGAGATATTTCGCAAGCCGGGCATCACGTGCCAGTGAATGGCGCAGCGCATACGTGCATAGCTAGAGCCAGATGGGCAGGTAGAAGTGAAGAGAATGATGGTTCCTCCCCTGCGGAGAAGGATGGAACGCTATTGGTTTCGAGCTCGCACCACCACCACGGCGCGCTCCGCGTCGACACCACTCCAGCCACCCTTGCACCCCACGTACACGGCCCAAATGCGGGGTGAGTGAAAGACCAAATGGACTTCGTGCGTATGACGGGCAACATGGCTATGACGGCGAAACTGACAGCGTGCAGTGGGTAAGGCTTCTCGGCGGCTCGTCCCAGAAGAAGAAGCAGGTCGCGCCAAATAACCCCCAACAGCGGCTGGCACGCTTCCGACAGCGATACAACCAAGTACTGGTAAGGAGATAGCTTCGGACCGCGATGCGCATCGTCTTACAGGCAGCAGCAAGCATGGCAACGGTCCACGAACCTCTCGAGCGACCGCGAGGCCCTGGGAAATATCCGTCGTGGCTTCCAGGCCCTCACCGCGATACTCAACGATGAGTCCCGATCTCCGGCACCCCACATGTGCCTCCAGTTTGCTGCCGCCCAGCAGATATACACGGCAGTATCCAAGATCGCAGCTACGGCACACGATGAAGGCACCGTTAGGGACGCCGTCGCATTCTACAACGCCCTCATCGATAGTGAAGAGGAGGACTTTCTCGAGAATGATGTCTTTGCGGCGTCCCTCATGAACTTCATCGACCGGACAATCGGATCAGGCAGCATAGGCATCGGCGATGACATCGAAGCCGACATCGTCGAGCTGCTGTTTGGTATCGCGGCCAAGATCAGGCTCCAGCCAGAGATACTGCATGTCTGGTTCACCACGGCATCGGCGGATAGCGCGGGACGTCTGCCCAACCAGAAAACCGATTTTGCCGGCGTCACGCAAAAGGAGGACTTTCCCTTGTGCTATCAGCTCATCGATCATGTCCATCACGAGGGCCGTATCGGAGACTTTGCGCGCACCGGCTTGCTGTACATCTTCGAGTCTGCGTCTAGATCTATGAACCTGGAGCAGTGGATTGTCAACAGTGACCTCCCTACGCTCATGGCAACCGGACTGGGGGCACTCTACAGCCAGATGAGCAGGTATGATGCATGAGAGCCTTCTGCGTCGTCAATAAAACTAACCGCGTCTAGGAAGCTATCAATCCTGCATCCCCCGCATGACCTGCCTCTGATATTGTCTCTCTCCGACTACACTGAAATGCAGCCTAATCCACAGGCCGAAAACTTCTTTAGTGTTGATTTCCAGGGTCATCTTCTTACATTCCTCTCTTACCTTGCGTTCTGGCAAGATGTATTGGAGCATTGCAGATCCGTAGACGTCAGGGTCACACTGATTGATCACTTCCAGGCCCTGTTCCTCCAGCAGCTCTTGTTCGTACCCACTATGTTCATTCAACATGCATTTTGCTGATTTCATACAGGTATCCTTCGCTGCTGGAATCATCCGATGCCGATGGCGGCTCTTCGGTGGCTGTGCTTACATACCTCCGTCATATACTGGACGCTCTCGACCATCCAGAACTGGTGCATATGATGCTTCAGTATCTGCTAGCGCTATTGGATTATGGCGCTTCGACAGCTCCTCGTTCGCCCGCTGCTGTCAAACGACGCCAGTCGCTCATGCTTCTGAGTGCTGCGGAAAAAGACGAAGACAAGTTCAACCCATCACTGTTCAATCTGGTCGATCTTGTGCTGGGTAGCACGGCCTCACGAAACCCCCAGACGGTTATCGCAGCATTGAAACTGACGACAGTGGTACTCAGTAAGACTCACGGATACGCGCTAGGATCTCTTGTAAAAGTGCTGAACCTTCACCACAAAGACCATAACAGGACAATCGGTTCGTTGAACAAGGAACTTGAACTCTACCTTGGCATTGCCGTAGACTTTGCTGGTCTTGAAGGCGTTGACGAAGCCTACGACTGCTATTTGAAGGACGTGTTGAGTTTGCTGGAATCTCATCCGTGTTCCCTGAAGACGATTGGCATACCACCCATGTCTGCGAAGAACCAGGGCTACTTTGACTCGGCTGAGGCATCGGCTAGAGAGGTTGATGCACATCAGTTGGTCCCCGAAGACCCACTCTTCCAGAGCCTTCTTGACCTGCTGGCAACATTCCTCACCAACGATGTCGAAACCAACCTGGCACTTACCGAGGCAATCATCACACTTGGCACGTGCTCTCAGTTACGTCTGGAAGGCTGGCTGTCCGTGGACCCTGCTGACTACCACTTTGAATACGACAACTCCGAGCCGGAGTCGTTCTCCAACGAAAATTTGCGGGCTATGTACATGGCTGAACGATTCCCAACTTGGAATCCTTCGGCCACGCCCCAGTTGCTTACATGTCTCCAGCAGCTTCAAGCTCAGGTCAATGCTCTCCGGAGTGATGTTAAAGATTGGGATGAGCAGGTCGCTAACCGCAAGAATGCTTTCCGTGTGCACCAAGATATAGTGGAGGAGTCGAAGATATCTACGCCTCAATCCAAGGCTACCAGGGCTCCCTCGGAAACACCCGCAGGATCTTGGACGCCGCAAATACCGAAGCATGTGCTCGACCCACCGCAGGTGCCGTCACGAGCCCAGTCTCCCAGAGGAAGAAAAGAAGCGCTTTCAGCATCAAGAAACACGCCTGCATCATCTCCTGTGCCTTCGAGATACGGTGGACAGACACTGGTCGGTTCTCCTGGCCGAGCGTCGTCTCCTCTCCCCGTGCAGCAAGTTGGCACCCTACAGCCATCACTCATGTCCGATGTCGATGCCAGTATAGCGCAAATCAGGATGAGTCAGTTCGGGAGGAGGCGCATTCGCTTCCGTCGGGCGGCCGGGTCCAGAGAGGTTGAAGTCATGTTGTCCAAGTTTCAGCCGCCACCCAAGGAGCCGTCTGACGATGCCAAGGATGACGCGGAGGAGACTGAGGAGGATGATATTCGAGAGGCGAGCCTGCTACACATTGTCACAAACGTGGTAATTCTTCAAAACTTTGTGCTGGAGCTGGTGGCCTTGATGCAAGTCCGGGCCAGCCTGTTCAACGAGGTCAGGTTTCTTTAGGGGGGTTGGGCGGGGTGTTTCCGGGTCTGTAGCGAGAATATACCCTTTTCCATCTTTACGGCGTGGCTTTTCCGTCTCACATGCATGCCGCCCAGCCATGCATGCCCAAGGTCGAGTGCGAAACCGGCAGCATGGAAGCTCGTGCTGTTCCGAGGTATCTTCGCGCACGTGCACCAGCCATGGTGGTCGGAAAATGCAGGGCTGCAGCGGAACAATGCCGACTGCCCCTCAAACGTCATACATGCTGGCACGCTTTCACATGTCGATCGCCCACGCCTCGCCCGCCGTGTCCAGCCATGTGTGCTCGCTCGTGAAAGCGCGCCAGTCGTGGATCGCGCACCAGCCGAAACCACTCTTGTTTCACGACATGCCATGGCCAGGAAATCATCAAGGAGCAGTCAATGGCACGGCAAGCTGGGGGGTCTCGGCAATGTGGTCCCTCGAGCCGATCGCCGGCCGAACGACATCAGCATATCGTAACCTCCGCTCGTCCACCAAGGGGAAATCCGGGGTATGCCAAGTAACCCCGTCAGTTGCCCGCTAGATCATGCCCAAATGCAGACGCGTGCCAGTCTCAAGTCAGACATTTGGCCTGGGCTCACGCAAGGGCCGAGGCTGCCAGGAGCGAATGGGTATTTGTCCTGACACCCGCGGGTAGCTTTTTCGTCGGCCATGGTACGAGAATGACTGGTGAGTCTCCTTGTCCTCTCACTTCGCTTGCGTCTTCTACTCTTCCTTCTCCTTTTGCTTCCTGAGACTCGTTGCTTCCGTTGACCTGCACGCTCTGGGGCCGAGGCTTACCCAACGCGCTGCGCGGTCGTGTCCCAAACTTTTGGCTTCGACTCAGCTTGCTCTTTGAGCGCTACGAGTCTTTGTGACTCACTGCTCGAGCCTCGAACAACTCCTGTGTTGGGTCTTGCGCGACAACCAATATTCCTTAGGTTCGAGTAAACATCAGCGTCGTACAACATGTCTGCGAAGTCGGTACAAGGGCCTGGGGGCAAGAAGCCCGCGTCGGCAGCCACCAATTTGATCGGTAAGCCTTGGAGTTATCAATATGGTGGTAGGCGACTTCTGTTAGCAAAGACTGACCTGTGCGCCTAGCTGGTGGTGGTGCTGGCATGATGGAAGCGCTTGTTTGCCATCCTCTCGGTAATTTATGCGATAATCAAACCTGGATGGACCCCAAAAGACTAACGCATTCCTAGATACGATCAAGGTTCGAATGCAATTGTCGAGACGAGCCCGCGCCCCAGGAGTGAGTCTTACTCGATACTGGCGCAAACCAAAGCGCATGATTCAGGGCGGATACTGATACACTACCATAGGCGAAGCCGCGTGGCTTCATTACAACTGGTGCCGAGATTGTCAAGAGGGAAACAGCATTGGGTCTGTACAAGGGTTTGGGTGCCGTGCTCACTGGAATCGTACCAAAAATGGCCATTCGGTTCACAAGTTACGAATGGTACAAGCAATTACTAGCGGACAAGAATGGCAATGTCGCGTCCAAATCCACATTCATGGGTAAGTTTTCTCCCAGAATGGATCTCATAGGCGAGGTGGACGCATGCCATATACTGACTGTCCAAAGCTGGTCTCGCCGCTGGAATTACAGAAGCCGTCCTTGTCGTCACTCCCATGGAGGTGGTGAAAATTCGTCTCCAAGCGCAACACCACTCCATGGCTGATCCGCTCGATGTGCCCAAGTACCGCAATGCCGCCCACGCCATGTACACTGTTGTGAGGGAGGAGGGCGCTGGAGCTTTGTGGCGCGGTGTCTCGCTCACTGCTCTGCGCCAGGGAACTAACCAAGCGGCAAACTTCACAGCATACTCGGAGTTGAGGGCGCAACTGCAAAATTACCATGGTACTACCGATCTGCCGAGTTATCAGACGAGTATGATTGGACTCATCAGCGGTGCCGTGGGTCCCTTTACGAATGCGCCGATTGACACTATCAAAACAAGGTTGCAGAAAACGCCTGCTGAGGCCGGGCAAAGCGCCTTGCAACGCATCACAAATATTGCCAGGTACGTTTTGGAAGCACCCTGGACCATGCACGACACTAATCAAGTTTACAGTGACATGTGGAAGCAAGAAGGTATTCGAAGTTTCTACAAGGGCATCACACCCCGCGTCATGCGTGTCGCTCCTGGCCAGGCTGTAACATTTACTGTATACGAATACCTGAAGGGCGTTTTGGAGAGGGGCCGGGATATGCTGCCAGGCGGCCAGTACGAAGAGTAGGCTCTGGCTGGGTGGGACATGTACTGTAGTAGCTTATGGGCTGGGTTTTCATGCTGTACTGAAAAGCAAGCATCAGAGTAATCAATTATATCCAGAGATTAAACCATCTCCCAGTGCATAGTTGGTCTGTGTGTGAGAGCATCTTCAGGCACAAGGCGGGGACGGCAAAAGCAGGGTCTGCCAAGTGCATCAGCCATCTGCCTGCTTGCCCCACGCATGCATGCTACGTCAGCGTAAACATTCAGAGGTGTCAATTGACTGCTCAACACATCACCACCACAGCCATTTGAGCATCTTCCACTCTACAGAGAGTGTCTTGGGTTTCTTCAGCAAAATCTTGTCAAGATGCAGTCCGGCATCTCCGGTACCTTTGCCTAGGCCTGCAGTCGTAACATACCCCACTAACGCCATACAACAGCTTCGCAGGAGCTCAAAACCGCACTCGGCAGCCTCATAACATCCACCAGCCAGCGCGGTATCCTAGCGACAATCCAGAAGGAAACCATTGTGCCCGGCGACACAATATCGTCCAGCGGCTCCACCTTCCTCGATGACCTCAAGAACCTCCAACCCCACATCAAGGACAATGCCGCCCTGTATATTCTCCTTCGCCGCGCCGACAGTCTGAGCAGCGACGACAAAAGCCTCGTCGCAGTAACATATGTGCCCAATTCGGCGCCAGTGCGCCAAAAGATGCTGTTCGCATCCACACGGCTGACGCTCGTCCGCGAGCTCGGCGGCGAACACTTTGCAGAAAGCATCTTCACGACGGAAGCGTCTGAGCTGACGCCCGAAGGCTGGGAGAAGCACCTGGCTCACACGGCATCGGAGAACCCGCTTACGGCGGAAGAGCAGTCGCTGCAGGACATCAAGGCGGCCGAGGCGCTCGAGAGCCGGGGCACGCGCGGCCAGAGTCTCGCCCAGGGCGGCAAGCTGGCGATACGAGCCGACGACGAGATTGCAGAGGCGCTCAAGAAACTGGGGCAGGGCGGCGCGAATAACGTTGTGCAACTGAGGATGGACGGCGCCACGGAGACACTCAAGCTTGTTTCTTCCACTTCGGCGACCCCGTCGACTCTCTCCGGCGCCATTGATACCAAGGAGCCGCGCTATGTGTTTTACCGCCACGACGACCCAGATGCCTCCATTGTCTTCATATCGACGTGCCCCAGCAGCGCAAAGATCAGGGAACGCATGTTGTACGCTGCGAGCCGCGGTAACGTCGTGTCGCTTGCGCAGGGTGACGGCGGCCTCAAGGTGGCCAAGAAGCTCGAAGCCACGAATCCCGACGAGGTTACCGAGCAGGTGCTTCTCGAGGAATTCAAGGTGGAGAAGAAGGAAGAGAGTAAAGGCTTTGCCAAGCCAAAGAGGCCTGGTCGACGGTAAAAATCTTGATTATCGTTGGCTTGGTTGCACCTCGCCACAACAACTACTTGCATGATGATGATGATGATGATGACTTTCTTTTATTTGGAAAACGAAAAAGAAATTATAGATTGAAAGAGGAAGCGTTAACGTCTTTGATATGAAGCAAAAGATGATATCTCCCTCCATTTTTCCCTCCTGCCTTCTTCCCCCTCCCTTTTTTCAACTTTTAGACTTTTGCATGTCCCTGCTACATACGTAATACGGAAACATCCATTCAAGACATGACAACTAACGTCGTGACCTCTCGCCAAAGCCATCATCTCTCTAGTCGTCTCCATCTCTCAAGAAACCACGGTTTCCATGCTGTCTCCTCTCCATCTTGCCGAACCGCGGTTTCCCAACAGCCTTTTTATTCTTCTTGTCCGCCTGCCTGCCCTTGAGCCAGTGCTCCCGCACATTCTTTGTATTCCTATTCGCCTTTGGCGGCAGGACCTTGTTCTGCTGTGCCAAGACCGCGACGCTGAGCCTGCCCTTCTTGACGTCCTTGGTGGGCTTGTCGGTGCGCTCGAGGAACTTGATATGCTGGTTTAATTTCTCGCGGCGTCTTTCCTCTTCGGTTTTGCCGCGGCGCTCGGGCGGCGGCGTGGGCGGCCGCTGGTCGTCGATGGTTTCGAGGAGAGAGGCGGGGAGCAGCCCGTTGGATGTATCGAGGTTCATGCGGGGGGGTTCAGCGTCGGACTCTTCGTTGGCGGTGGGACCCTCTTCTTCTTCTGCTGCTGCTGCTGCATTTGCCTTTGCCTCTTTGGCGGCTTGCTTTGCGAGTTTCTTGGCCTTCTTTTCTTCGCGCTCGCGCTTGGCGGCTTGTTGGGCGGCGAGAAACTCCTCGCGGGCTTGTCGTTTGGCTTGTTCTTTGGCTTGCTGGGCTTTCTGTGCGCGCTCGGCTTCGGTACGCGCGGCGAGAGCTTTGGAGCTGGCGGCGGCGGTCGTGACTACCTCGGGAGCCTCGTCGTCCGAGTCGCTGGCCTCGTCGTCTTTTTCACTTTCGACTTGGGATGGCTCAATTGCAGACTTGGTGGCCTCGGAAAGTTTACTGCCTTGCTTGTTCACGACTGGAGTATCTTGAGTCGGCGCAGGCTCCTCGCTGCCAAATCGCATGTGTGTTTTCTCAGGCTGTGCAGATGGAGGTATAGAGTCTTGCGACGGTATAGGTGCCATTTCGCTCTCATAGGTGGATGACGGCACTTCTTCGCCTGCTTCTTCGACGACCTCCGCAAGCTCCTTTTGTACTGATTTCTTTGGGCGCCCTCTTCCCTTCTTCGCTGCCGCTGACGGCGTGTGGTCCTTCATCGCATTGGCTTTTGGTGTAGGTGAGCCCTCGGGCTGCCTGTGTGTAGCTGGCGTCGCATAAACGGAGCCGGGTGCTTGTGCGGGCGTGTAAAAGCCTGGGTTCTGCGCAGTGGATGGCTCCTCGTCTTCTTTTCCCTCGGTGTTGGACGATTGGTCGGCTGACTCGCCGCCAGCAGCGGATTGACGAGTTGATCTTCGGCGAGCTGGTACGCCGCCCTGCCTAGGCGTCTGGGGAGCTTCTGACGTAGGCGCAGCGATGGCGGTCGTGTCCGATGTTTCGTTTGAAGAATCCTGCGAAGGCTCGTCCGCAGACCCCTCTTGGCCTTTTGGCTCTTTTGCGCTTCCCTTCTTTGGTGTAGCCTTGGGAGCTTTTCGTTGCCTCTTTGTCTGCGTCGGTGTCTCCAGCGACTCTAGTTCCCGCTTTCCTGCTTGTTTCCTTGTCGAGCTGCGCGGCGTGGGCGTCGGTGCGCCGGGCGTCTCTGTTCCTCCTCGTGTGGTGACCATGGCGACGCCGATTCTGCAGGTTTGGCTGTGTCCCGGCAAAAGGGTGACATGTGTTCGTTGTGTCGGTGATGGGGCGCAACTTTCTTCGCAACACCAAAAAAGATTCTGGCGCGCCAAGATTTCGCGGCCATTGCGGACCCCCGAGACCAGCCATCACCACATCTGATATACTCCCCCACGCTTACAACGACAAGCATTTCTGGTCAAACCATGTCGGTATCTCGACTCGGAAGGCGCTCAGCAAGAGCATTCGGACAATTTGAGACTTGTCTTATTTGCCAATCGCATCAATATACCGAATCAGCTCTGAACAAGCACATTGCGAAACTGGGACCTTCAATCCGGCAAAGACAGAGCTTCCAATTTCAGAGCCGGAACTATGCTGTCAAGCAGAGATTTGACGCACCAAGAGCCCGGGCTGATGTCGACGAGCGCAGCCGGCTGGGTTTCTACACCCTCTCCAACCAACAAGGCGTCCTCAAGATGGAACCTCGCTTAGCGCAGAGCCTCTATGCAGACTTTGTTGCACACAAGGGCAAAATGGATCATGGTGTCAATGTTTTACGACTAGTAAAGAGTAGGTGTTGGATTTTCGCTCAATGTCGACTTCAAATACTAATCTCAACAGAGTACAACGTCCAGCTTGAACATGTCTCGTCTCTTGGGATTGTTACTTACAAGATACCTGACATCAAGGATCCGGTGAAAAGAGCCCAGCTTCCTCCGAGTCAGCATAAAACTATTGCTGGATTGCTTCTCCAGGGCTGTGCTCAGGCTGGGGATCCTCTGGCCATTGTACATATACTGACCGCTGTCTACTTAGGCAGTCTAGGTGATGAGTCTGCCCAAGAGATAGCCCGTCTCTTTCCGCGTCATGAAATACCCAATTACCGCAAGACTCTGGAAAGCTTCGAACAGAAAGTATTGGAAAAAACCACTGCTCTATGGCCGCAAGTATTGACTCTAAAGGGACTGTTCTTTGAACAAGAGGGTCAAAGACTGAAGGCAAAAGAATCTTATTCAGAGGCTGTCAAATTATCCAGTCTCAAATTTGAACCTGGAGCAAGTCACCCTATGCAACTGCCCCTGATTGCACCGTGGAACGCGCTTGGTTTCTTATTAAAATCAGAGAAGACCCTGGACACACAAGCTGAAGCAAGAACGTACTTTCAAAAAGGCGCTCTCGAGGGTGACGATCCGCTTTCATACTATGAGCTTGCGGCTTTTGAGCCTAGGGAAAACGAAAAGTGGTTACGATACACTAGTAAAGCAGCGGCATCAGGTCATAAGCAAGCCATACTTGACCTCATCGATTTTTACTCAGAGGTTGCAAAACATGACTCGCCCATCCTTCAAAATGACAGCATACGTAAAGCGCTCAGCTGGTTATTGGGGTGGAAGAGCGGCAGCGCTGCAGCTCTTGCACGGGAATGGCTCCAGGTCGCATCCAACATTGGCCACAAACCTTCCATGCTACGGCTTGCGGAATATTACGACTCCATCGGCGATCATGAACGAGCAAAGGAATACCTTCGGCAAATGCTTGAAGTTTCGAACACAGCCAATCAACGAGAAGAGTGGCCGCAACTCGTGCAACTTGCAAGGAGACGGCTTGCCGGGATCATGTAAAGCATGTCTTGCGGATAATCTCAATCAATTCATTGCCACTCGCCTAGGAAGTAAACTACTTATCTCTTGGTAATATCCTCGACAAAACCTCTATCTCCGGGACTATGTAGATCTACCCCGCCTCGGCAAGTGAGATACGGGCCTTCCTTATCTGGCATCCTGATAGTAACCAAGATCCTGGAGTATCGAATCGAAGTAATCCTTGTCGAACTTTATATTCCCCGCGATGATTCCAATCTCATACATGAATGAGTTCAACAAAGACTGCTCTGTCTTTCCGGTCAGATCATACCAACGCTCACCACAACTATGACTTCCACCATTGCAAGTAGACCCAACCGCAAAGCCTTGATAGGCTCATCTTCAAGCTTCTGGTCGCATACATCTGAATCAGGATTCGACCTTACCCATCCATCTGCTCACACATCGCCGGTCCAAGGGCCTACTTATACTCTCGAAACCTCAACCGAACCCATAACAGTTGATCCCTCCAAGTCAGCCCTTGTTATCATCGATATGCAAAACTTCTTTCTCTCAGAAGCTTTCGGTCGCAACAAAAAGGGTGCTGGACATGCTGCTTGCGAACAACTGGTTCAACATGCAATACCCGCCGCTAGAAAGGCAGGCATCAGGATAGTTTGGGTGAACTGGGGTCTCACAGAGCAAGAGGTCAAGGAGATGCCGCCAGCAGTCAAACGAGCCTTTGGATTTTTCGCCATCCCCTCAGAGAAGAACTTCAACCCAGGAGACGACGCTTTCGGACATCATGAAGACAGTGTGAGTGTAGATCGCCATGGCAACGAGGACAAGGCCGTCTACTTCGGACTAGGCGCAGATCCTGGAGTCATCACATTCCCAGACGGTAGATCTGTTGAAGGCGGTAGGCTGCTCATGCGTGATACTTGGAACGCAGCATTGTATCCTCCTCTCGATGCTATATACGCTGAGGGCAGCAAACTGGACAAGAACCCGGACGTCTGGATTCACAAAAACAGGATGAGCGGGCTGTGGGGCGCCACAACGCCATTGAAAGAGTTCCTGGATAAAGAGGGTATCAGGACGCTATTCTTCACTGGAGTCAATACAGATCAGTGTGTGGGCGGAACGTTGACGGATGCTTTTAGTAATGGGTATGATTGTGTGCTTCTGGGAGATGGCTGTGGGACTACGTCGCCAGAGTGTGCACAGCAGTGCTGGGAGTATAATGCGAGTAGAACATTTGGGTTCTGTGCGAGCTGCGATCAGTTTGCAAAGGGTGTGAGTGGGGTTGGACAACCATAAGATGCTGGTGTAGGATTATAGCTAAGGAGAGAGGTGAAGCTGGAGACTGGGGGACGGGAAGGAGTACAATATCCTATGGGAAGAGGAGTTGGCATGATATTAGGAACGCAGGATTTGTATTTTATCTCTCACACAAATTGTCAACAAATATGTAATTGACTTGAAATTCATGCTAGCGTATGTAACAAAGTCCTGTCCCTACTCTCACAAGAGCCGCACATGCAAGACTATCTGTTAGTTGATGCGCTCAAAAACCGAGTAGTTGCAGCCTGACACATAGCATGTTCGGCAGTTCTCTCTTAGCTAAAGCACTTAAGTTACATGGTTTTGGTCAATCCTATGCTATACGACACACATAGATATTATACAATTGCTGAAACATATAGTCTGCCACGTCTTGCTGACGCTGCTAGTAGCCCAAAAATATTTGAGATCCCACGTAAGCTGTTGTGAAAGTAGAACGTGGTAAGTATGAACAATGTCCCAAAGATATTTCCTCCCGCCCTCGTTTGTAGATATGCGTATGGACTTCTTCTGCGAAGATGTTTGCGTAACAGGATTGGTGCAGCGAAATGTACGACTGCGGGCGAGCGGAAGTGAAAGGGGGAAAATCTGACATGCACAAGGAAAAAGATAACGATAAGCAAGAACACCACTACCAATCCCTCTTCTCATTCTCAAACGATGGGTTTCTGAAGTGAATAGCCGAGATATATTACGGCAGTTGAACTGCTCATCTTACAGTTCCGTCCGCAACACCTGCTTGGGACTGTGCCGCATATCTTGAACCGGTCGAGAGCCAACACCTTATTTATGACACATGTGGAAAGCAATAGGAAAATATGCAGTTCAAATTAATCCACAGCTACAGAAATCTAACTTGTATTTATACCAACACAACGCACATAAATGAGCTCTCCTCGCCAAGGCCGTCTACTACCATCGGAAAAAGCCTCGGCTAAGCACCGCTCGCCCCGAGAACCCCAAGTCCGATGCTATCCACCCCACCCATGCTCTTCTGCTACATCATCACCTACACTATTCCTACAACAACAACCCGCCGAGTCCAGGTGTTGAGGAGTCGTCACATACAGCCATGTCGGGATTAAGGATATTAGTACCCGTCAAGCGGGTCATTGACTACGCGGTACGTTTTTTTTCTTCCTCTCTGTGTATTTTCCCCGCGGACAGAGTACATGCGCCAGACAATGCCGCGTCCTTTATTCCCGGCTTACAACGGCGTGAAGAGACGGAGCAAGGCTGCGGTCCGCAGCGAAGAATGCCTCAGCGAGGAATTGGGCAAATCAGATCGAGAATGCAGGGAACTAATACGTTCATGTCGCAGGTCAAGCCCCGAGTCAACCGCGCGCAGACGGCCGTCGAAACCGCAAACGTAAAGCACTCGATGAATCCATTCGACGAGCTCTCAATCGAGGAAGCGGTGCGCATGCGCGAGAAAAAGGCACACCATGCGAACGCGCCCGCGGTCGAGGAAATCGTTGCGTTCTCCGCCGGCGTCGCCAAGTCGCAGGACATTCTGCGCACGGCCATGGCCATGGGCGCCGACCGCGGCATCCACGTTGTGGTGGAGGAGAAGGACGCTCTAGAGCCGCTGGGCGTCGCGAAGCTGCTGCGCAAAGTCGTAGATGAGCAAAAGAGCAACCTGGTGATTCTAGGCAAACAGGCCATTGACGACGACGCGGGGCAGACGGGCCAAATGCTCGCGGGCCTGCTCAACTGGCCGCAAGCCACACAAGCGTCCAAGGTGACTATCAACGATCAAACGGTCGAGGTAGTGCAGGAAGTCGACGGCGGCGTGCAGACAATCAAGGCGAAGCTGCCCATGGTGATTACCACGGATCTGCGTCTCAACGAGCCCCGCTACGCCAGTCTCCCCAATATCATGAAGGCGAAGAAGAAGCCGCTGGAGAAAAAGAGCCTCAGCGACTACGGCCTTGATACTAATGTCCGGCTCAAAACGGTAAAGGTTACCGAGCCCCCGCCACGCAAGGGTGGTGTCAAGGTGGAGGATGTCGACGGCATGATTGGCAAGCTCAAGGAACTGGGTGCCTTGTAGACGTGCAATATAAAAAAGACAATACGAAGACCAAATTCAAAAAAAAATCAATCACAGATGTATACTATGGAGGCTTTTATGCCTGTCTCGGTCAACATGCCAGATTCCTGCTAGTATATCGTCTTCGCTAGTTGATTCCATCTGCAAGGCGATGAAGACGCATTCTCAGATGATGTAGATTATGGCTTGCTTGTGTCTCTGCTGACCTGACTAGCAAGGCTGGAAAGTACTTGGATGCGAGAATTGCAGGACAGGGATATACATGAACAAACATCTAGCATTGACTACGAAACGATGGCTGGTACCAGATGACACGAATCAAGTACATTGACAACATGCGATGCGTATCACGAGGACTGAGCCGCGAAGAAACTCAAGAAACTTCCTGCAGTCAGACCGCCTACAAGCGCGAGCGACATGAAGCCTCCTGCGGCCTCGAGTTCGTCTGGGTCGACCCACTCGGCGAAACCCATCATGCAGTTGCTGCCTAGGTAGCCGTTTGTCATGCCAAAGAACAGCTGTACGACGAAGAGATAGAAAAAGTCGGAATTGATGGCTGCGCCGTTGCCTCCAATGTTGCAAAGGAGGTACAGGGGAATGAACAAGATTCTGACAAGGGAGAGAACGAACAACAAGCGCGGGCGGTGCGTCAGACGCAGAGCCGGGAGGGCAGGGCCCACTCGGCCGATCAGGTCACCAAGGTTCCAGAAGAAGAAGCCCAGAGGGATGAAGACGGCTGGTTGGAACAGGCGAGATGAGGTAGCTGGGTCGCGTACGCTAAGAATCTGAGGTGTGAAGACGGGGAAGAACATGGTTACTGCAAAAGTGATGAAGACGGCGCCAGCGAGCCAAAAGAGCTTCTTGAGAAGTCTCGTCAGCGGGATGCTCTTGCGCTCGCTGCGGCCGGTGTCGTACTCGGGTCCGTCATCGTACAATGTGCGCATCATGCGTTGCTTGGAGCTGTCCCTAGAGAGCAGGTGGAAAAAGGCGACCAAAGTTGCCACGGAGACGCCAGTGGCAGTCAAGAAGTAGACAAATGCAGAAGTGCTAGACTCTTGTGGCGCTCCGTCGAGATGCTGCTTCTTCGGGACGGAGAGCACAGAGATGATCTGGGTAATGGCCGGCAGGACACCAGCAACACCCTGGCCAGACATGATTCCCTGTGTGTATTCTTCTCTTCCAAAGCCAGACACGTAGGCAAAGACGCCATTCTGGCACAGGCCAGTGGCCAGACTAGCAATCAGCACCATGACCATGAGAAAGGCAAAGTAGACGCCGACCGAGACGCCGAGGAACAGTTTTGTGGATATGGCGAGCAAGGTAAAGACTACAGCATTCAGGGCGAGCGACGCAATGATGCGCTTGGGGTAGTTTGCGCGGGCTTGCATCTTGGTCAGGACAACCATGGAGCCCAGGTTGCCGACGGTGGAGACGGAGAGGATGCCGGACTGAAAGTTGCGGAGGAGGCTGTCGTTTGATTCGAAGCGTCGCTGGAAGTAGGGGGCTGCTGCTAGGAACATATTCCTGCAAGCGTGTTAGTCGCGTACGAGCCATGTGAGGACGTCTCGTACCAGGCCCATAGCATGGCAACTCCCAGCAGGACGAAGACGGCATAGTCGGTCCAGGAGAAGGCCTGCTCCTCGCCATCAATGTGCTCTCCATCAGGCCGCTCAGAGCCACCTTCCAGTGGCTCGTACGAGGCGGCTGAGTCATCGCGCTCGAATATCCGGCGTAGGCGCTCCATGGTATATACGTGTGTATGGCGCTCGAGGTGTTAGTTATCGGGCGTCGGGACGGAGTCGCGGACGTCTCGACGGCAAGTCTATGGGTGAGGAGGATCTTCTAATAAGGGTTCTGTCGTTCACAAAGTAAGTTCAGAAAAGGCACACATGGTCAGGCGAAACGGCCACTAGCAAGACTCATGACCACGGCGCGTGGATGGAAGCGTGTCGAGCAGTGGTGGTAAGCAGGTGATGGCGCGGTGTATGTCACTTGGGCACGGACGCGGCGCTAGGCATGGGGGCTCTCTGCCTGCAGCGGGCGGGATTGATGTCACCTCCACCCCCGCCTACCCCTCCGATTCGCTGTGCCCGTTGCATTCCAAAAGATTCTATACTCAACACCAGCACAGCATTAAGAGGGACCTCTGCCACGCCCATTGCTCTCCACGCACATACACACGCGCCATGTCGTCCCACGTACCTCCACAGACCATCTCGATCAAGCGTAAACGCACCGAAGCCCCCGTCGACTCACTACGGATAGATCACGAAGTCAAACGCCAGAAGAGCGGGAACCTCGATCTGGGCTTTGAGTCTGAGCCAGAAGTCCAATTCTTCTTCCGGCGCCTCACCAAGCCCGGCGACAATGTGCATCTGGCCTCAGCCCCGCCAACGCCGACTGCCCAGCGGAGATTTCGGCTCGACCCCGTGTCAAGAATAGGAGCGAAACGACACTTTGTCGAGGAGCAAGCATCTGCGAAGAACGACAGTCCCTTGGTCGGTGGACAGGTGCAATCGCCAGCCCCAGAGCCCACGCCCGACTCGACGCCGCGGCCACGCAAGCGACCAGGCGCCAGCAGCGCACTCCGCCATACCTCGCAACCAGGTGTCCAGCGCACGCCGCAAGTCTCGGAGCCAACTGAGAAAGACGTGCGCAAACTGGAAGCCCTCTCCAAGGAAGTCGAGAAGACAGACAACCTCACGATAGCCCTGCCGTCGCCCTCGAAACACAAGCCCAAAGCCCCCGCCAAACGCTTCGCAGAACGACATCCCGAGAAGGCTGCTGCCCTCTCGGCGCACGACCACAACACCGCAGATGGCGATGCAATGGACATTGACAGCGAATACGTCTACGACCACTATGTCCGCGAGCCCGTGCTGCCCGATGCCCCCGCGCCAACCGGCACCGTCGGCCTGCTCGTCATCGGCGAGGAAGACGCAGACTGGTGGGACAACGACGAAGCCAGCGACCGCGAATTCGACACGGACGACGAGGACGAAAACGCAGAGGACTACTACGCCAACGACTACCCCGAGGACGAAATGAGCGACGACGACGAGTTTGACCGCAATCTGTACAAGGCAAAGTATCGCCATGGGAGTGACGACGAGGAGTTTGATGCTGCTGCGAGTGCAGACGACGATGCGCTCGCCAGTGGAGAAGACGAGGATGACTTGCATTTCAAGATGACGGTGCCCAAGGCGCAGAGAGGGTACTGGGGCTTGCAGGGGGAAAAGTAAATGACGTATGATAAGCACTGTAATTGAGGTGTTGCCAGCCTTTCTTTTTTGTAATTCTTGATACAGCACTACTTGCATAGCGAAGTTGGAATACTTGGCGTCTTGGTCTTGCACTCCTTTGCATTCTTCAACTAAGATACATGTTACTTGCACACTTAAACGCGCTACTTACACCCCTTACTCCTTTTCTCCCTCCAATCCAATCCAACCATCTTCATCCCCTTCCCTACCCAACAACAAACATATCCCCCCTCCACCCATACACGCCCGCCAAGCGCCTCCCAAACCTGCGCGCCCACGTAAACGGCAGCCTCCTCGTCGGATGCGGTTCGTGGAACTGGATCGGGCGAAGCTGATGCTGTACATGCACAATGTCACCGTGTCTAGGTGTAAACTGCCACGCCGAGCCCTGCAGTTTCTGTGCTGAGAAGCCCACGGCTACCATGGCGTGCAGGAACTCGTGCCAGGGGAGGTCGCCGGCGTGGTGCGGTGAGAGGGGCGAGTGGAAGAGGGTGCGGAAGACCTTGTGGGTTCGGGGGGTTAGGTGGAAGATGTGGTGCTGTTGTTGTTGTTGTTGTTGTTCTTCTTCTGTAGTTAGTGTAGTAGCGTGGTCTTTGGTTGCACTGTCGTGCATGTGGTTGTGGTTGAGAGTCGTTGGACTACCACACTTTGGCTTCTTGGGCCCGCTTACACGCAGTCGGTCGAATGGACCTGTGATTTGCGTGGCGGGATCATGCACGTGGTTGGACAGCGGGATGTAGAGGTATTCGAGTGGTGGCGTGCTCGGCTCCGACTCCTTTTCCGGCTCGGCCCACGGCGGTGTGCGCTGTAGCGTGCGCTTGGTGAGGATATCAGAGACCATGTCGTGCGGCGTTGTGCCGGTGCACTCTCGGAATCGGGCATCTGCCGCAACCCAAAAGGCGTCGAGAGCGGCCTCTGCGGCGCGGAGAGTCTGCACGTTGGCCTTGCTGCGCCGCTTTCTGACGGGGTATCGGAACTTTGAACCTGGTTTTCCAAGCTCGCTGAGGTTGGTGTTGTGGAAGCTGGCCTGGAGAGTCGCGTGCCACTGGGCTAGGTTCGTGGCATAGGCTATGAGTAGTTCTGTCTGTCGCTGCTTGACTGCATACTGGATTTGCTTGGCCCATGGGAGGAAGAAGCTGAGCTGGCGATGGCACTCGGTAACGATGGAAAGCTTTGATAAAAGAGCCGCCGTCAATGGGGAGGTGAGACTGCTGGCTCGGTCGCTGGTTTGCAGGACTTGCTCAAGTGTTTGGACCAAGGTGTACGTTTTGAGTGACTGTCTCACTGGCGGCTCCAAAAGGTATTGGAAGAGCTTGAGGATGTGCTCCAACTCCTTGTCTCGCTTGCGACTGGACTTGTTGACTCTTTTGATGCGAACGACAAGATCTCCATCATCGCCGCTGCAGTCCTGCGAATGATATGAGCGGATATAGGGAGACGACGCCCAAGCTGATTTCAGTTCATGTATCACCTCCAACTGGAAAGTCTCCAAGAAGAACCACGTCTCGACCAGCGCCTCGAAAAAGTCGCGAGGTATTTCTTCTTGGAATCCGATTTTTCCAAACAAGAGCTTGTCCTTGTGTTGTAGCGACAGTCGGTGAAGATTGGAAATGCGCACGTGCACTTGATTCCACATGAAGAGATCGATGTAGCAATCAGCAACGACGCTGTGCAACACACGGGGCAAAAGGAAGTCGTCGTCGGCATTCTTATGAGCTCGGTTACACGTAGCGCAACGAAGAAGCTCAGGCCGGTGCTCGCGTTGCTCAAGCGTGAAATCCCGAAAATACCCCGGGTCTTCTCGCAGTAGCCAAAAATGATCTTCGGCTGCATCTTTGCACGCAGAAACAAGAGCCTCGAGTCTTGCAATATCGGCTAGCGTAGGTACTCGATAACAAGCTTCTCTTACGATGTTGTTGAGTGAAGTGAAGTCCTGGTTGTCACATACCAAGGGGAGAGAATCAGGGATGTTCATAGCATGACTCTTTGCTTCTAGCACGCCCTCGTCATCTTTGCTGGTGCAGCTTTTGGTGTTTCTCACGTCTTCAATCAAAGCTCGTTGGCCAAATGTTTCACCTCCAACAGTGGCATGTCCACGCGTGATTTGGTCAAGGTTCTTGAGATTGGACAAGATGTCGCGCTTCCTTGTAGGCAAGATTGCCAAGATGCATCTAAAGAGGAACTGGTACATGCGAGCTTGTATCGATGAGATATGCAAAGCAATGAGGGGGTGGACTGTTTTGCCTCTACTCATGGATTCAGAAGCCGCCTCCTCAGTGTCCCATTCCAAGATTTCGCCGTAGTTGTCTATGGAAAGACCCACTGTATACTTTGTCTTCTCGAGAATGGCTGGGCGCAGATGTATGAGGGGTGCCATCTCATAGTCGAGGAGAGCGAAATCCCACGGCAGATGACGACCGCGGGCGTTGAGAAGGATGAGCAGGGCGTTTGGGGTGCTGAGATCTTGGAGATTGAGGTGAGGATGGGCATAGTGACCCAGCGTGTATGAGTGTCTTTGATGTGGACAGCTATTGAGAACCGGGCGATCGATGTCAGGGCGATGCTTGGGAGGCAATGTCGAATCAGCAGCGAGCAATATGGCCTTGCGTTGTGCTACCGACTTTTTGAGCCAACACTGGCTGATCTCGGCTTCGAACTCGAGGACAGCGTATGAGACTGGGACCCATAGTCGGAGGATTGAAAAGAGGTCATAGCCACCTGTTTCATCAATGATGTCCTTGACTGGAACCAGAAGACTCTGTTCCCAGCAGAGGGGTTCCTCCTGCATATCTTTGTCGCATGGGTCCTCTTCCGGGCAGCCATAGTAGCGGTGAACGAGGTCAAAGTATTGAAAGATATCGCCTCGAGTAAATGTGAGGCCGCCAGATCTTGTGCCTCTGAGGAGAGCTGTGCGCAGGGCATGGGCGGCTTCCGTCTCGGGAAGTGATTTGAGCGACCGCAGCCATTGCTGGTAATGATCGGCCGGCCCAATACTGTACTTCGTGGGCGACATGGAGAGACGGGGTCGGGTGCAATGGTTGTGATGCAAAGAAGGTACAAAGACAGTGGTACTTGAAAATTCCAGTTTGCGTAGGCCACTGAGTAGATATTTCCACAAGAGCAAACGGGCAGCGAAATGAGAGCACCTAGACAAACAGCAAACAAACAGCGGCAAGGGGCAAGATTGCAGCCTGGAACTGCGATGAAGGCAAGTTGCATTCATCCTGACGGCAGCAAACACGACAATATTCTCTGCCGACACAACAAGTCGTTTAGCGAGAAGAGTTGCAGTGAGCACTGTCAAAGACTCAGCCAAGGTGGTGTAGCTCGTAGGCGCAACTGAGCTGTCACCCGGTAGCCATGAGTGGCCGCCAAGACGGAGGGAGATTTCAAGGAAAGACAGTGTCAGGCCGTCAAGGGATGCGCAGGGCGACGTCATTTTGCAAGCATGGTAGAGTAGCCGTCACCTTGGCGGAGTTGCGGTCAAGTTTGTTCAAGAGTCGGTCAGCGAGGGCGGGCGGTTGTGGTCGGAAAGGTGCAGTGGACAGGGAAGCGGAGAGACAGCTAGAAAATCCCAACGCATCGACGCGACGGGCTGCACCCAACACGACGCGCGGCGGATCGTATACAGGCCCAGGCGCAGCGACAGTTGGACACACATACGACCTTGTTTCCGCGGGACCGGAAGGCGACGTTGCACCCATGGCGGGAGTCTTTGTCCCGACGAGCCTAAAGACAGGGCAGAGGCGTGAAGCCGGGGCAGGCATAACGACCCCAGGCGGTGGTGAAGGATAATCCGGGGAATGCGGGAGTGGAACAAAGCAAAGACGGGGAGGGCATCCGGCAAAGTTTACCACGGGCTGTCTGGCTATGATGAGGTGATGTGGAAACAGGCTTGGTTTTGGCTTACCAAGACAGAGTGCCGACGGCATCCCATTCGGTGGGGGGGGGGTGCGTGGGTAGAGGCTTCGACGGGCGGCCTTGGCAAAGAGGCCATGGTGTCGCAAATTAAGGACAAAAAAGCAAAGCCGAAGGTTTGGGCGAGTATGAAAAGGGCAGAGGGCGCCGTGTATCGGCAAATGGGCAGCGCATCGATGGTTCGGATGGTACGGGGACTAGGGCCAGGACTATGGGGCAGCAGCGGAGAATTGCGATGCAGATGGATCCATGGAGACTCTGGGGCAGCAGCTGGCAGCAGCTGGCATGGCGGTGCAGCGACGAAGAGACGCGGCGCCCACGTTTTGGAATCAGACGTCGTCGCCATGTGCCCAGTCGGGCAGGGCGGGCGGCAGAGCAGGGTTGCGTAGGGCAGGACAGGAGCAGAAACAAGGCCTGAAATGTCACTTCCTGGGTGGAACTCGTACCGTGCCCGATGGGATTAGGGGGGGGCGGCGCTGGCGGCACGCGTCGGCTCGAGCGTTTTGTTCCAGGCAGCCTTCTCGAAGGCGGGCGTGCGCGACGAATAGAAAAGGTAAGCTGATGGGGGAAGGGATTGACGTGGCGGGTTGTGGAGGAGAGTATCCGCGCATGGGTTGTTGGGCCGCCGGTGAGTGAGCGAGTGGGTGGACGAGGGGGGAATGAAGGGGATGAAGGGGATAGGGTGAGGGGGAGAGAGAGAGAGAGAGAGAGAGAGGCGGGGAGGGGGGCAGAGGATGAGTAAAGGGCGTGGGTGAGAGATTGAGTGAGGGCGCGAGCGAGCGAGTGAGAGATTGAGTGAGGAGGCAGCCGCGAGCGCGCTGGAGGGCAGGAGCGAGGGCAGCGGCGCGCAAGAGAGGAAGGCGCGCCCATACGCCGCCTTGTTTTCAGGAGAGGGCGAATCCCAGGCCGTTGGGATCCGGGGAATCGAGGCCGCAGCTCCACTTTCCCCATCCTTTTTGGCGCCGCCGCACGCCTCGCGTGGGGTGTGCATGTGTACTTGTAGTCGTGTATCGAGCATCGAGTACGAGTGGGCGTGGTGGGCGTGGTCGTGGTAGTAGTCCCAGTAGTCCCAGTAGTCCCAGCAGTAGGCCTGGCATGTGTCCATGTATCTATCTATGTATGCATGCATGTATCGACAGGCATGCGCCGTCGAGGAGCGGTCAGAGCAAAAGTATACTCGTCCTGCTGCTACCACTACTGCACTGCCGCTGCTGATGCCAATGATGCCAATGATGCCACTCTGCCCACACGCCCTCCGTCCTTCTCTCGTCCGTCGCCAATTGGCGTGCTGCTTCGGCCCGTCTGCCTCTGCGCTCGTCGAGCCCTCACTCTATCCGCCGGCGGCCTCAACTCTGGCCTGCCAGACAGTCGCATCGCCTCTTGTCGCATCCCATGCAACCCTTATCACGTACCGTGCACAGGTGCAACGTCGGCCGCACGCCAGCACCAGCCTGTCGCAGCCGTCCGCTGCCCCGGCCCACAACGCCCCCCATTTGCCTCAATCGCTGATACACTTTTTGCTTTTACTAGCTCAAAGCGCCTTGCTGCCGAAATGCCCTGCGAGCGCTGCTAGTCATGCGAGTCAGCCTGCACTACGGGGCGGTGAATCGCGACGCTGCTCTTGCTTTGCCGTATAAGACAAGCCCGCCCCCCTTCTGCGCGATACCAGCATTCGCTACACAAGCCCACCACACTTGCTTTCTGACTCTTGTCCACCCACCGTACACGTCACTTTGCCCACGCACACGCACGCACGCACACACATACTCTCTCTCTCTCTCTCACCCCCCGGCCCGGCCGCTACACACTATCCTGAATATTACCCGCCCTCTCTTACCATTGTCCATATACATCGCCATCCTCCTCCTCCTCCTCCTCCACCCAGACCAAACCCTTCTTGCAACACGCCCCAAGCCGTGACACGCCTCTCTCACTGGCAACCGTCTAATCAGACGTGAGTAAAACCCCAAACGCATCCTCCGTGGCCACGCCCCAAGCCGGCCCTGCCTATATCCGGCCCCCGCCTCCACATTGGCTGGCGCTGCATTCGCCTACATGCAAGCCCACGACAAGCACTCCTCAGCCCTGTCCCACCCCCCTCCGAGAGATCCTTCTTTTGTTGTCTTTTGCAATTAGCGTCTGACTCACCCCCTTTTTAGATTTATAATTGATTCTGCCGCCCAAACTTAGCCCGCTGCCAATACCTACATAACGCGGCGCCATCCCCCCCAAAAAAAACTCCCGCCAACGGGTCCTTGCAAAACCGCGACCACTACCCAATTCACCTCAGATCCTCGTGCCCCTGATTGGCTGCACCTCCCCACTAGTCCCAACCACAACCACTCTTGGAATTTATCAACACAAGACCACACCACACCACACCACATCGCATCCGCCAAAATGCTTGCTGCATCAAACGCCGCCTTCAACCCCCGCACCCGCCTGTCCATCATGACAAATTCAACCCTCGGCCACGACGTTAGCGCCGCCTTCAAGGCCTCGGCTGCCAATCTCTCCCGCGCCGCAAACATCAACGAGACGCCCGCCCCGCCCCCATCTCCCGTCGACTTTAGCTTTCCCAGCACCCCCACCGAAAGCCGGCGAGGCAGTACAAACTAGGCCTCCGAGGGCGCCTCTTCTCTTCTTTTTCTTCTCCTTACTCTTTGTCTTCTCTTCTCACCTCACCCCCCCTTTTTTTCTTCTTACCTCTTCACTGCTTCTAGCCTCTCTCTGTACATTTAGCGGGTTCACGATTGGAGGAAGTCTTTCGGAACGGAACCAACGTGGGAATGACACTCTGACATGTCTATGGCGTTTTCGGCGAAGGGACATGGAAAAGGGAAAACCCAACCGGACTTTTTCTTTTCTTGGTTTTCTTTGCTTATTTTGCTTTTTCCAATTCCATCTTGTCACATTGTACTTGTTGATGAAAAATACAACAACATAAAACTTTGTTCTCCTCTCTCTCTCTACTGCAAATAATGATACCCAATACCCACACCAGCTGTGATGCCTGGTTTTGCTTCTTCTCTTTCTCAAAAAGTCTATCCAACCTGTCTTTTTTTTTTATTGAAATCGTGGTTGCTTCCCATACTTGATCCCACTCGGCGCACGCACGCACACACACACACACACGCGGCGCAACATGCCGAGTCTAAGTGTATTTTATGCCGCCCGAAAAATGGCATCAAGCAGCAATATCGAATTTCATCATTTCCAAACCAAGAATGAAAGGAAAAAAAAACTAATTTGCACCCCCGCACTTTTTTCCTTGCTTTCTAGCCCATGTATGTAGGTATGTATGTATGTATGTACGCACAGACACTGTCTCCCTTTTTTTTACTTCTTTCCTTCTTTCCTTGTTTCTTCTTCTCCCTCATCTATCTCGTATTAGCAGCATGCCGCCCAACGCCCCCGCCAAAAAAAAGGGGGGGATTGATTGATTGAGTGATTCCAACAGGGGAATAGACGTGTGCACCGGTCGCATACTATAGTCAGCATCGCAGTAACCAAACGAGCATATCGCATATCTTTCTCCCTTCCCTCCCTCCCTCCCTCCCTCCCTCCCTCCCTCTCGCGCACGCGCACGCGCACGCGCACGCGATGTGCCGCTATGCCGCTGCCGCCGCCGCCGCCCCCACACGCCCACAGCCACAAATCCCCCAATCCCGACGTTGCTATCGCCAGATCGGCAGCCAGCCCACCAACCACCCCCGACTACCTAAGCGAGGCTAACTGACTAGCTATTTATACATCTCCATAATCCATATCCATATCCTTCCTCAACCCCCACGTCATCAACCCACATCCAGATACTGTTGCCCGTTCGCTCAAGCCCCCTCCCCCCCCCTTTTTTTTCTCTCTCTTCACCACTAGCACACTAGCTCTAAACTCTCTTCCTCTCACACTGCCACACGCACATACATAAAAGCTTATTTATTGCTGGTATCGGACTCTATATCTCCCTCTCGGTGTGTGTGTGTGTGTGTGTACCTCGTCTGTTTTCACTATATCCGGCATTTCCCGCATTAACATGTACCGACTATTAACATCGCCCTTACTTATGCCCGCGCGTGCACTTACCTTTTTTTGTTGATACCCGATGTTCATTAAGCTTGGTTTCTCGCTCTCCCGCTCTGCATGTCGTTTGAGATAATCGCCGACATGGACGCGTATAGCGGATTAGGTTAGTAGCTTGGTAAGTTGGTGAGACGGCTGTGTTTTGCGGTAATCACATACCCTTGTGAATATGAGTAAGAACCTTGGATATTGTCGCCTTTGCGCTTTGCAGCGAATGTGTTGGTGTTGCGTCAGATGGTGACATTTCCATCATACATGTTTGGTCTGGGCTCGTCTGGTGTGCTTGGGTTGGGTTGGGTTGGGTTGGGTTGGGTCAGGGTTGGGGTTTGTGGCTGATAGGAGGAAGGTGACGGAACAATAAGTGGATTACATCAAGGAAAAACTCATCTGGTTTTTTTTTGCCTCTCTATCTGTGTTCGACGGCGATGGTGATCTGGATTCCACCTCGTATCTCGTCGAATATTGTTTCGATGTGTAAATTGTGTGTGTGTGTTCCGCTTTCCCAACGCCCGTCTGGTACAAAGGAGGGGGACCTTTGTGATCTTTACATCATCATGCATTTTCGTAACCTATCTATCCTTCCCTCCATCCAAGTAGGTAAAACTCTCTCCCACATGTGAAAACTATCTTACCCCACATACCTGCCGGATCAAGATATCACGACGATACGATTGCCTACATAAGCTCGTTTCGCTGGATCCATCGCTAGTTCCACAGCTAACCCCCCCAACATCCATCTCCCACATTGCACGTCTCCAGGCTCCAGACCCTTCTAGCACATTTTACTTTACTCGCTTGATTGACTTGGTGTCTCCAACGGATTCCAAGACGCTGTTTTGCATAAGCGTGATGTGGGGATTGGGAGAAGGAGTGGACTAAGCTGGTTTTGCATTCCATCGCATACAAAACATACTATACCATCCGAAGACGACAAGAGGAAATGAATAAAATGCCTCAGATTACATACTCGGACTGGTTTCCATCGCGCAACAACATTTCCCGCTGAGACCAAGCTTGGCGTCACAATCTAGCCCTTGCTACGCAGTAACACTATCATCATCATCATCATATCCCCCGCACCAAGCAAATATAGACTCAACCAGCCCTTGCATATGTCGTTTGTAAACACAACCTTGATTAAGGAAAAAAGACGTCTAGTCGCCAAACCCGCTATTCCCCCAACATCCAGCCAAGGCGCCCGCGAAACCCAACAACACGAATGATAGTATGCCGTGCTGGACCGGTACACTTGCACATCGCCGCGAGTCTAGACTGATTTATATATAGCACAGTACTCTAAAACTTGTTTAATTCGCGCTGTAAAGGGAATTGGGTTTTCGAAGAGAGGGTAGGGTGTGAGAGTAGCGTCGTCTGCATATTTGGATGTCGCTTCGTAGAGATGTGTATACTGAATGAATGCAGAAGATGGAAAATTGGGTTGAAGAAAGTAGGGGGATAGCTGGTCGAGAAGCGGCTATAATGCTGTAATGGTGATGGTATAGCGATTGTCAGGGTATATGTGGAATAGAGGACTGCTGTATATGTTTGGGGTAGGTAGAGATACCGGTGTGGTAGATGTGAACGAAGACATGGACAGAATAATTTGTCGGAGTTATATGATGATTGATAATCAAGTTCTTTTACACCCCCTTCACGACACTAGATTTCTACTTGGACTTGTCTCGGCTATGCACACACACTCTTTCTCTCTAGCTTCGAGTACCTCGCGTATTTTGAGGACCTAGGTTCCACACACATATATATATATATGTGTGTGGTGCAAGAAGGTCAACCTTCTGCACCATGCAGAAGCCAGAGTAGATATATCCCGACAATATATATATGCGGAAACATGCTTATAACACCATGGTCCTAGATTTACGCTCCTCTTCTTTTTTTTTAGAATGGATTCTCCCATTGTACCCTACACACACACATACACACACAATCATCGGCTTAGAAAGTAGAGTAAAGACAAGACGAAGAATGTGAATAGTACCACTGAGACCATAGTTACGACACAACCTGATCTTGCAATCCTTCCGGGCCCACGACAATATTGATACTAAGAGCGCTGTTTAATCCAAGCGAGGGAGGGAGGGATATAGCTAACTACCCCTGAAGTGTGAAGAAGAAAAAAAAACAGATGATAAAGATTGAGAAGATGAAAGGGTGAATGGTGATGAAGTAAATGTCTGCATTGTAGTATAGCTCGGGTATATCAATGATAGTATACAGTTAAGGCGTGTTATTCCTATTCTCGATACCTAACGTACATCAATGCCACCTTGATATGCGATTGCATATATACGAAGGATGAGAAGACAGTACGGCAAAGTGTGATATAATACAACTATGCTGACTGGACATTTTGTGACAGTAGTGTGGATACGAAACTATACCATTTTTTACCCGAATAGAAGATGATATCTCTAACGAATAACACTTCGACAAATCCAACAACCTATTATCATGTATCTGACTTTAAAATATTGGTGTGGATACTATACTGCAATAACTGCGTGACGAGAGCATGATCAGTGAGTACATGAGCGGTGTAGTACATCACATCTGACTAATTCCGAGCGAGGTATATAGTAGATAGCTATTGCAGGTAGAGCAAGGAATCAACTGCCACCTGAAAAGACTCTGTCTGTTGGTAACTCTGTTTCAGCAACCTGACTGTCTAATGGTTACAATTCCAAGCCTGTTTCTTCTTTTTTTTTCCGTGCCGGGATATGCTATTGCTGTTTCAATATAAGAAAGATGGCTATTATACGCGGATTCGTGTGCTACACGCTTACTCCAGAGTATAGTTAGTACATTTCTTCGTATTCGTGATGCTTTGTCGTCAAGACCTGCTATCTTGCTTTCTTGAAATGATACATATCACGTCACAACGTATACCCGCTGTTGCCATCCCCTTGTCTAAAGACATTAGGGGACGGAAGTAAACAATCGTCCAAAGTATATGTTCACACTTCCGATAAAAGCGTTAGTGAGTCACGGCACAAACGCTTACTTCAATTGTAAGTATTTCATGCAGTAAGTATATCTACCGTCTGCCAATCCCATACACTTCCAGACATCCTCCCCGTAGAACAGGTCCACACAACACCAATCACTCTGCCGACAGCATCCGTCGCAGATTCTACGCATGCACACTATGCAGGGGCCGAAAGCGGATAGGAAGGAAGATTGTTGTAATGTATTTCCCAAAGGACTTTCAGGTTGGCTAGAAAATCCCAGGCAAATCGTACATGCATGTCCGACCAGAGAGACAAGTAGGAGAGCCTAGAATCCGCCACGAAGCGCAAGCACCAAGTGCAATGTAGCACCGCCCTCGAGCTGGTAGTCTGCTGCCGTCTTGTCGTCGCTCCTGAGGATTACATCAGCCTCCGCTGTACATTGAGCCATGTGTGTGAACCTACATCTGCTTTCCTCCGTAGATCAAGCGCTGTTGCGCAGGCGGAATGCCTTCCTTCTCTTCTACGCGCTCCTTTATCCTCGACACCTGTATACACCGTCATTTTCCTGGGCCTTGAAAACTGCCTATAAACACGGTGGGCAAATTCTGGGGGCCCAGCGGTAGTGCATTGTTTGTAGACGTGTGTCGTCTGGCGCTGCGTACCTTGTAGTCGGCCTCGATGTCGAGCTCAATCTCCTTGCCGGTGAGCGTTCGCACTCTATCGCTCTGGTTAGCCTTTCTAATATCCTTGGGTTTAGAACATATGCCACCTACTTGATCTGCATCTTGTCTGTCTCGGTCTGCTTCGCGCTGCAATGACGTTGTCGTGTGGTATACGCGCAGCAGCTTTGGTCGTCTTCGCGCCGGTATATCGGGTTTCAGCAAGTAAAGGTCTATGTCTCACTTGTGGCACAGTGTCGAAGGCGCAAAAGTGTGTATAGGCACCAAAGAGTGACGATGGTTACCCAAATGTCAGGCTGCAGCTTCCGGACCACGGACCACTGATGGTGGGGTCGGTGAGGCGCGTGCGCCACGAGGCGGGGCAGACAGTGTGGCTGGTGTAGGCGTGTGGCGTCGCTTACTGGAAGTGGCTGTGGGTGGATGTAACAAGCACAAACACCATGTGTTCTGCAGGGACGAAAGATGTGTAGCGTGTATACGGCATCTCCAGATTGGGAACAGAATGAACCCCGGACAGGGTATGGACGGTGTGCGGCAATTGAATCCCTCGAAAAAACAACTTTGGCACGGTTTCTTCACTCTGCCTGCCGATCCACATGCAACGACTGTTTTACCACACTGACACCTACATGTAAGCCTTTGTTTCCCTTTTAACCGGGATACTTTCCGACTGAGTAAAAGACTGACTAGCCAGGGCATTCTTACTCAGCAAAAGTACACTAAGGTGATCTCACGCTTGAAACCCCGAAATCACACCATTCTCACCACATCTTTTCTGCCCCTAACCCATGTCCTGAGCCCCAGTCATACCTGAAACCGGCCCCTACACACCTAGGCGTACATGTGCTTAGACAATTATCTCCTAAGCATATCCCTCGCGCTTATCTTGACCCACACAGGCAAAAAAAGCCTCACTTCCCCCCATCCCTGCTCCCTCACTGCCAGCCAAGACCAAAATCCCTCTCACCCAAGAAAACAAGAAACCAACAACACGCTACATCGGACGACCCAACCACCCGCGTGATTCCCCTCTTCTTCCCAAGAGCCTTAATCTCGACCGCACAAAGTTTCAGTCTTGGCCTCCATAGCAGACAAGCGCCAAGAGCGACAGGTGCAAGGAAAAAAGAAAGCGAATGCGAAAAGTCAGATGATAAACACGATAGTACAGTAGATTACACCGCTCAAGACTTGTATACGAATCTCATCGGTATATGAAACGTGCAGCTTTACACCTAGTCGACACAAGATGCAATCTAAGCGCAAGTAAACTGCCGTGTATACACGCTTGCTTTGCTTGTTCCATGCAAGCAAGTAGCCAGTAAACGAGTAGAACGGCCCGCCTTCTGGCATCGGGAATAAGGAAACCCGCAAGAGGCAAAAATGTATGTCATATGCAAGACAAGTATGGGTAGTGTGGGTCGATTGCCAAGAGAGCCCTACATACTCACTCACCGCATGGGAGGCAGGGTAGAAAAGAAAACATATTCCGACTGTTTGGTACAGGTTAATTGCACGTAATCAACAGTGTGGTGCTGGGTTTGAGATAGATGATATTTTCTTCTTCTTTGGGCGCCGGTGAAAACGGACGAAAAGCATCAGGGGGTGGGGAATAGAGAGTAGCTTTAGACGAGAAGAAAGGACCAAAGGACCAAAGGACGCGTATGTGCTATAGATAGTATATGCAGCAATAAATCTCAAATCTAGGGTTGGACAAGAATCAGAGAAGAGACAACAAGGTAAAAGGGCAGGGTGGGGCAACCGCACTTGGAAGAAGGGGTAAAACAGAGTCGATATGACAACTTATCTGTAGTCAATGGTAATCTCCATTTCCATTAGCGATGCCAAAAAAAATATCACAACAGTTGCCCCACGCCTTCATTTTTCCTTCTCCGGTGAGCCCCAAAAAAAAGGAATCCAGAGGGGAGAAAAAGGAAAAAAAGACCCCACACGACTACTAAAATCACGATCAATATCAGTTGTACAGCCCCCCGCCCTCCCAGCAAATAGTACTGTAACGTCGTCCTAGCTACCACTAAATGTTAATTTTTCTACCACCCCCACACACTCTCTCTCCCCTGCAGAGGAAGAGCTGCCAAAAAAAAGTTTCAAAACTTATTATTATTAACTATCATTGTTTTTTCTTTCGTATTCACACCCGTAAGCAGCACCAGCCATCCCGCCATGCCATCCACGCATTCCCGCATCCAACCACACAACACGTGGCGCGTCCAGCATCACCCACCCCTACCACATACCATGTCCGCGGCCGCACCAACATCATCCACCCAAAAAAAAGCAATTTGTCTTCCCCTTCCCCCCTCTCCATTTCCCGCGAATGGACCCCTACATGCAGTAATCCGTCTTTTTTTGTTTTCCTTCAGCACCATCCAATCAATCCACCTTGCATGGTACCCGCAGCAGCACATGTGGATACTTGGCCACTGCGTATATCCGGCTAGATGTCACAAGCAAAACCAAAAAGCAGAATCCCAAATGCAGAAAGAAGGGGAAGAAAGAGGGTGGGAAAAAAAAGCAAAGTCCTTGTATTGGTTCATTTCCGTCGGTGGGCTTTACTTAGCCTTCTTTTTCCTCTTTCCCTTTTCGATTAGTAGCTGTATATACGCGCACACAGACATATGCCCACATCCATAGGCGTACATCCATTGGCACATAGCCATATACTAGCACATCTCACATGTCACGCCAGCCCAGACTAGCCCAGCCCCACTTGGCTCATCTGAGATGTGCATCTCGTAAATCTATCTGCCTGTCAGCCAGCCAGCCATCTCCGCCAGAACCCCGTCATCCGTTTTGTATACATGAAATGCACCATGTCCATCTCTATTTTGGATAAAGCCCAGCTCTAAAATACGAGGACACGTGGTATGCATGTCTGTGTGTATATGATGATATCCAAACCCCCCATGTCCCCATGTCCCACACACCTAGTCTGCACATCCTAGTAGAAAAAAAACCCCCCACACTTACATACCCCAGAGTATTCATTTCCAAAACAATTGCGATGTACATCAACCCATCAAATCCATATAATAACGATCATCACAAAAGGATGTAACCCTCACGCCCCTACTAAGTCCACTATATGTACCTTGTAGTACTATTTAGAACGTGAAAAAACTAGGGTTGTACTAGGGCTATGATTGGGTTGTTGCAGAGAGATTAAAGGCCAGAATAATTTCAAACAATGAATAAATATACAATATTTCAGCCCTGTGAAACACAACAATCGACTAGGTCTAGGGTTTATTTTTCCTCTCTCTCGTTGGTAATACAGTAATCTAGACCAGTCATCTGACAATTCCAAGTATTCTCTACTATCCCCCCATCCCTAGCCTCCTGCCCCATGCCTACAATTCCCCCGAGCGTACATGTATTACATACGCCAGCATACCAGCCCAGCATGCCAGCATGAGAGAAGGGCTAATGGTAAGGATGAGAATAAAAAAAATGAATCAGTCAGTGCATACATTACCCTATCCAGCAATCCATCCATCCATCCACCCATCCATCCATCCCCCCCTTTTTCTCTCTTCTAAATCTTGCGCACCTCGCCGCTCACTCGTGTGCTTATTATACCAGAACCCCCCCTCGTGTATAAGTCGCTGCTTTTGCTATATATGTTTGATATAATATAGCGCTGAGCTAGCTAGCTAACTAACAAACGAACCGACGGGCGTTACATAGTTAGAATACGAATGGCGGTTTCTATATCTAGCTAGGAAAGTATCTGTGTGTATGGGGGGGTCTGTGCGTCTGCGCGTGTGTGTGGAGGTCGCGAGAGGGGTAGGGGTAGGGGTAGGGGTAGGGGTGGTGGGTGTGGGTGTGGGTGTGGGTGTGGGTAGAAAGGGTAGGGATAAGGTGAGGGGGTGTGAGGGGGGGTGTGTGGTAAGACTCAAACTCAGACTCGGATCAGAGACAAAGGCTAAGGGCCAAGACTAGGACCATAACGGTCACTTATCGACGTGCATAAGGACAGGGAATGCCCAAAAGGGAAAAACAGCGAAGAGCAACATGGAGCAAAGAGAGACCGAGCGGGTCAAGGCCTAATGGGGAAATGGAGGGGGGAAAAAAAAATCAGGAACATATCACGCATTAAAGAAAGATGAAGAGAAGAGAATTCAATGCGTTTGCGTCTATCTAAAAAGAGTTGTGTTCAGAGAAGAAGAAAATATGATCAAGGCAAATTTCTACATACATAACATGGGGATTTGGGGGGTATATAGAAACAAAAAACCAAATCAAACCACAGATCAATCTCGAAGCCAACAAAATAGTGAGCCAAGCAGACGAGAATGGAGTGGAAAACGAAGAAGAACAAGGGGAGGAAACAAGACCGAAACCAAACTTTGTCGTAACCTTTTGTGCTTGGCTGCACAAATGCGATGAATAACCAGGAAACGTTGCCTTGCGTTTGGTGGTGTTACTGCCGCAACCATCATCCGTCGGACAACACAACCCGCGGTCCGATCTTCCCAGCAGCCAGTGTCGGAAGAAAAGGACGCGAATGCCAAGCTCGCTTGCAGTTGCTGAACCGGATACGGCGATATACTCTCCTTCACCAAGTCGCCCAAGCATCCCCCGTCCGCACCAGCACAACCATAATCCATTCACAACATCATGCATAGTAAGAGCCGACTTCTCCCGAAACACAGAGAAAAAAGGGCCTACGGAGAAAAAACCAGGGACAAAGGGCGCGCGACAAGGACGAGTGTAACTGATATAACCAGGGATGATGAGCCTTGCACAAAGGATGCGTGACCGAATAGGATGGATCGAGGGATGAATCGACTGCCTGTGCAAGAAAAGGGCCAAGACCGACAAGACCAGAAACGCGGCTTCCCAAACAAGGTGCCTCAATCCGAAAGCCAGTAACGCGAGTAGGGGACGGCGGATGGGAGGCGCGACAGATGTTATATACAAGGATGTTGTTGCTGGCCCGGCACCAACCGTAAGCAATGGGAGGGCGATACATTGAAAGATAGGCCCAGATAGGAATGGCGCAAAGGGCGGTTGGTCGGTGCTAAACGGGTATTGTTATCTTTGACGCGACCGAGAGAAAAGCCGTCCGCATAAAATCTCAGGTATAGTCGTCCAATTGCCGAGCCGTCTACCATATGTGTGTGTGTGTGGCAAGTATGTAAGCTGGGTGACGCAGAGTATCTTGAAAATAGAAAATAAAAACCAAAAGTATGAGAATAGAAAAGCCCATAAACAAGCATCTATTTTTCTTAGGCGCCCATGTCCGCCTAGTGCCAGCGCGCCGTCTGTTTCGAAATGTGCGGGGTCGTAAGCTGGCATACAAAAAAAAATCCTCGACGCGCAGCCAGCGCTGACGAAGCCCAATCTTTTCCTGGATACAGTGCAGCCGGGAGGCGGGGAGGCGAATATGCAGTGCCAACGCGGCCAAGTGGTGTCATGGCAAAGCACGTCAATCAGCCTGCCGCCAACTTTTGCCGTGCGTCGCAAGCTTGATAAAGTCAGTCATACTAAGGCCTGACCGGTATCGATGCGCCGTGATAACAGGCCTGATATTACAAGCATACGAGAACCCAAAAAGAAATCAGATGTGCGGCGGCGAGATCGGGACGAATCTCAAAACGGAAGGGCGACTACGCATCCGGAATTAACCTCGGATTCGCGAATCGCCAATTGTCTCGAACTTTCTCGAGTGAAATTGCGACGAATGAAGGTACATTGCGACGTAATTTCACACGACTAGGATAGGCGTTCCTTGGTGGGGTGACGGGGCCGTGCACTAAGATTTTGAGATGAAGAAAAGCCCGGATTTTGGGAGTTGGTGGAGTCCAGCTCATCTCGCTTGCTAAATATCCAGGAACCGGAAGAAGAAAAGAAATCCTTGCGTAAGGGAAAAAGCGGTGGTGCAACTGTGGTGACAATCTCCTCGATGCGAACCTCGTAATGTTTCTCGCATTCGCACTTAGCCCCCCCCCAAGGCCGCTGCCTGAGGACCGGGGGTGGTGCTTGTTCAAAGGACCGAATAAAGAATTCTCATGGTAACCAATCCAGACTCGTAAGGCAATGTTGCTGAAACCCATTTCCCAATCTAATGATCACCTGCTTCCCGTTTAGGTGATGACATATATCCCCGATCCCAATGTTGCTGAGTGCCGTACTTGGGAGTTTCAGGTTGAGCAGCCATTGACGTCGGCGCGTAATTTGGCTGACTGTGTCCTGATTGCTCATTTCGCTGAGACGCAGACGCATACGTGTGGTCTGGACTGGCATGTGCTTTGCCCTCTGCGTCTCTTGCTTCTTCTGCTCGGTCGCCTTGCCGCACGATTGTCTCATGCGCGAGTCCAGAGACGGTGCCTCGTCGACTCAATGAACCGCTGGAGCTGTCCGGCGCGCGCGTGGATGCATCAGATCGGTTTCGGGCATGGCCTCGCCGTCCAGGTGTCGACGTTGACGATGATGATCTGTGCGAAAACGAGGGCGATGCGTTGGATCCTGGCGCCGATGTAGGTGGTGGCGCTGGGTGATGTGGGCCTTGAGCCTTGCGCTTTTTGGGGGAGCTGGTGTATTCTACGTCAGACGCATGCGACGCTGCACGTTGCCGTGACTGGTGAACAGGCGAAGTTTTGTATTTACCTGAAGGCGTAGCCGGCGGGTTTCCGCTCGAGCTCTTTTCTTGCGAAGACGACGAGGGAGGGACCCAGTGGTGGAAGTAGATTGAAGGCGACGATTGCTCCTGCTGCTGCGTCTGCGTCTGTTGTAGTTGTTGCACGCCGGCTGGAGTGACTGGAGGCTGTTGTATGTTGATTTCGTTGGTCGTCAACCGTGGGAGTTGAGACTGTGGTAAGGACCGCGGCGCAGATGTAGGAGCGCCACCAAGACCAGCTTGTGCAGCTCTTGCGCGTGGTGATGCCGGTCCACCAGCAGCGTATCCAGGCGTCGAAAGGGGCGTTTGTTGGCCCTGTGAAGGCAAAGTCTGGCCCGGCAGAACAGACGGTGGTGGCACAATCGACGGCGCTGCCTGTACTTGAGCAGCGTATGCCGCCGCTGCCGACGACTGCTGTGCGAGCAGCCTTGGGTCTCGCCGAAGGTCAGGGGAAAGCTGCGCCTGCGCCTGGGCTTGTTGGTGAGCAGCCTGTACCTGGGTCGTGTACTGTTGTATCCACTCGGCGCTGATGTTGGCAAGATTGCCGCCACCGATACCAGCGAAGATGATGGGCACTAGGTGAGGCGGGATGCCGCCTTGCATCGACTCTCGAAGCATCGACTGCTCGACCTTGCGTTGCTCGAGCCGCAACGTCTCCTGCCTCGTCTTCTCCTCCTCTTGCTTTCGCCTCTCCTCCTCGGCCTTGGTCGCAAGCCAGTTCTTCATGCCGTCTTCGGCACCTTGCCACTGAGACGGCGCCGGAGGTAATTGGCCCAGTGAGGAAGACGGCGGTGGAGGGCCTCGCGCGGGATCTGGTAGCGTCATTGCCGAAGGGGGAGGGAGGCCCCGGTGTGGTGTACCCATTGTGCGAGAAGGAGGCTCGGCAGGCTGTGATGAGGAAGGTGGCCCGCCGTGGAGCTTGTCAGAGAATCGAGTAGCGGCTGAAGATGAAAAGGCTGCAGAGTAGGCATGGGGTTTGAAGTCGAAGTCGGACTTGACCGGGTTAGACAGTGTGAGCAACATGAAGGAAGGTGGAGCCGGTGCAGAGGATATGGTGAGAGCAGTTCGGCATTGAAGAGGGCGGTCGCTTTGGGGGTGGCGCCAAAATTTTAAGCTCCGGAAGGAGAAGGAATAGTGTACATACTTATTTTACCAGAGTATGTTTACTGGAAGCACTGTCCACATGGCCCAAGATGAGATCAGTAGCCGTTGCCTCAGGGCCTAGGCTGAATGGGACCCCCCCTGGCGCGCAGGGTTGGATATGATTCGCGGTTGAGACAGGGCAGCGAAGAAGAGAGGGGTGAGTAACAGGCAAAGCTCAATGCAAAGAAGATCAAGCCCCCCAGTACAAGGTCGCATGGGCTGGCGTGGTCGATCAGGTCCAGATTGGAGAGTGACGAGGGAGGAGTGGGCAGTGGTGGGGAATGGCATGCAAGAAGGAAGAGGACCGACTGGAGTCGGGCCAACCGACGGCAATGACGGCCCCAGAGGCTGGAGGGCAGCACGAAGAAACGGCAGGCCGTACGTCAAGGAAAGCCGATATGTGGCGTCGAGCGGGTGATGGAGGGGAGGGGGCCCTTTGCAAGGATATGCATGGAACGGAGATGATTGTCAGCAAAACGCAATGTTGCTGGAACTGCACACGCGCGTACTTGTAGTCCCGCCATGCACAGCACCTGAAAAAGGACTCGGGTTGATGCAAAATCTGGTAGTGGTTCCCACATGTGGCGCTTGGATTCGCCGCAGGAACATGTCTCGCTGCCAGCCAAGCATGCTCAGCTCCAAACCAGCAACGGTAGTTTGACGAGACACCCGCCCCAGGCTAGACGCATGGAGCTGGCGTCGCAGTCACTTGCACGCTGGCCCCATGCATACCCTAGTCGCGGCCATGGTAAGGTAGTGTGAGTGTCTGTGTCTGTGTCTGTGTGGGTGGTGTGAAAGAGCGATGGCTTCTACCAATGCGCGCACACGCACACATGGACACCTACTCGAGCGAGCGGCGTATCGCTGGGTTTGCGCAATAAAGTACAGGGAGCAAACCTTTTCGATTTGGTGCTGGCCATATTTAGACGTTGTATGTAAGACTGCAAGTGGCAGCAGTAGCAGCGGCGGCTGTAAGCTTGCCGTAGAGTCGGGTCGAGATTCCCCGCCCATGGGAAATAGCATGCCGAGCAGATTGGGTAATTTGGCGTGCTTCTCTGCTCTGGACCACGCCTATCGCTGCTTGATTCATCACCACGCCTTGTGTGTGGGCTCAAGGATTGCAATGTGGACTGAATGGCGTGGTCTTGCGACGTGTGAGCCGTGTGCTAAACTCCAGCCAGCAGGGTCAACGTCCGGGAGGAAGCGAGCGCAAGATTGCCGCAGGCCAGATTGTGCGGCCGGGCTCTATCTAGCCCGTTGCCATGGCATGATTAGGAAATGAAGGGTCATCTCCGTTGTCACGTCCTCAGCCAAAGCATGTCCCGAAGCGGACGCGTGAAATGAGGGTTTCGTGTTCAAAAGAGCCTCCGTGCATAGACACGAAACCTTAGGAATGGGTTGGAAACGTATCCTGTGGCTCTGCTGCAGAACCCGTTCCGAGCTTAGTGTAATGCCCAAACTAGTATACAGATACCGTCATAGCGGCAACGGCTGAGGGCGGTTGGGTGGCTAGCACAGAGGTAGTACGGGACAGGGAACCAAGTCGAAAGCTGTCAGGCTTGACGAAGGGGGTGTGGGAGGGGGGAGGGGGGATGGGGGGGGAGGATCCCTTGCAGATCGACAGAGCCTGACCATTGGCACGGCCAATCGATAAGGCGTATCGGTGGGCAGACCATTGCTGCGGGCGAAATGAAGCAAAGAAAAAAAATCGGGGTGCTGGAGCTGGGAGCTGGTGGCATGTTGCGCTGCTCTCCGTCGCATGGGCTGGCGTGACTTGGCGGACCAGCAGCACTGACAGAGAGTTCCCGCTACAGCACGTAATCAGCACGCTGATGACAGCTTACGGCCAGCCATAGTGGACGCGATGGAGGGGGCGAGGGCGAGGGCGACAGGTCAACAGACGCGGCGTTGCGCAATGCCCGAGCGCCTGGCACCGGCTCGCTCGAACGATCGACTAGGAACGTAAATTTCTGCGTCGGCGCTGGGGCTATCCTCGTTCGGGTCCTGCAGCGGATCTACGTGAAACTCGCGGCGCACCGGATCTGTACGAAGGATCTCTGCGTATGATTTCCGGCCCCGGTTGGCCAGCGGCATACCCAATCATCCGTACCCGGCCCCAGTGACTATCCTAATCACCGTCGAAATGGGGACACGATGGCGAAATTGCTCGACATGTTACTGCGTAAGCAGAAATGACAGTGGGAGCCGTCCGTTGTAGGGTAGTCTAGACCAGGTGAACAAATGTCTCAACTGGCCAGAGACACTGCCAGATTGGGGGGCGGCATGGCGCCTGTTTAGAGTAATATCTCCGATGAGCGCATGGTTCCCCTTCCAGACGATTGCCTGTTTGCGTGGTGTGTGTGTGCGTGCAAACCCAACCAGGGCGCTGGTCTTGACATGATACATATACATAGAACATAGATAGAGAGACAGCGCGCGGGAAGGATCCGAAAGTGCCGCGGGGAGGCCAGGGTGGCTCTGATACCTGTCTCGAGTGGAGCTGTCAGTTTGCAGTCAGTACTTGAAGGACCTGAGCGGCCTTCATCCAGTTGGTACTCACCGACACGATTGAGAAAGAGAAAAAAACAACGACGACGACAGCGACGACGAGGACAGTTGTTATCCAGCGCAAAAAGGCTATTGATCCTGCACCGGACACGGGGCCAAGGCTCTGGTAGGGTGCAAGCCCGCAGCCTGGCGCTGGGCAGAATTTGTTTTGTTTTGTTATTAGCAAGAGGGCTCTGGCTCAGGCTCAGGCTCGGCACAGAGAGAGGGCTGTCGTGGTCGTGCGGTCGCGTGTGCGGTTCCTAGGCATATTAGCGGCCTTGTCGTCGGCAAGTCGGAAGCAGACGACGGCAGACGATGACCAGGACTCGATGAGCCTGAGGGGCAGGGTGAGGCGGATCGCAGATTCGCAGATGGGGGTGGAAGCATGGATGAATGGGTGCATGTGTAGTGGGATGGCATGCAGTCGACGTAAGCTGCACCTCAGGCGTCGATCGACGTCGTCGTCCCGCATCTGAACCACTGAGGCGGCCCCGCCCAGTCAGGCCCATTAGCGTACCACTGGCTCGTCGCTTGTGCTTGCATTGGGCCGCCATGTGCATGTGTGGTGGGTGTGGTGGGTGTGTGTGTGTGTGCGTGTGTGTCGGCGTAGCGGTAGTGTAGTGTAGTGAGTGGTGGCCGTGGCAGCAGTAGTAAGGATAGTGCTGCACTGGCACTCTGGCGGGCTGGGCTGCATCCAGCCATGCCGCTGCTGATCCTTGCTGGCCGTCGTCCAAAAATCAGACCACAGATCAGCGTCAAACATGCTTTGGTGTTGCATCTCTACCCCGTCGGCTCATGACTCCCGCGAACAAGACGCCCCGCCCCTGCAAGCGGCCCTTGACCTCTGTTCGGTGAAGCCGATGCACACTTGCTCTCTCTCTCACTCTCTCATGGCGACAAGTCGACGCGGCGAGGGAGGCGAAAAAAAAGACGGGTGCGTGTGCGTGTGAGAGTGCGTCGAGGCGAGGGCTTCATGCCCATTCACCAATCAGCGGCGGTTTGCCACCTGAATCGGCAGTCGCTACTGCCTATTCGGGATGCACCGCAATTGCAGCCCTCCTCCATCGTCATTCACGCCCGGCACAAGATGCCCTCCCGCATACAGTACACTTGCTGCCACTGCCACGGCCACGATGCTTCTATTCCCGTAGCCGACACATGCTGCCGTCCGTCGCTTGGAGCAATTGCCCCATTGTCTCAGTCATGATGCTTCTTGTTGCATAGGTCGACTATATGGTGCGCCTGCTGCTGCTGCTGCTGCTGCTGGCTGCGCCTGCCCTTCCCCTCCCCCTGCGCCTGCCTCCCGCGGGCGGCTGCGCTTTCCCCGTCGGTGGCTTAGACGTCAACAGCCGTCCGCTACGAGTACTCGCCAGAACTCTCTCCCTCTCTTAGACTTGCCTCGCTCGTATTCGCCTCGCCCCGCCTCCCCTGGTGCCTTCCCGGACCTACTACCCGTCTTGTCTCTAGTCTCGCCTGCCCTCCCGCCATGTCGCGACTCAGCAACATCTCAGTCCTACCATTATACTTTGCTCGCCGGAACCTTCTCCGATCCCAGTGTCCAACAACGCGCTTCCCCTCCGCCCAACCCTCAGCCACAAAAAATCTCTCTCGCCAACTCTCGCGATTCGTCTGCCCGACATTCACCAATCAACATGCTCCCCTCGACTCGTTGCCGTCTTCCTGCGGCGCCGTGATATTGAAAAAACCGACTATTATATTTGCTACTTGCAAACCTTAGATTATGCCGAATATATATGTACACGTGCATATGCCAATGCAATGCGCCCCCCGAATCTCTCATTGTACAAGATAACGCCAACTCTGGTATATGGATGAGTATGTATGCATAAAACAGACGAGATGATGACACAAAAAAAAGACAAAGAAAAACAAGAGGTATCTTGATCAGTAATCATGGCAGCCATGCGCCAAACACCAGAAAAAACCACCCCCTCAACAACCAGAGGCTTGGCGAACGCTTTCCAAAAAAAACCATTCATCTTCGCCCCGTGGCCCACGTGTGGGCTCAGTCGTCGTTGATACCGGTGGGACGGAAAGCGTCGTCCAGGTGGCACCGCTAAAAAAGTGCCCAAGATGTAAACAGGAAGTGATATGCCGCGGCTAAAGTCCGTGGTATCCCCAATTAAAAAACAAAGGGTATCTAATGCTGCAAATCCTGGAAAAAACGTAAAACGTGCGAGCCACGTTGGGATTTGCGCGCGACGCACTACCATCGTACGCCGCTGATCTCATCAGATCGACGTCGTGGCTTCTGGAAAAGGTATCGAACGAGTCTGTGGGTGCCGGTTCGGTAGGATCGGTTTCCCTCTTGGGTACGCCATCGCCCTGGATATCGCAATGCGCCCGCAGCCTCACGCTGCCTAGGTCCGCGCCCGTTTCTTCCTCATCTTGTACTCGGCCTTGGCTACCCGCATCAACAGGTCCTCGTCCTTGATGGGGATCCAAGACGTCAACACCTTCATGGCATTCTCAAAGTCCGAGTCGAGCAGGATTTCTCGCGTCGCATCAATCAGCGCAGCCGACGTCGCATGCAGCACGTCCATGTCTCCGCTGAACTTGGCCGTTGGTGACGTAGCATGCGACTTGTCGCCCAGGAGCATGAAGACATCCCACACCCGCAGTTGGGCGGGAAACGGGAGAGAATAGTTGAACAACGTCAAGTACCATCGAGTGCCGTATGCTGTTGATGTAATGCCCAATTCGTTCTGTGCAACCTGTTGTGAGCATCTGTGTACCATGGTTTGCGTCTGTTGGGTTTCCACTTACCAGCTTCTGCGCGATATCTCCTCCGCGCAGCCAATTGAGCTCAAAGTCGTCAAGCGCCTCCATGAGGCCTTCGAAGCCTGCCTCGTACAGTCGTTCCATGCCGCGAAGCTGCCACAGTCGAACGAGCATGACAAACGCCCGGTCTTCCTCATAATAGCAAAGGAGCGTTGCGGCCAGGGCAGCCATGCCTTGCACGTAGCCCGTCTCGGGCAAGTACAGCGACATGGCGTGCAGGACGCGGAAGAGCAAACGCTGTCCGCCACGGTATCGCCGCCGGAACATGATGTGTCGGTTGATGGTGCGCGGTACGTCGACGTCGATTTGCACGTCATCGGCAGATCCCTCCTGCTGGAGCTCATAGAAGTTGACAATGAGCTCCTCTTCCGTGGGGCTGTCCGCATTGGCCTTGGCGCTTGCTGCCAGGAAGGAGTACCACGCCGTTGCCCTCCAGCGATCGGGGATGCCCTTCCAGGTGCGCGAGATGACCTTGGGGTCCTTGGTGTCAAACTCGAAGAGCATGCCGCCCTTGTCTGCTCCTGCTTGCACAACCTTGGCCATCCTGCGCCATTTCTCATTGCGCGCAATTTCTTTTGCTTTCATGGCTTGGGCAGCCCTACCGCCCTCCTTCTGTTCAGCAACCTCGGCCAGGCCCGGTGGCAGTTTTAGCATGTCGCTCGCCTCGTCTCTCAGCCGGCGGTCTCTGTTGTGAGGGAAGATGTTGGTGGCATTCCGGAACGGGCTGCTGCGGCTAGTGCGCGAGTCGATGGTCCTCCCAGAGAAGATGGATCTAGCAGGCCGGGAAGATTTGACAGACAGTCGTCGTTGGGGCGAGCCAGACCGAGGATCTGCAGAACGAGCCGAAGGTGCCCTTGATGCGCTTCGGCCTAGTCGGCGACGCCTAGGCTCTTCCGAGAGCAGTTGCAGCATGGTCGTCACTCGTTGCATGCGCGGCTCGTCTGGGCCATCCAAGCCTTCGCCGTTAGACTTTGTCCTCCTTGGGACAATGAAGCCATATCGATCGACCTCGCCGCCCTCGAGATCTGCCCAGTCCTCAAGCCCGCCAGCCGCCTCGGTGGGCTCTTTGACTATGACGCTTCCATGTCGCGAGCTCATGAGTGAGCTGTCATCCCCCATGGCTTCCATGGCCATGTTGTTGACGCTGCCATTGCCCCGGCAGCTGGTCTGCATGCTCACAGCATCTTCCTCGGGCATGTCCCAATTGACAACACTTTCGTTCCCGTGCATATACATGCAGCGCACCTTGCGCGACAGCGTCATCTCATCGGCTGAGAGGACGCGGTAACTTATGGCCCGTGTTCTGGTCGAGATGCGCGAGGGCGTTTGCGGTGAGAGGTGCTTTATAGTGGGGGGTGATGTGGGTTGCGGGGGCTCTTTCTGGGGGGGAGTTGGTGGTGGCTGCAGTTCAGGTTCAGGTTTGGGTTGGGATTGCTCTGTCTCTTCAGGCTGCGGTTGCGGCTCCTCGTGTTGTTGGTCCTGATGCTGTTCTGGCTCCTGGTGCTGCTGCTCCTGGTGCTGCTCGTCTGGCCCTTTTTCTTGTCCCTGCTGTTGCGGGGGTGTGCTGGGCTTGGGCGCCCCTTGGACGAGCAGATTCATCTGCCGACTCTTTCTGTTTGCTTTTTTGCCACCAAGCATCATGCTGCCCCGCTTGGAAAAGGAAATGAGGGCGTCGGATGAAATTTCGTCGAAGCTGCCGGTGGGAATGAAGCAGTCAAGGCCGGGAAAAGCATCTTCTGGCTCCAGCGCATCATCGTGGGGCTTGGCTGGATGCTCGCCATGGACGACAATAGCAGGCAGACTCGGCGTCTTGCGCAGGCTCCTCGGTGAAGGCGGTTCGTTGGTAGTAGTGCCATTGGACGACGTCAGGGCCGAGTCTCTGCGATCATCGTCGCCGGGGGGCGGCGTGCGCTTGAGGGCAGAGGCGCGGGGCCCAGGTGAAGTGCGTGGGCGGCGGAGGTTGTCGAGCCATGATCGCGAGGGCGGGCCTGTGGCTGAGAATGCACTCTCGGGGTTGGAGAGTACAGGCGCCAGCGCGTTTGAGGCCTCGCACGGCTCATCCGCGGCCTGGCCAGAGGGGTTGACGGCCTCATCTCTCATGATGCGAGACGCGGGTCGCCGTGGTCATGGAGAGAGTTTGCGGGCGAGGGTAGTGGCGGGCAAAGCGAAATGAAAGGGTGCGGTCGACGCGGCTGTGAATCTTGAGGTGGAGCGGGACAGGGTATTTATTGAAAGACAAGGCGATATTTCTCCTTGCGGCGCAGCGTCCGGTCAGGCGCGGTCCATGAGGAATCCGGTACAAGATTACTTATTCATGATGCTTCATGAGCATACGGCTTGTGGCCCATGGAGCAATAATGGACGCGTGTGGTATCGTGTGTGACTGTTGAGGACCACGCACCCGTTGGTGGTGTACATGGCCAAAAGTGTGTCGTGAGGGCATGGGTGGGGTGGCGCTAAGCCCAAAGGGGGCCAGCGAGTAAGACGGGTAAGACGGCCCTTGGGTATATCAGATTCAGATGTATGGAAATAGTGACGGGGGGCGCAGCACGCACGAGAAGAGCGTGATTGCATGTGAAGGGCTCCGGTGTTGCAAGAGCGGTACAGCAGCCTGTGCTAGCATGCGGCAGCTGGAGTCGCTCGGCGGTGACAGGACAGGAGAGGGCGAGAGGCATTCAGCTGGACAAGCACTGTAACGTTGAGCAGCACTCATAGCGTGAGCTGGTTGGGAAAAGGGAGCCACGGCCGGAAGGTTATTCATGCGCGGATCGGGGATCGTCGCCGACCGGAGCCTGGGAATTGTGGGGTGCTGGGCGAAGCGAGGGGGGCGGTGGTTGAGCAGCAGGCTGGGCGCCGCCAGGTGGTTGCACGCGGGGGGCGTGGAAATGAAGCACAGCGACTGCAGAGCACGCGGCGCGGCGAGTGATGGATGGGTGGATGGACGGGTGGATGGATGGATGGATAGCGTGGATGGGCGGCTGGACGACAGATGGATGCCGGATGGGTGGATGGGTGGATGGAGGAGGCATGGACGGGGCGCGTCACACAGAACAGCAGCGGCGCCGTGGGCAATTTCCGAGGCGAGGGCAGCGAGTCTGGAGAAGGCATGCGTGTGCAGATAGCGACGCCCCTTTTCCCCAGCAAACGTCGCCAGGGTCTCGTCTGACCTTTGACCTGGCGGCTGGCGCAGAGACGTACGCCTTTGTTCTTCAGCTGCACTGCCTCTTCCACCGCCATTGAAGCCGCTGCACCGCCCTCACGCCGCTGCCGCCCGCCGCCCACCGTGCCGCCCGCCGCCCGCCGCCGTGTAGTGTATAGTGCCTCTGGCAAGTCGTTGCAGGGTGACTTGCAGCCAAGTGCATTTCTCAAAAGGACCGGTCGAGTAATGTCAGAAATAAAGAGAGTACTGCCCTGGAAAACGATAATATCGTGGCGCTCCCAACTAACCTCGCCTGCCAGTCGAACCGAATCAAACAAAGGGGCAACCCCCAGCAGAGGGTGCTGCAAGTAGCACACGCACAACGTGGTCTCCATATATCGTTTACATGGTTCAATCTCCAATCCAATAGCGCAGGTATAACGTTTGGCAACAGTCGTTCCGAACAAGAACCTTTCCGTCCCTCCAACACCAACCCCCTTCCCCCAACTGAGGAGTGATTTGTCTGCCCAACAAAGACAACCACACAGCTCCACACACACAACAAGGCCTAACCCTGAGATCGCCATACCAACACCAATACAAGCTCATCACGCAATAGCGAGCTAGGGTAAGTGGAACCTGCGTTCGGCCGGATCAGCGGCCACCTCCCGCCTCTTGGCCCTCCCCCAAGTCTGTGTTTCACCCTGCCACGTCGGTGCAACGGCTTCCGAAGCCCGCCGCGAGCGTGCTCGTGCTCGCTTGCGTTGGGCTCTGAGACTTAGTCCCCCTCCCCCCCCTTGTCTGTAAACCAAACGCGTGGGGCCAATAAAGTCTATTAGTCCCTACTAATAATTGTCCGAGGTAAAGCGGTCTAGGATATGCTCCGCTGGCCTCTCAGGCATTTACTTAGTCCCCCTAAACCCCCCTGGCATGTGAATTATAGGGCTATGACGTAGACTAGATGTGTCACTGAGACGGACTTGGTGAATTGACGAGTTTGAGCCCTTGGTCATGTCTTTTTTGCAAGTCTGAGTGTAGAAGAAGAAGGTGACCAAGTCACGTTGATCATATCAGAACTTTGTAGACATTAGTTTCGTGTCACCTTGGATAGATGGCTGAACGCGATCTGCATTCATTCATGTGCAAGAATCCGTCTATTTTGATAAAACACAGACAAAGAAAGGTACTTGTTAGGCTAGAAATCACGCACGTGTAAACATGCAGCCTTTGTAGCATGACAAAGTATAATATGTAAGCATACACATCAACAACACCGAAGATTCCCTACAACAACATCTTATTCAACAAACTCTGATAGATCAAGTACAAAGCCATGTCCAATCCGTCCTCCACTTTTTCTCGCACTATACAGTCCCAACTACACGCGTACATTTCCTCAACCCTCCCTCAGCCGCTTCACTGCACACACTCTATTTCTTCTTTGACCCCCTTCCCCCCCTCACACTCTTCTTCTTTCCCTTTGCCATCTCGGCGCCTCTCCTCCCGCCCGCAATCATAACCCTCACCTTGCTAACGGGCACCACGCCCACGACCTCTGGCTCCTTCCACCCGCGGATCAGATCGATTTCCTTGGGCCAGATGCGCTCGACATCCTGGCTGTGCTTGTCCACAATCTTGGCATCCTTGCCGGCATTGTCCCAGATGGATAGTACTTCCTTGACAGCCTTGCCGCGCTTGGTCGAGCCAGGCTGCATCTTGGCTTTGTATTTGTACGTGGAGAGGGCGGACCACGGCGCGCAGACGGGGATGGCGGATAGGAGCTCGTCGTTTGGTAGCGGACGGCCCGTAAATGCATCCAGGTTTTGGAGGTTTGTTTTCAGGGCCTCGTCGCCCTCGTCGTCGTCTTCGGCATTTTCGAGTGCCCGCAGACGGGCCTCTTCGGCAGCTTTGCCGGCGGCTTGAGCACGAAGGTGTTGATCGCGGCGACGTTGCTTGTCGGCTTGTGCCTGCTCTTCCTTCTGACGCTTCTCTTGAGCGGCAGCTTCTGCAGCTTGTTGGCCAGACTTGGAACCCAAAAGGCGCATGGCCAACTCGCGGTCTTCCTCATCTTGTGCTGCGTACTTTGCAGCCTGCTTCTTCGCCTTTGCACGTTTTCCTCTGGGCAGAGGAGCGTTCTTTGGCTTGTTGGCTTGTGATGTCACGGTCCCGTCAATCTTCGTAGGAGCTTTTCCGCTGCCGCCTTCTGCAGAACCATCGTCGTCATCACCGCCGTCGGCTGCATGCGTTGTATCAGACGGCACATGAGGCAGTTCCGGCAGTTGGCCCTTCCTTGCGAGACGGCGTTCTCTTGCAGACAGCTTCCCGCGCCCCTTTGACTTTGATGTCCGTTCAGAATCAGCTACTGAACCCTCATCTTCCTGACCTTCTTCCTTTGCATCAACGCCATTCCTTCCTCCAGACATGACATACTCATCTCCATCTTTTGCGGCTTTAGGCTCGTCATCCTCATCAGAGTCCTCAGCATGGTTTGTTGTCGACTGAAGCGGATTGCTTCTTGGAGCTGCGGCTTCCGACTCTGCGTCGCTCTCTTCGGTCTGTTGCATCTTTGCGTCCGGAAAGTCGTCTTCAGAGTCAGAATTGATCCTAGCATCCGGGAACTCGTCATCATCGTCACTTTCGTCAGACTTTGTAGCCGCTGCAGCCTTTGATTCATCCGCTGGGTCGTCGGCCATTTCTGCGGCAGACACTGCAGTCTCCTGTACACGATGCTTGTGATGGTTCGCCTTGCTTGATTCGCTGATTTCAAACATAACTGCCAGTCCTACTACAAGTTGAGCTGGTGGCAAATATTCCTTCTTTCCCTTGATGTTGAACATGCCAGCCGGAAGAAACTCTCCCGTCTGTCCGGTTTTGCTGACCTGATCGCTGCGAACCCACCATGCTGACATGACAGCCTTTGAGTCCCACGCATCGGAGGTGCAGATACAGAGATTACCGGCTTGTGATAGGGTCGATGGTGGTATAGGGGCATCTGGCGTGTCTGGTTTGTTCTTGATGATCATTGGCATAGCGCCTTTGAGGTCAGCGTGTACATACACGTCTCCCTTTCGCAGAAATCGACGGTATATAATCTCGTTCTGTTGCGCGTCTTTGCCCCCCAGGACCAAGTAGCCGTCCGAAGAGATGAAGTAGATGAATTTCTCAAACCAGTGCTGTTTGCGCACCGGTCGTAACACTTCCTTCTCTTGCTTTAGCCCCTTTTTTAGATCCTCGGTCACCTTTTTCTCGTGGTTCTTTAGCGCTTTTGTAGATGCTTGAAGGGTACGGCCTTCTTTGTCAGCTGCTGTCTTTTTCTGGTCGAAATATTCAGTGGAATTCGCCCAAGCGCTAAGTCCAAGGTCAATATCGATAGCCAGTTGCGGTCTTGCTGCTACTTTTGGAGGAGAGGCCTTCCTCTTGGGGTGATCGTCTTCGTCGTCGGTGTCCTCACTGACAGAACTCGTTTCGTTGCCTTCATCCTCTTCCTCTTCACCATTCTCCCAGCTTGTCTCGTTGAGAAGCAGTGTGATGGTATTCTCATGTAATTTTAGCGGTAATCTGATCAGTTGAGCAACAGCATTGCCAGAGTTTTGTTCGCGTTCAATCAAGCGCGCAATGTCAACCCAGTCCATGCCTTGTCTAATCAGTCCGTTCACAGCTTCGGTGGCTTCGGTAACACGATGTACATTGGCCAAGATTGCTTCTGCTTTGCGGAAATTCAATTCCTGCACTTGCTGCAGCCCGCCGATACGATCCTCATGTTCTTTACGCGCCTTCTCCAGCTTCTTCTTGGCTTGCTGTTCGCGTTCAGTCAGTTTCGATTCGAGCTTCTGTCCTTCTATAGACGAAAAGAATTCATCCACCGCCTTGTTGAACCCGTCAAACTCGAGAAAGGTGTAGTCTGTGTTTTTGAATTGCCCTGGGCGGAAAGGGTGGAAATCATCGTAGAGAAGACGCGGTTTATCGGACTCGTCGTCGGCCTTTGGAGCAGACGGATTGGGCTTTGCGAGGATGTAGCCCTTGATTTGGTCAGATGTTGTGATATCTTCCGTGATTTTTCTTGCGTCTTGTAGCACTTCGACCAGTTTTCCCAGCAGCCCATCGTCGGCAAGGACCTCCTCTGGTTTTAAGGACGAGTCAAAGTTGGCGATATGGAGCGCATGATCGACCAGCAGCGGAGGACACTCTGTGATGGAGACGGCCAGCGCCTTCCTCAGAGAATCTTTCCCCGCCTTTTTTGCCTTTTTCCCCGCTGCAGCAGGCTGGTCTTGCTGCTTGTCGATCGCCTTTTGCAGCGCCTGGCGCACTCTCTCCTTGGTAAGCTCTGGTGCGCCACCGTAGTTTTGCCGCAAGGTAAGATTGTACTGCAAGCCGACTCTGAGTTTCTCATGCTCCTCCCCCTCATCCACGTTCCGCAAAAGCGACAAAACGTTTAGGTCGGCATCGGTTAGGATAATATTACCACCGGCGTAGAATTCCAAGTATAAGCGGTACAGTCCGTCGGAGAATTGGAGCTCCAGAATGCGATCGGTGCCTATTTGGGAGATTGATGTGACACGCCTAGTTTTCAAGTACTTGCGCAGTTTCGCGACGAAGCCCGAGGGTGCCGCAGCCGTTGTCCGCGCATATTCGGTCAGATGGCAACGGAAGCCCGAGTCGATGAGCAGCTGTTCGCGATGGTCGGGCTTGTGGAATTTGATGAGGAAGATTCTCTACACACTTGTGAGTTTTTCGGCGTGCAAAATAGTGGTTGCGCTACGTCCAGCACATACAGAGCTCAGATCATAGACGTTTGTGACTCGGAGAGAGGTGAGTTTGGCGGACAGCTCGTGGGCAATGACCTGCAAGTCAATTAGTGCAAGATCTGTACAGCACTATGCGCGAGTGCTTACCTTGACGTCCAGGCTGGAAAACCTCTGCTTCATGGTGGTGTGTCGTGTGCAGAGTCTGTGGTTAGTGGGGTCGGGGGTTGAAGGTGGGATGCGGCGATGACGAAGGTGCACAAGTAGCGCGGCTGCAAGGGTCGCGCAAAATGGACGTGGTTCCTGGCCCGAGGCTTAGTAATGGATTCTTGGGGACGCACATCACAGAGGCCTGCTGGCGGCGTCAGTCGAAGCAGAATGTGGTGTTCATTAGGCCCTTTTTATCTGGTGTAATGCGCTACCTACTCTATGATGCGGCACGTCACGATTCATAGCATTCGCAATGCAGCATGCACTATATCCTCAACTCCAGCAACGCCATGCCCCAGAAACCAAACACGCTTATAGACCCTGCCGTATCCTCTCTGCGAGCTGCCTCTTGCCAAACTCCCAGGCATTCAGGAATCCTTGTTCCGAAAGGTCAATGTTCTTCATCGACGTCATGTCTTGCGCCGGCGGCTTGCTGACGCGCGAGGCGACAACGACGGGGTCCGTCTCGAGGATGATGCCGTCGTCTACCAGCTCGTCAATGGCGAGCGACTGTCATGGTTAGCCAGGGGACGAATGCGACTGGACAGCACGGGAATGCATACCACGAGGTCGTAGTTCTCGATGACGGTGCGCTTGTCCACAGAGTTTCTGGCATGCGTTAGATTCTTGTCGTTTGAGCCGCAGTCGCTTCAAGTCTACGTACTTGAGGAGGATGTTGAGCGAGTCCCTGAGGGCCAGGACGACGCTGCGATGGGTTAGCACTTGGTCGGCTGCCTTTGTGCCAGGCATGACAGTACCTGTACAGCAGAACCTCGTTCTCGTCGGCGCTTCCAACGACATACAGCATGACGTCCGACTCCATCTTGAAGACAATGACCTTTTGGTCGTATAGTATAATGTCGGTTGTCTGCTTAGCTGTCTTCTCTGTACCAGGTGTCAGACCAGCAGCCGCGCAGCATTGGACCCGTAGGCTCTACACACCCAGGAGCCCCTTTTCAAAAGCCTTCTGGTCCTTGACCGTCTTGTATGCAATCTGGCCGGGGTAGTCGCTCTGTTGGCCGGCGGGCGGGTGCGGGTTCGAGTAGTACTTGGTGAGGATGCGCGAGCCATCGTCGATAGCCAGGACCAGGATCGCCTGGACGCTGAAGAGGGAGAGAGGGCGCGACATGGTAGGGGGGATTTGCTTTGTTCTGGTCGCGGCGGGCGTCAATGGGGTCGAGTCGAAGCTCGTGGATGGGGGGGTTTTGGGTAGGATAGGTGTCTGCTTGCGGAGAAGCGGCCAATCACGGAGGTCGTGGGGCGCTGGCCTAACTTAGCAATTAGCGTGCCCGTGTGAACTTTTGACCCAGTCCATCGTCGCCCATTGACGCTTGCAGCCACCCCGCCGCCATGCAAAAAATATCACGAACCTCGCTGGCGTCCATCGTCTGTCCGTCGGCGCCCTTTCTTGCGCCGCGTCTCCTGCGCACGGCTGTTCCTGCTGCCGTGGCTGCATCGCCATGTGCGCCCTCCCCACGCCTGCAGAGGGCGGGCTATGCGATTGCGACTGCGATACACGGCAAAGCCAGGGTGCGGAGGGTTTCTGCGGACAAAGAGAAGCGGGTGCCACCGCTTTCCGAAGACGAGGCAAAAGTGAGTCGTGTCGACTTCTTCAATGGGAGCGCGCATTAACAGTACCAGATACTCCGCCTGACCAGCCAATTCCGGACCGCCTGCGAAGCCCGCAATGTCCACATGATCATGGACCTCTATCCCACACTCGTAGCAGCAAACATGCTCACCAGCTACGATACTCGGCGCATTTCACAGGCCCTGCATGTGCGCACACGCAACGAGCACGACCGCGGCAAGCAATCCGAACTCTTTCCATTTGTCCAGCAAGTTGTGGCCGACATTCGCAAAGGGAGGCTGCCGCCGCACCATTATGCCTTCGTACATCTGTTTGGAATATACAAAGACTGCGCGCGCTGGGATGAGGGCTATGAGCTCTGGCAATGGCTGGTTCAGCAAGACGATCGCTATGTGTCACAGGCCGCTTACGGCGCCGCCATTGAGCTCATGGCATATGGGGAAATCATGCGACACCCAGAGCTCGAGGCTTTGTATGCCGATGGACTGAAGCGCTTCCCTGGCACTTTCGCCGAGTACCACCTGTCGCCGGACGCAATCATCCCCGATAGGTCTCAGTTGACTACCATTGCTGGAATTCCCACTATCCTGCTCCAAGGTATACTTACCGCACGCATTCTGGCTCGTGACTGGAAACATGCATACCTCGCCTTGGACACTGCGCTCCGCATCTTCCCCACACAAACCCCTCCGCGCTATTTTGAGCTGTTCATGGCTGAGAGGCCCCTTGGGGAGGCATACACAGCCTTCATGGTAGCGTGCCGGGCTGGCATAGTGCTTAGGCCAACCCACGTCACCGCCCTCCTTACAAAGTTGCGTGCTGCTACTGTGACCGCGTCCCATTCGATGACCGATTCGATGATGCTTTTGCGAGCCATGGCAAATGCCGTGTATGGCTACTTGGAGGCGGGTGGACAGCTCGAGAGTATCCATGTTGCCTCGTTCCTCCGCACCTTTGAGCAGATATTGCCCGAACCCCCGGCTGGCGAAGACTATGGGGGAGAAACTGCAGAGATGCGTAACATGCTTGTCATTGCCGCGCACGAGATTGTGTCAGGTCTTATTCAGGCGGGCATGCCTCCTCAGATCCAGCCGTTTGTTTCTCTCATCTCGATAGCTGGCAAACTGCGGGTGCCAAATTTACTCACCACTGCTGTGCAAGATATCAAGACCGCTGGCCTTGAACTTGGGGAGATTGGGACAAGAAGCGTCATCACGTCTGCTGGCCTGCTCAAGGACAAGGATTTGATCGAGGAATACTGGTTGCAAGTCGTCTCGACTGCAGAGAAAAACAGTGGGCTGATACCTATGGAAGACTGGGTCACTTTCACCAAGGCATGCCGAAGAGCTGATCATACAGATTACTTTCGCAGCCAGCTCTTGAAGTTGCCACACGCCATTACGGAACGGATTGAACGGAGCATCCTTCAGCGAATTGTCCAGCCAGAAGTTCCGTCCCCGAAAAATGAAGAATACCAGCTTATGAGTCTTGAGCAGCTGCAGTCTGACTTGTCGCAGCTCAAGGACCAGATGAAGAATATCGAGGCCGTTGTAATGTCCGGACAGCCACTTGATGTCCTCAAATCCCCATTCTACATGCACCTGGACCCCGAGTACCCCTCTCTCGGCACCGAGGAAGACCTTCGCAGCATATACGAAGAGTTTACAACCGACCCGCATCAGCCTCCGCCGCCACCACCGGCAGACGGCAAGCCCATTCCCGCAGCCCGCAGCCCAACCGGCATACCGTTAGACGAGCTACGATTCCGCAACTGGGTCACCATCCACGAAATGATGGATTCGGCAGAGTCCTACGAATCCGACTTCCAATACGCCCTGGACATGGCCACCAAATCCGGAACACCACTCAAAGGCTCACCCGAAATCCTGTATCTGCGGAAACAAAACCCCAGGCTCCTTCCCGCTCCAGAGTTGGCGAAACGGATCAAAGCACTAAGAGCAACGGGTTCCCACGACCTCGGTTTCTTCAGAAAAGTGGGCTCCGATGGTCCCGGTGAGATTTACAAGCAAACAGCGAAAGCGCGGCTGCGCAAGCACATTGCCAAGGACGAGGGCGAGTCGGTTGTCCAGAGGGGAAAGAATGCACCCAGGTTGGTGTATTATGTTGGGTTGGAGTCTGATAGCAAGGTCCTCGGTGAATCTAAACGCCGCTCTAAAATTCGCAAGGTACCGAGCTCGGATCGGGCCGCGGAAGAGGAGGCTGCTTTGCTGTTTGAAGAAAGCAGCAGTAGTCATGGTGGCGAGGGAGAGCAGACGAAGCCTGCCAGCCCTGCTTCTTCATAAAAAAGCACTTTCAGAGTCATCACTTTTGAAAATGTGGTATAGTAATAAATATACCACGGCTTGAATTCTATACCCTTATCCAGTCATGCAGCTTTCTCCCTAGTCCATTACACGCAGCACATTCGCACGAAGAACAGTATTACGTGCAAACATGCACCCCACGCATGCCGCACCCACCCACAGCAATTTAAATAGAGGAAGAGGAAAGAAACCAAAAACGGATAAAAGAGATACTCCAAGGTTTTTCCCCATCTACGGCGCAGGATTAAAATCAAACTGAAACTCATCATCCCCCAACATACCGTCATACATGCCGTTTCCTGCCGTGACGAACCCTTCAAACTGGCCCCAGCTCGCCAGATCCGACCAGCTGAAGAGATCGGGGCCAAATGCTGAGTTGCCCAGCAATGTATCTTGCAGAGCGGGCATGGACGGGTTCGCAGGCGCGGGGAGTGGAGTGGGCGGGCCAAGCAGCGTGGGACGTTCTGTGTCGAGATTCATGCTTGTCGTGGATGTTGTTGATGTGGTCGTGGCCTTTTTCGTACACGTTAGCGAGTGGTGAAATAAACAAAGCACGTCGACTCTGCAACCCAACTCACCTCATCTGTAGCAGGCGGCATAGCCGTCGCCGTAGCCTCAACCGGATTCAACAGGCGCGTGGACTGGCGCTCGGCTTCTACACGCAGTTCCTCGAGCACAAGGCAGTATCTGCGGGCGAGGCAATCCGTGTCTGTGACCGTCTCAAGCTGCTTCTGGCATTCGACGCCTTTTTCAAAGTAGCCTTCGATTTCGACGTTGTTCTTGACGCCCAGCCCTTGCTGGATGCGGTGGATGTACAGCACGACCACGGCGCAGAACGCGTAGTATTGTGTGAACCAGAAGGAGCGGAACAAATTCGACGAGGTGAACACGTCGTTTACCACGCGTACAATGGCCATGGCGGCTTCGAGGCATGCGGCGATGTTGGTCGTCGTGTTGTAAGTGGTGTTTGGGTTGGCGCCCCAGTTTGGGTGCGTGGGCATGTGAGTTAGGCTTGCGAAGTCGCGGAGCAAGAAGGGTCGGTGGATCAGGAGGATGGCGTGGTGGTAGGCTAGGTTGAGCACTGAGCGCTGTCGCTGGTAAATGGGGACTAGGGCCTGACTGTCGACGCTGGCTTGGTGGCTTGAGCCGGCGAGGAAGCCCGAGAGCGAGTTGTGCCAGGCGTGGAGATCGGCTGTGTATTTGGCGGAGAGCTCAATGCGTAGGCCTAGACTCGGAGGCCGGATGGAATATAGGTCTCGTAGGACGAGAGAGACGATTCGCGTTAGCTTGATGTGCTCTACTGGGGCGGTCATCATGCAATGAGAATGGGGAGGGGCCGGCCTGATATATGATGGGAGGAGATCATTGTCGTTGACAATGGTTGGGAGTTCCTTGCCGCAATGTTAGCACGGGCGAGGTATTGATGAAGAGTACCTACCTGGTCAATATCCTCATCTTTGAAAGTTCGTGGGCGACCAAGAGCTGCCGCGAGGTATTTGTCAAGAGAGTACGCGCACCAGAAGACGCGTCTTCGGCTCTCAAGCTCGACATAATCCACATTGTTGGAAGGATCGCATTTCCTCCCGCGATTCAAGCCTATGGCAAGAACAAGATGTGACAGCGTGCCGAAAAGGCTCCAACAGTGGTTGATACGCGACTGGGTGAGAAGGTAAAAGCACTGCAGCAATCGTGCTTGTACGCTTGCCAGTCTTACAGCACCGCGCTCCTTCGATAGCTGATGTTCGGCTGCGAAAAAGTAGCGGGCACTACCGTCTGTTAGCCCGTTGCTATGGAGCCGATACCAAGAAGATCATACCTGTTTTCTTGCACGGTACTGCCTGGAGGCATGTACGCTTGCGCCTGGGCAAAAACAACCATCAAAAGTGCAGCCTTTGCCTTGCCATCTTCTTTGCCTCTTATTTCGCCTAGCGTGTCATAGAACTCGTCCAATAACTTTTCAATACTTGGCCGATGCAGAAATCGATGTGTTGGAGCGGCGAAATCAAAGTACCGTTCCACAAGCCTTTGTGCATCGGATTTTGGCGGTAGGAAGAATAGAGATTGATCAAACTCTGGCAGCGGAGCATCGCCAAACGTGAAGATGGTCGAGTCATGCGAGAGAGACGAGCTTTGATGCAGACGTCTCTGGATACGAATGAGAAAGGCTACGGCACTTGAAGAACCAACGTAGTGACCTTGCTGATCTCTTTGTCCCCCTTGTGGTACGGGGGAGTCTCGGGTAGAAGGACGAGGCCCATACTCGGCAGACATGGTCAGAGCAGTCGGGTTGCCATTGGCGACATGGGTGTAAGCCGATGGCTCAATGGGAGAAGATGGGCTGGGATAGATTCGTGGATACTGGGCGGTCGGAGCAGCTGGTTCTCCCTTTGGAGAAGCCTCAGATACTGAAATCTCTCTGCGCGCTTGGGCGTGTGGGCCCATAGCTATTGCAGATTCATCCACAATGACCGATGGAAGCCTTCCTCGCGTATAGGACGCGGTGAATTCGCAAGGGAGTCCTGATCGCAGACATAATGCACACGGACATCTTCCAGTGCACCGGACTTTTTTCCTACATAGGATGTCAGCAGGTGTGCGGAGCACGTCACGTGCACGCTGATTCTGCTCAAGCTCACTTCTTACATCGGTCGCAAGCCCTACTGACCCTACTTCTTTCTTTGTTCTCTCTTCTCCTCTTCGCCGATGGTGTTTTTTGGTCGCTCGAACCCGCGCTAGCTGGTGTATCGGCGGCCGTGGCGTCCATACTATTCGCAGGCGTCCATGTAGACGACCCTTGCTTCGAATCAACACTAGGCGAGCATCCTTGGCGTGAGCTGTTGTCATCCATCATTTAAAGGTGCCGGAAATACTGTGTTAGCAGACGTTTCCGGATGTTCAAAGAGCGGAGTCAGGAGTATTTGGAAAGCTCGGATAAGGACTGCTGTATGAGAATAGCCGGCAGTGCCGGAAAAACTGCGCACTAAGCCAGATGAGGATTGACCAGAGCGCGATTGCGCTAGGGCTTCCCCAGGTTTTCAGATCGCGTGCCTCTTTGATTGGGTTTTTTATTTGAGTTCTGTACCAGATAGAGGTTCATATCGATTTGGGATGCAAACTAAGCGGGAAGAAAAGTCTCTTTACATCCTTGCCCAGAACATGGAGCATACAAGTCTTGCACCGGTTTGATTGCAACGGACATGGTTATCTGTACTTAAGCAACAAGGTTTGCACTTTGCAGAATTGGCAAGACGTCTTTTCGCGCGTGAAACAAGGAAACAATACCGACTACCACTCCTTCCTCTGAGGTATCTGTGCTACACTCAGTTGATATCCATCGTCATCTTCATATGATGGATGCACAAGAAGTAACACGGACCTATGCGCAAACTGGAAGTGGCCACACAGTTTCATCTAGACATCTGAAGTCAATAGCTGATGTACCAATTAGAAGCCTGGGCCAAGGACGGAGTTGAACGGGATCCGGTCACTCCGAAAGCCGCCGTCTCTCTTACGTATTCATCAGTCTGCACCGGAAAGAGTTTGATATTAACCCATAATATATCCTAGCATCAATCAGACAATAGAGTTCCGAAATTCTCAGCGAGTTGTTGCAATGTGAAGCTCTGTCCACGTAAAAGCCCTGCCGTCTGTGCTCACGGTAGTGCGGGCGAATAGCGTTGATGCTCGATAGGAACCCATCCTTTGGACCGAAGACCGGCCTCTTTGCTCCCCTCACAAGAGCACATTTCACCCAAGAAATGGTCGAGGCAGCCAGTACGACAATGGGCCAACAGCCCCCACGATTCATGCCGTGTAGAAGAGCGCCGAATGACAGGGTATCGATGCCTAGTTGTGGTAAGCGGAGGTGTATGTTGAAGACTAAGGCCCATTGCGGCGACCGGTGGTAAAGTCAGTATGGAGTGGCCGGCGTAATATGGGCTCAATTGCCCGAAGTCTTGTCCGAGAACGCTGGTTCGCGGACGCGGCAGCAGGGTCGCCAAGGCGTGGGCCACGACGGATCCATCTCTTGTGTATGTGGGTGCTTGCAGCTTGCTTGGATCCCGTATATGTGGAGTCGGCCTGGTGGGTATCGGTGGTCCGTTGGTCGGCAAATACTAGTACCAGCACCAGTACTGCTATGGTGACTGTGAGCCAGACGCAAGCCTCACGTGCCCATATGCCGCAACGATGCCGCCAATCGATGCAGGCTCGGGGGCTGGTTGCTGGAGAGGACGTGGTTTGGAACGGCGACCCCGCGTACCTGAACCACAGGCGCGACGTCTGGGCAGGCGCCTAGAACATTCGGCCATGGCGGGAGAGAGATTGTTGAGTCCCGTGACCATCAGTGCACTCTTGGCAGCGCAGGTCAAGCCACCCCAAGTGGCAGACAAGAGAAACAAGAGGCCTCCCCAACGCCGGGTCAAGCAATTGTCCCCGGCGAAAGACGCCTAGAAGGGTCGACGACAAGCTTCACCGTTGGACGTGCGCAGCGACGCGCCATCAGACGCATGGCCTGCGATTCGGCCTAGCTTAGGATCGGATGCCGCCAGCTCTGGGCGCAGCCGACGGGCGACTGCTACCACTGCTGGCAGGCTCTGCGCTTTGGGGCCCTTGGAAGCCGGCACCGATGACGTTGGGCGTGTGGCTTTAGTCCAGGTTTGGTGCGGAAGTCGGCATCACAGCGGATGCGCCAAGCGCTTGGTGTGGCTAGGCGGGCGGTAGGCGAGCGGGATGCTTGGCGGCTCTTGTCGTGCTCGCCACTCGCCAACCCTCCACCAGCACCCACACCTGCAAACGGCTGTCCCCAACCCCGCTGTCGTCATGCCCGACATCATGTCTTCTCTCGCAACACCCAGATTGGGCTCCGGTCAGGCCAGTTCTCGGCAATGCATCGACATCTGTCCAATGCGCGACAGCGTGACCACCATGTCTGGACCGTACATATGTATGCTTGCAGGCATGCAGCTCTTGGTGGACATCGCCAACCGACGGTGACGTGCTTGCGTCGGTCCCAAGATAGGTCCCACCCCGCCAAGCTTTCTATATCGTACGGTCCTTGGCTTTCGCCATGAGTACGTGCCGCATGCATTCCCAGTCATCGGTGTTTAAAGGCTGTAGGAGCCCCCCCACCTGGAATTCTTCACCCAACACTCTTCTTCTTAGCATCACTCACTATGGGCAAGAAGCAACCCTCTCTCGAGGGCCACAAGTCTGGTCAGGCCAACGAGCCTCTCTCCAAGCCCGCCCATGCCCTTGGTTGGAAACAGGTCGTCGAGGAGGTCAAGTGCAACGCCGAGGATGGTCTGACCACTTCCGAAGCAAAGTCCCGACACGAGAAGTATGGTAACAACGACCTGGGCGACGATGGAGGTGTATCACCGGCCAAGATCCTGCTAAGGCAGGTCGCCAACGCCATGACACTGGTACGTCACTCGCAATCACTATCAATGAACAGTTACTAACACAGCCTAGATTCTGATTGCCGCCATGGCTGTCTCATTCGCTATCAAATCGTGGGTTGAAGGTGGTGTAGTGACTGCCATCATTATCCTAAACGTTGTCATCGGTTTCGTACAAGAGTTCAACGCTGAAAAGACCATGGACTCTCTTCGGTCATTGTCTTCGCCTACAGCTACTGCCGCCCGAGACGGAAAGACGGTCACTATCCCAACCATCGAGGTGGTGCCTGGCGACTTGATCGAGTTGAAGACGGGTGACACCGTCCCAGCCGATATTCGGTACGTCGGACCACGCTAAACTTTGTGTCAGGACATATGTCACTGACCTGCATCCAGCATCATCGAAGCTCTGAACTTTGAAACCGACGAAGCCCTGCTTACCGGAGAATCGCTTCCTGTCTCCAAGGATGGTGACGCCATCTTTGACGAGGACACTGGCCCTGGCGACCGTCTCAACATTGCCTACAGCTCCTCAACCGTCACCAAGGGACGTGCCCGTGGCGTTGTCTTTGCCACTGGTATGTACACTGAAATTGGTTCCATCGCAATGTCCCTCCGTCAGAAAGGGTCGCGCGTCCGTGAGGTCAAGCGCAAGCCCAATGGCAAGGCTAAGCCGCATCGCTATGCTCAAGCCTGGTCCTTGACTGCAGCTGACATGGTTGGCCACTTCCTTGGTGTCAACGTCGGTACTCCGTTGCAGAAGAAGCTCGCACGTCTCGCCATCCTCTTGTTCGGCGTTGCGGTTGTTTGTGCTATCATTGTGCTCGCCGCCAACAGCTTCTCGAACAACAGCGAGGTCATCATCTATGCCGTTGCTACTGGTCTTTCCATGATCCCCGCCTCCCTCACAGTCGTCCTTACAATCACCATGGCTGCTGGTACGAAGCGCATGGTGCAGCGTCACGTTATTGTGCGCAACCTGAAGTCCCTTGAGGCTCTCGGTGGTGTCACTGATATTTGTTCCGACAAGACTGGTACCCTCACTCAAGGAAAGATGGTTGCGAAGAAGGCATGGATTCCTGCCAAGGGAACCTATTCTGTTGGACAGTCGGACGAGCCACACAACCCCACGATTGGAGACTTGACTTTCAACCCCAAGCAACCCCGACACATTGACGCTGATATGGACGAGAAGACTGCGACTTACGAGGAGCTTCTACAGAACAACCATCACCTTGTGGACTATCTCAAGGTTGCATCGCTCGCTAACCTGGCTCACGTTCACCAGACTGACCAAGGTCAATGGAACGCACGAGGTGACCCTACGGAAATTGCTATTCAGGTTTTTGCATCTCGCTTCAAATGGAACCGTCTCGAATATACCGGTGGTGATTCACCTGCCTGGAAGCAGCTCGCGGAATTTCCCTTTGACTCGGACGTCAAGAAAATGTCCGTCATCTTCGAAGAGGTTGCTACCAGTAAGAAGTACGTCTTCACCAAGGGTGCCGTTGAGCGAGTCATCTACTCATGCACACGTGTCTTCAACGATGAGAGCGAGACAGGTGTTGAACTAGACGATGACTATCGTGAGGAGATCTTGGCCAACATGGAATCGCTCGCGGCTATGGGACTCCGTGTTCTGGCTCTTGCTAGCAAGGAGTATGAAGGACCTTCGCCCAACAAAGGTGAGGAGCTGGACCGTGAGGGCATTGAGAACAACCTTATCTTCCGTGGCCTCGTCGGTTTGTATGATCCGCCCAGACCCGAGACAGCGGGCTCTGTTCGTCAGTGCCAGAAGGCAGGTATCGAAGTCCACATGCTTACTGGTGACCACCCTGGAACTGCTCGTGCCATCGCTATTGAAGTCGGCATTGTGCCCTCCAACATGGGAACCCTTCCCAAGGAAACGACCGACGCCATGGTCATGACAGCATCGCAGTTCGACAAGCTCAGCGATGACGAGATCGATGCTCTCCCACTTCTCCCACTGGTTATTGCTCGCTGCGCCCCGAACACCAAGGTCCGTATGATTGACGCCCTGCACCGACGGAAGGCCTTTACTGGTATGACTGGCGACGGTGTCAATGACTCTCCCTCATTGAAGCGCTCAGATGTGGGTATCGGAATGGGAACAGGATCCGACGTGGCCAAAGACGCTTCTGATATCGTTTTGACTGACGACAACTTTGCCTCTATTCTCAACGCGATTGAGGAGGGTCGTCGCATGTTTGACAACATCCAAAAGTTTATTCTTCACTTGCTCGCTCAAAACATTGCGCAGGCATGTGTTTTACTTATCGGTCTTGCATTCAAGGATGAGAGTGGGCTTTCCGTCTTCCCTGTATCTCCGGTTGAAGTCATGTGGATCATCATGATCACGTCGTCTCTTCCCGACATGGGTCTCGGTTTCGAGGTGGCTGCTCCAGATATCCTCAACCGACCTCCGCAGAATGTAAGTATCTTGCACTCGAAGTGCCCGTAATGAACGAATGCTAACAGTACGCAGCTCAAGCGTGGTGTCTTCACCCTCGAGGTCATTCTTGACATGTTTGTCTACGGTCTCTGGATTGCCGCCCTTTGCCTTGGCTCTTTCTCTCTTGTCATGTTTGGCTTTGGCGATGGCAACCTCGGAAACAACTGCAACGAGTCGTACAACCCTAGCTGTGAGACCGTATTCCGTGCTCGTGCGACCACCTTTGCCTGCCTTACGTGGTTCTCGGTGTTCCTGGCATGGCAAATGCTGGACATGCGCCGCTCGTTCTTCCGGATGCAGCCTGGATCGAAGAGATACTTTACGCAGTGGGCTTTCGATGTGTGGCGCAACAAGTTCCTCTTCTTCTCCATTGTCTTCGCCTTTGTCACCATCTTCCCTGTCCTATATATCCCTGTTATCAACGACACGGTGTTTAGGCACAAGGGCATCAGCTGGGAGTGGGCCATTGTCTTCATTGCCACATTCCTCTTCTTCCTCGGTATCGAGTCGTGGAAGTGGGGCAAGCGAGTCTACTTCAGGAGGGTTGAGGCGAAGACTGGCGGTGGCAGAAGGGGCTCGATTGATCTTGAGCAGCGGGTATTCGAGCGGTACCTCAGCACAGCCATCAGCACCGACAATGAGGAGGTTGAGAAGAAGTCGACTTCTTAGACGACACGGTAAACAGTGTGTCATGATTACACTGGAGCTACACGTCTCCTGATTGGGAGATTTAATGTTTTACGAACAATGTATACGTAGGAGAGAGGGTTGGTTTGTTTGGATTTGCTTGGATTTGATTGCGATACCTCATGTCCACTGGGCTGCGATGGAAAGATATTTCCTAGTTTTACACGATACATAGTAATGAAGATATCACGAGTAACTGGTATTGGGCCATGCATCTCGATAGGAATATGGTACGACTGCTCTGGCTGCAACAAGCACCAGTGACTCGCCAAAGTCTGCCGTGTCGGTATCCCGAGTCAACTAATTCAGGCGTCCTGCCGTGGCGCACACGGCCCCTCTAGACTCCGCCATGGCTGGCTCCCCGCTTTTGCCAATGTTTTCCGCTCCACTCCGCACCAAGCCTGCCGGTGTGGAGAGTTCTGGGCGCCAAGAGAACGCTAGGCCCAAAGCAGCAGCCTAGCTTGCTTTTGCAAACGTCAGCCCAGCCGAAATCTGCCCATTTGTCTTTGGGCTGAGATAAGGTGGGGTGAGGGCTGACCGGCCGCGACATCACGAGGCATGCGTCCTGATATAAGAGGCGCATTTTGCGATAAGCGAACAAGAGACAACGGGCCTTGTTTTGCAGATGCATGCGACATGACAAGGCGCAGCGCGGCCACAGCCACCGAGGATCAAGGCCAATGGCGTCGTGTGTCACTGGGCCCCCGAGTTGGCCTGCAAGCAACAAGCAAAGGCACACATCGTCCAGCTGACAGTAAACAAAACAGGCTTTGCTCGGGCAAATAGGCCGGCACACCAAGCGCTCACCATGGCCAGATACAGACCGTGAGCATCGGCGAAAGGGCGCCAAGGACATCGAGACCCCGAAGCTGACGGCAAAAAGACGTGGCTGTGGAGGCTGGCGGCCGGCGGACGGCGCCTCTTCATCATGGGGGGCGTCCGATACGCCGTTTTCCGGGGCGTCTTGTTATTCCATAAGACGGGCCCCCGTGCGAGAGTCCATGCTCTCGGTTTCCCCAGACATTTGTTGCGAACCGACGGCCGCGGAAACCGCCCAAGGACAAAAGGTGTTGCAGCACGGGCTCGGTGTGCCCCCCACGCCCCAATCTACATGTACAGTACTGCACAATCAGGCCGCCCCAGCCATTTTGCGGAGGATCGACTGGACGCGCAATCTGTGCTTCCGCCTTAGCCGCCTGCATCCGTCACGTCGCATCAGGTCCCCGCAGTCTGCCAAACCAACCTGCATCCTCCCACCCACCCTACATTCCAAGACTCCGCAACAGAGTCTAAAGCCAGCAAACCGCCGCCGCCGCTATTGGAAAGGAAAAAAAAATCGGGAAATTTGCCATGCCAGCCATTTCGGGTCAAGGTCATGTGCTTCGGCTCCAAGCGCGAGAATGGCAACAGACGGTCGGCCAGTCGGGTATGACGCCTACCGCCTTTAGCTTTTTGATTCCAGTATTCATTGTGGCTATTATAGCGCCTTTGTAAGTTTGTCTCGGGACCGGACCATCCTCTTTTCTACGTGGTTGCGAAACATGTGCTTCATCCAAGAGACGGACGCTGTAAGCCAGGTAGAGGATGAGAAGAGAAAAAAGCAAGCAGATTTGGAGATGATTAGGGCTAATCAGAATGGATAGCCTATGTATCTTTTGCATAAGAAGACGTCGGCGAACAACAACACCGCTACCTGCGCGTCCGCCAGCCAAAGTCAAGAAGCCGGCGCTCCGACGAGCGGAAGCAAGGGAAAAGCTGAACGAAGTCACAAAGGTATCGTCGCGAGCCAGCAGCGCCGCGGAAGATGAAGCGACGCCTAGGTCAGAGTCGCAATCGGTCTTGGAACGAGAATGGTACGTCAAATCGTCACTTCACGCCATGTCCACTGGGACACTAAACTCCATGCCAACAGCGCAATATGTCTATCCGCGCTCTACGCCCCCACGCCCCCCGAGCCCGCCAAACTGTCGCCCGACGAACCTCCTACTTCTGCTGCAACCGCTACCGCTACCGAAACCGCCGCGCCGCAACCGCAATCCACGGACCTGGGCCCCACGATTACGCGCACCACCACCGCACCCGAATCCGAGACCATCCTCCGCCTCATTGTGTGCAACCACGAATTCCACGCTGAATGCCTCGTCTCATGGTTTGTGCTGCGCAAGACCAGCTGTCCTATCTGCCGCTCGCTCTACATGAGCAAAGAAGACATGGACCAGTACGATGAGGAAGAGCGCATTGCCATGGGCGGCGCGCCCCTTAGAACAACGGATGTGATACAAGAGAGAATAGAAAGGAGAATGAAGATGAGAATGAAAAAAAAAATCAACATGGAAAACATGGAAAACATGGGCGCGCTCTGATGTTTGGGAAGAGGGGGAAGAGGGGGAAATGGGAAGAACATGTCAGTCCCCCTTTTTTCTTTTTGTTTCTCGTCCACTTCCTTTCTCCTTCTGAATCTGACTGTTTACCATTTCAACTCAACCGTGCTCTTCGTTGCCCTGCGCATACTTCATCTCGCGCTGCGCTGCCTCCGTGAGTGTAGTTGAAACAGGCATTTCGGCAAGCCCTGGACCCCTCGTTTTTTCTTCCCGCCTCGCTCTCTCTTTCTTTCTTTCTTTTGTTTTTCCAATGCCATTTCATCGCATGGCATGAAACATACGTTTGTGATCGTCATCGTAATCGCATAACAATGTTGCCAAAAAACAACAACAACAACAACAACAAAAAGGCCACCCACCCCCGTCTTCCCGTCATGCTTCCGTGTGTCCTCGTCAATCTCATCACCCCAGTCCCGTATCCCACCATGTTTTTCCCCATGAAATTGCGTGAAATGTGTTGAAATTGCGTGAAATTACATGACTGAATAAAGAAACAAGTAAATACGAATGCCTCAGCCCGTCGTAAAGTAACGGCGCCATATCGAGCGCGCGGGCTGTTGCGCAGGCTGTGTCGTTTGGGTTTGAGTTGAAGCTGGTTCCGGAGTGGTAGCGGATTCCTGGGGTTGCTGTTGAGTGTTTTCCGGGGTATCGGCTGGACCAGTAGCAGCAGCGTGAGTCGTAGTCGGAGTGATGGTAGTAGTAATGGTGGTAGTAGCAGCAATACCATTCCGATCTACCATCTCCACGCCCTGCTGCCTTGCAATCTGCTCTCTGGCCTGCGCTTCAGCCTGTTCCCGAGCCCTTCTCTCGCGCGCCCACTGATAGGCGTCCCTGCCGTATAGCAGATAGCGCCACGTGGGCAGGCGCGGGCTCTGCTGTGGCAGCGGCGCCTGCGGCGTCTGGGCCTCGACGTCCTGGGCGCCGCTGGCCGTGGTTTCGTCCTCGTTGTGTTAGTAGCTTGTTTCTTATTCTTTTTTCTTTTCGAGATTTCTGGATTTGGTTTGGTTTGGTTTGGTTTGGTAAAGTCCCCGACATACTTTCTCTCGAGAGATACCCATCCCCCCCCCTGCCTCACTTTACTGTTTAGGGTAGATATGTATATTGATTTTATCACTTTCTTGAGATTTGTATGTATCTATATATGTGGCTATGTGGCTATGTGGCTATGTGGCTATGTGTCTGTCTGTCTGTCTGTTCATGTGTGTATGTCTTGCTTTGTACATGTGTATCTGTCTGTGTCTCTCTGTGTCGGTGTATAGTGTAGTATAATCTATATACAAAAAAACAAAACAAAAAGGTAAACTAGAAACTATACGAGAACTAGAAAACAAAGTGGCGGAATGTGTACAAGTACATACAGACATACAGACATACAGACATACAGACATACAGACATACAGACATACAGACATACAGACAGACAGGTGAAAAAGAAAAAAGAGTTGGTAAAAAAAAAGAAAAGGTTTCACCGTTCCTATTCATCAAAGTCCTCCTGCCTCCTGCCTCCTACCAAAAAAAAGAAAGAAGGAAAGAAAGAAAGAAAGAAGCGAAAAACATACCCGTGGATTTCGAATTTCAGAATAATGTCATGTAAAGACAGCAAGGTGCAAACAAGAATAAACGAATCAACGAACAAGCGAGCGAGCGAGCGAATGAATCGATGGATAAGCGAAGAAAAAAAATATCAAGACTTCTATTTCTCCATGCAGAAAGAGAGAGAGAGAGTGAGAGAGAGAGGGTATTATGAATAAGAAAAAACGAGCAAATCCCCATCCCATTCCATCCCACCCCATGCCATCCATGCCATCCAGCCCCCATCTAAGACGAACAACAAGCATCCAAACGCCCATCTAACCATTTTTTTTCCCCGTGTACGACAAGAACCAGTCTATTCTTTTGGTTTGAAGACGCGATGTCTAGCGAGGAGCTGAGAAATCATAAAATGCGACACGTCCTCATCGGCCCAGTACGTCATGTGACTTGCTATACTCGCCAGGAGCGAAATGTCAAAGGCCTATGTGTGGGATATCGTGTTAGCATGCATCAAGTTTGCAGTTAAACACATGGAGGAGTAGGGAGATGAGAATGGGAATGAAAACAAAAAAGACCAACTCACCCCCTCTTGGATACTATAATCCACCCTTCCATTTGAATTCAAACGACGGACTTTGAGCTCTTCCTTTTTCAACTTGCGGCTTCGTTCCTCGAGTTCCTGCCACTCGAGATCCTTGGTGTCGTGTTCGCTGTCATCGGTTGGCTGGCTTTTCCGGCGCTTCTGGAAGCCGGTAAAGAGGGTTTCAATGTCGGATTCAATCAGAGTGGGTGGGTGTTCGCCATATTCACCCTCGGCAATGGTCTCTTGGCCAAGACGCCGTCGGCGCTCTTCGCTGATAAAGGCACTGGTCGGTTCGTTGAGGCCAGGGACGAGATTTGGGTTGCTTGCATTGGGTGCTGCGCTGAGAGGGCGTGAGGAGCGTTGGCCTTGAGGGGCTCCACCTGCCATGTCACTGCCGGAGATGCCTAGACTGCGGTTGAGGAGTCCGCTTGCGATACCTATGGGCATGGTTAGCTTTGGCACCGTGAGAAATTGTATGCCATCATTGGCACAAATCTACTTCTAGCTATAACCAACTCACCTGAGCCGAGAGAGGTCCAAAAGTCAGTCACGCCCTGGCCAACTCGTTGTCCAATACCAGTTATGCCCTGAGAGGCGGGTGCTCCAAAGATGCCCTTCTTTGTATACGGCAGGGGCTGTGCCTTGAGAGTAGACATTGCGGGCGATATTAGAGGTTCAAGACGATAGCTGATTGGATCTGTGGGATGGAAAATGTTGAAGACTTGTTTGCAGAGAGGCGAAGAAGTTGTGATGTCAAAAGCATGCTCATCACCACCTGGCGAGAAGGGATCGTCAATAGGCGTTGAAGGTGTCTTGGGTGGAACAAACGCAGCCTTTGGCCTTCCGGCAATCGTCCGCCCCTTAAGCATCTGGAAAAGACCTATAGGTGATCCAAGTGCATAAAAGTCTTCCACTTCAAAGTCTAGCTTCAAACCCTCTTCAGTTGATCGTCGCTGTCTGGTTGAATGTGAGCTCGGTGCTGCCTTGGGATCCTTTTGCATGCACAAAACATCAAACATGATGGCAGATCCAAGCGAATGCCCGACTAAACTGACTTTGCCCTTGAACGAAGGATTCCGCTCCTTGAAGAGGCGATAGGTACGGTTGAGCTCGTTCACAACGATACGTGAGATGTGGCCTTTGTATGCGGGACTTTGGTACAACAGGATATCAAGAGCGAGATCGGTAAGAAAATTGCGCACGGCTGGGACTCCTTCGACCGTAATGTCGTCTAGATTTGGATACTCCTCGTCTTCGTGGTCGAGATCGCCCAGGTCATGTTCCTTGCGATTGTGCCTCAAGCTCTGTTTTGGAAAGTCTAAAAGGTGTCGCCAGATGATGGGGATGCACTGGATACGGTTGTTCTTGGATTCAGAATCTACTTCCGCGTTGAGAGCTTGGAGGTCGGGCGAAGCTGCATATACAGACTTGAGGGACTTGCGCATAGTGTTTACATCATGGATGAAGTTGATCGACTCCATGCGCATTCCAAGCCGCTGGCCAATGCCGTGGGTGACTAAAAGGAGATGCTCGATCTCGCGGCCTTGATCACTGTCGTTTTGGGTCTTGTAGTCTTCCCGCATTTCCTTCTCTTCGCGCTTCCGCATTTCTTCCTGCTGTTGCTGCTCATATTCCGGTTTCAACGACGTCATGAGCGAGGAAACCTGTCTTTCAAGATTGCGCCTACGCGTCTGAGAAGGCGACATGCTCCGCTCGTTTTCTGATGTATCTTCGTCGACACTGGCGTCGGAATCAGACTGTTTCCCGTGGTCTGATCCATATGCCAGAGATGGGGTTACGGAGCGCTCGGGTGGTTTCGCGCTTTGGGGGTCTTTTGCTGGGTTCGGTTGCTTCTTCTTCTCTGCTGGATCTGTATACCCGCGGATGTACTTGTGCCCAGCATAATGCGCACCTCCAGCAAAGCGTTGGTACAGGGTGCTGCCCATACGCGACCACATGTCATCAGTCAGCAACCATGCTGTCGTCTCGTCTTGATATGTCACGGTCGAGTTCAGGTGGGCGCCGAAAAGTCGATGTGTTCGGGGCAAATCGGCTGGAGCATTTGAAGTGGTGGAGGCATCGCTTGATTTTGCATCTTCAGGCTGCTTTGAGGCTTCCTTTTTCAAGCTATCGTACGAAGATTTGGGTGTGACGGGATTTGATGTCGAGTCACGGTTCAGCCTTCCCAGCTCCTTTCGGTGATCATCGTCCAATGGTCCCATGGACAGCGGTCTTGCACGAGGCTGCGAAGCCGCTCGCTTTTGCTCTGGTTTCCCAAATTTCCACGGCTTGACTTTCAAATAACCTTCCTCAAGCTGCATAGCCAGACCCTCGTCAACCGCCTCTCCATCCTGAGTGAACCACGTCCCTCGCTTGACATCGTATACAGGGCCCAGCCAGTAAGCGGGCGCCAACTCGCGTGTCTCTATTTCAACGTCGAATAGGTAGTCCTCGTTGACAGGGACCTTTGTAGTCTTGGAAGCGATAGGGCTGTGCTGGATGGGTGTTGCAGGGCTCGCTATACCCCTTCGTAGCTCGTCCGTGTCTGCCTCGTCGGCGGTCTTCTGGAATGCCGTCTCGATGGCGCGCGAGTCGCTGGCACTAAAGGGCAGCCATTTCTTGGGCTTGGGCAGGACCGTGTCGGGCGCCATTGCGTGTTTCGAGAGCGGCTTTCTCTTGGGCGTCTGTCTTGGTTAGCGACGGCATGTCTGCGCAAAGTCTCGAAACGCAGTTGCGCAAAGGGTTCTTCCTTGGCCTACTCACGTCTATGGCATGGAACCACCTCACGGCCAGCGGAGGGCAGTCGGGGGGATAGCGCTTCAGGCTCAGCCTCTGCCTGCGGTCGATGATGTGGTCGCCTCCCTGCTGGGACGCCAGCACCGTGGCCGCGAGCTCCCTGTCCCTCTCCTGGTCCATCTTTTTTGCTCTTTCCGTGCCTCCCTCAGGCTTGGGCGTCGCGGGAGGCTTGGGGGTGCTGGCACGCGAGGCCCATGGCGACAGGTTGGAGAGGAAGCCCTGCTTGTTGTCGGGGGCAGACATGCTGTCGACTGGGGGAGAATGGAGCCGGGGGAGCCACGACTTCTGGCGGTATGGCGGAGCTGGCTTCGTCGGGCGGGGGGTCGGACGGGAGCAGACGCGAAAAGCAAGGCGCCGATGCAGCGTGGTGGCGGTGCTGGGCAGAAACGGATAGAATAGGAGGATGGAGCAGAAGCAACAAAAAAAGGAGAAGAAGCGAGATGTCAGGGCATGGCGGGTAAGTATGGATGTATGTAAGCAGTGTCGGGATGGTGGGAGATGTCTGGCATGTGCATGTGCGTGCAGCGAGAGTCCCAGCAGCCAACATGACCTCACTGCCCCCCGGGCGTGTTAGTGTTTGTGGAGCGCGCGGGGCAGCCACCACGCCAGCGACAACTCCCTGGCTCATTGCCGACCTCGCTCCGACATGGCAATCTACACGCTGTCCGACTTGCACGCCCGCACCCAGCAGAGGGCCTCGTCCATCCCGCGCCAGTATCACCGCATCGCCCAGGCAGAGCGCCGCGACCACGGCTTCTCGGTTGCCGATGCGGCTCACTTGAAGCTCCAGCTGCAGGCGCTCGACAAGGCCCTGCCCGGCCTCTCTCCGGCGCAGCCCAGCGTGCGTGATATCACGAGCTTCTCCGACACGGCTTGCACGCAATCTGCTCGCGGCGCCTCCCTCTATATCGCTGGGTCTGAGGAGTTCTTTCTGGTGGTGAAACGTGTCGCGCGGCCGGACCTCATTCCCCATGTCTACGCGCAGGCGTGCGAGGCCATGGTGCGCGGCAGGCCTTATGTCAACCGATACGCCGTGTCAGACTTCAACAAGGGCGTCGACCCAACCTTTTCCGACATCCGCCGCCTGCTGCCAGACATTGACCGCGTGTGCGACACGCAGCTCGACGGCGCCGTGCGCAGGCTCGAGGCCAAAGGCAAGCAAGCTACCGCTCCCGCTCCAGCTCCACCACGTCAGACCCGTGTTAACACGGCACAGTCCGCCCTTTTCCCTTTCTGCGTCTGCCTGCCGAGCTCCGACTGCATGTCTATTCCCATCTTCTGCCCAGCAACCCCAAGATGACGCTGCCGCCTCGCCACCACGAAACTACGCGTCCGCGCCTTGCCCTCATGCAGGCCAACCGGCAGATGCACCATGAAGTCCGAAAGTATCTCTATGAGCGCGTGACTTTGTGTATGCCGGCTGTCTTCCGTCCGGATAGCATGCAGCTATTCGATGACACCGTCTCAGCTGCCTATGAGACTATAGTGGGCATGGACCCTGATAGCCTCCGCTTCTTCAAACGCCTCTGCATGACTATAGCCAGCTCCAGTGGTGCAAATCGTCTTGGTAACCAATCTGGTCAGCCCTCAATCGCAATGCGCCACATTTTCAACACGCTTACGGGGCTCGAGAGGCTGGACATCACATTCGACACCTCGGCCCACGTATCCATGTCTGCACAACACGGACAGGACACTCAGCAAAAATATATCGACGAGATGAAGAAGCGGCTCATTGACGACATCCCTCCGTCACTAGCGGTATCCTGGCCTCATGCAGATGCGGCGAGGTTCTTTTCCAGTACTGCTGTGGCACAACGCTTGTGGAGCGCTATACAGGAGGCAAGGTCCAACAGCACATTGACTTGAGCTCTCGCCCATATGCTCCATGTGCAAAATCATGTGACGACTTGAGAACTAGCCACGTGAGCAGCAAGGGCCAACACTCTTGTATTCTGCCAAGATGACGTTTGTGCCCTACAAAGCAGTTTTTTTTTATTGATGAGTGTGGTCTTTTTGTTGCCCTGCCGCAGAGTGTTTGCTCGCACAGCCAGCTCTAGCGCCGATCTAGCCCTCGCTCTCCCTTCACCACCCGGCTCCGATATGGGAAGGTACGGCCCTCCACTCAACACCAAACCAACCACATCCTCCCTTGACTGCCAATCATGCAAGACGATCCTTCCATTTCCGTGTCTGCACCACCCATGACTCCAACCCCCCAACCTGAGAACAACAACGTGAATGCAGACATCACGCCCACACTACTCCGCCGTATTGCCGTATACGTCGTGGATTTCTTGCACCCCGCCCCCCTCCGCCTTGAATACCGCCTTCTCTTCGCCCAGCTACCAAGATACAAGCGCGTCTACCTCCCCATCATCGTCCTGCTCTTCTCCATTGCCGAGTATGAACAGCCAGGCTGGTTCCCGCGGCCAGACGAACTCAGCGCTGCGGTGGTATGTACACTCTCGAACCTTCCGCCCAGTTCCATGATTGCTGATGAGAAATACAGATAGGTCTCCTTGGCGCAGCAGCTCTCATATTCCCCACTTTTGCGCTGCTGGAGTACATCGAGACACACACCTGGCCCTGGCAGGACGAGGGCTTCGTGTGGCCGTGGGAGGCGCTGCTGTGGAGTAGCACAGTGTATTACGACGAGACTACAGACCAGAGCATGGCTGCATATGAGGATTGGCACGATGTGCCGGCTTTACAGGGACCAAGTCTTGAAATGGTGCGCGGTTGGAGGCAGCATGAACAAACAAGTCCAACGCCTTCTACAACTCCAGAGGGCTCACCGGCAAGGCAGCTTCGCACCGTCGCACCAACACCTTTTCTACTCCACGGACTCAGACCGCTTCATCTTCCGCCCCCTCCAACACATCGCTCTGGGCTTCTGGGAGAGTCGCCGATGTCCGTTCAATTCAAACATTTCGGTAGGCGTTTTGGTTCGGGGGGCGATGAAGATGAGGCACATGAAGAACACGAGGAAGATGAGAAAGAATAAGAAGACAAGGAAGAGGAGGAAACTATCTGAGCAATTCAATCCAAAGTTGGTGAATATCTATAGTCTCCTAATTATATGGAACTTGACTCAAACAGATTCCTGCTTATGTAAGGCAAAAGAAGAATGACGTCTTATCCTCTCTTTGCATCTAGTTATGCGGAAAAAAAATCATAAACTTCACGAGCATCTCACTTCTTGCGATTGAGTTTTCATTCAAAGTACTCCCAGGGTACCCACCATCTACCACTCCCGAATCTCGCCCCCAGGCCCAAAGAACCCAGGAGTAAGCCACGGCTTCGCATCTTTACTCTCCCTCCTCACCCACTCCTCATCGACCTCAATCCCCAAGCCCGGTCCCTTCATCAACGCAATAAACCCATCCTTGACATCCCACACCTCAGGATTCTTGGTATACGCCGTCAAATCCTGGCTGCCAGCATTATAATGAATGCCCAGACTCATTTCCTGGATGACAAAGTTGGACAGCGTACAGTCGACCTGCACACAAGCCGCCAGCGCAATGGGCCCCAGCGGAGAGTGTGGCGCAATAGCGACATCGTACGTTTCCGCCATGGCGGCTATACGCTTCAGCTCGGATATGCCGCCCACATGCGAGATGTCTGGCTGCAGGATATCGACACATCCGGCCTCGAGAAACGGACGCACGTCCCAGCGGGAATGCAGGCGTTCGCCCAGCGCAATGGGAATGCTCGTCTGCGTATGCAGCGATGTGATGCCGCCAATGTGCTCGGACAGCAGCGGCTCCTCGATAAACAAAGGCTGGTGTGGTTCCAGTGCTCTAGCCAGCTGCTTGGCCATGGGCTTGTGCACGCGCCCGTGGAAATCCATGCCTGCGTCCATGCCCAGCTCTTTGACCGTCTGCAGACGCGCCACGGCGGACGACAGGCACGATGGCGTGTCGAGCCAGCCCATGTCTTCTGTTGCATTCATTTTCACCGCGTGGAAACCTTGGGCTTTGCGGCTGAGTCTGTTGCGGGAAACATGGCAAGATTTCAGTTTCTCATCATCGTCTTGTTGTCATAGGGCTGCACTCACGCTTGCTCCTTCACATCGCTTGGTCTATCCCCGCCGATCCAGGCATACACCTTTAATTTATCGCGCACCTTACCTCCCAGCAGCTGATAAATGGGCACATTTAGTTTCCGGGCTTTGAGGTCCCACAGTGCAATGTCGATGCCTGCGAGGGCACTCATGAAGACGGGGCCGCCGCGGTAGAAAGCAACGCGCCAGCTCATCTGCCATATGTGCTCAATGTCACTTTTGGACGCTGGTTAGTTAGGTTCCAAGTAGGAGGGATACACACATCTTACTCTGCTTCAAATCCGACGTAGCGTGCGGCCCACGCGTCTAAGCATCCCTCGACGGCTTCCGTGTGGCCCTCAAGAGAGGCCTCGCCCCAGCCATAATTGCCGTCTTCGTCTGTGATTTTGACAAAGAGCCAGCGGGGCGGCACTCGGAAGTACTCGATTGTTGCAATCTTGCCCATGGTTATCGAATCTCAGTGGTTCTCCCCAGATCAATTGTTTAGAAGGTTAAATACTTGTGCGTCTCAGATGAACATGTGGTGAACAAAAGCTAATAACACTGCCTTTGCAGTAATGAATCAGGTCGGTTAGAACTTGTTTCCAAACACCGACGATACAATATTGCTGTCATCCAATCGGCATGTCGCGTCACGGCTGAGGAACCTCCTTTCGCGGTAACCCGACGGGCGCGGGGTCATCGGCGTCACGGTATTGCTCCACCGCGGGGCACCTCGACTTCGGGTCCTGGGACAAAGCAACCCGAGCATGTTGACGAGACAGGTACGCAATAAATCTCGCCCTAACTCCGCCCCTTCAGACCTTCAGCTGCGGCATATTCCCTCAATTGATTGACAATAAGACTCGGTTTCGTAAAAGCAGCGATACGGATTTTGATTTTCTTTACAAACACCAACACCAGCAACCTGGTACTTAGTAACTGACAATGCCGTCATCACCACCAACGGGCGTCTTCGTGCCCGTGCCCACCTTCTTCCAACCAAAGTCCGAAAGCAGCACGCTGCAAGCAGGCATCGACGTGGAAGCGCAAATCGCACACAGCGTCTTCCTAGCGAAAAATGGCGTGCGCGGACTCGTCCTGCTAGGCTCCACGGGCGAAGCAATCCACATGTCGCGACAAGAGCGCATCGACGTCGTCGCCGGTGTGCGCAAAGGTCTCGACGCCGCGGGCTACACAGACTACCCCATCATGGCTGGAACCCTGATCAACAGCATAGACGAGACGCTCGAGTGGCTCGAAGACTTCAAGGCCGCTGGCGCGCAGTGGGGTCTCGTGCTTGCACCTGGATATTTCGGTGCGGCGGCGAGCCAGGAGGGGATACGGGAGTGGTACACTGTGGTTGCGGATAAGAGTCCACTTCCGATATTAATGTAAGCCACCACTATTCCAAGCAACTACAACTCGATATCAAAGAGGACGGAAAGGGCTAATGAGAGTGTCAAAGTTACAACTACCCCGGCGTCACCAACGGCGTCATGGTCACACCAGAAACCTACCGCATCCTCGCGCAGCACCCCAACATTGTCGGCTGCAAAATGTCGCATGCCGTCGTCTCATGGCACAACCAAGTCTCTCTAGACCCGCAAATCGACCACTCCAAGTTCCGCGTCTACTCTGGCCTCGGCCAGCAACTCGGCCCCATCGTCCTCTTCGACGCCGCCGGCGTAATCGACGGCCTCGCAGCCATCTGCCCCAAGACCGTGTGCTCCCTCATGAAGCTCGCCGAAACGCGCCCTGTGACCGATGAGAATCTCAAGAGGATCAAGGAGCTGCAGTATGTCGTGAGTACGACTGAAGAGTACATTGGCAAGTACGGTATTGTGGGCATCAAGGAGGCGGTTAAGCGCGTGACGGGCTACGGTACGATGGAGGGGGGTAGACTCCCGATTCAGGGACGCCTGCCGGACGGCGAGTGGGAGAAGTGGAGCGAGACATGGCAGAGGATATTGAAGGTTGAGGAGTCGCTGGGGGAGAAGGATTTCAAGTAGTCGAGTAGGGTGTGGTGCTTGGATTGGAAAAACAGATAAATGTTTCTTACAGCATGTCATGGTTGTTGTAAAAGCGGTCCGGCTTTGCCTGCTGTGCTGTTACGCTATTGTATGTAATGTTCTGGTTGTCGGGCCAGACTGGCTGTTCTGGTCGTTAGCACGCTACTCTACTCCAGCTGTACAGACCCCGTTCTAGAGTTCCTTGTCTGTTCTGGCCACTCTAGCTCTAAGTACTTGGCTGTTCTGGCCATCTTAGCTAGTACCACGCTGCTCTAGCTGCACTACATAGCTATTCCAGCCGTTCTACCATCCGGTATGTATATGATTAAAATCCTTTAGCGCGACAAACTTGAAACCGAGATTCCCTGAACTCTTATTCAACACCGATTCAGCCAATAGCTACACTGACTAAACCAATCTGTAGGAACTGGTGATACAGATACCGAAAGTCTACTGCATTGAACGAAGAAAGCGGGGACTTTTACAAATTGCCTCCATTGAAATTTAATACCTCACTCCACTTCCCCAGAGTAACAGCCCCAGACTAGGCTCCACTATACCCCAGATCCAGCAAAGAGAGCGGCTAGTACATTGCAAATGTGTCCCCTTACCCGATGACACACGCACACATGCATCTGAGACTGACAATGCAGCTCCACACAAGAACACAACGGCAGTACAGTCCGGCTTTTAAACCAAGGTCTACCCAAGCCATCCAGGCCCCCCGTCAGAATCAGAAAAGAAAAAGAGAGGAAACTAAGCCTACCGGCATGCCGCAGCGGCAGCGGCAGCGGCGACGGCAAGTCAGACACCCAAACCCAGCAAAGTCAGTTCTGTACCATACACAGCTACTTATTTTTTTATGCAATCACAACTGCGCAACCCATCACAGTCTCGTCGAAACAAGAAAGAAAAAGAAAAAAAATAAGAACTCGGCGTTTATCCCCCTCCATCCCCCCCCTCTCAGCCTCTTCTTCAGCCTAGCTCGTTAGTTATTCCCCACTCAGCCACCCCCCGCGCTCTCCACACTCTTTACCCCGCGCTCACAGATACGCACGGTATACCACCATCCTTCACCACCGCAATGCAATACCTCGTTCGCAACAGGCAAGTATTCCCTCTCCCCCCAAATTAAAAACCATCACGTCATGTCATGTCCACCACACCAACACTTGGCCAAACCCAACCCGCACTGCACACACTAGCCTCCAATTAGCGCGTGTGCATGGTATGTACGTATATGCATCGCGAGTAATGTATCCAATCCAGCTGTGCCGCTCTGTTCAACCGGCGGCGTTAGAACGTTGATCGTTTGGCTCTTTTTTGCGGCTAGCACTTGTAAACCCCCCGGTTTCTTTTTTTTCTCTTGGCCTGCTTGTTTCTTGGCCTGAGGCCACGCGCACTGGTCGGACGAACTTACCGAGTCTGAGTGCCTGAGGGGCTTGGGGGTGTTGGGGGGTGAAGGGAGGGACGGGTATGAAGGACGGGAAGCCTTTATCATTATTATTCTTTTCGAGGCTGGTGGTTGTCTACCTTACAGACTTATGCACGTGATTGACTACTGATGCGAGTATGCATATATATTCCGTGCCTTGTTTTTTTTTCAACAATACTTGAATCCAAAATCATGGCGGGATGATTAAGTCATGTTGAAGCGAGAATCATGGACATGTATGCTACTCGATATCCTAATCCACCGCATCAATCCGCTGGTTTCTGGATTCTGTGTCGTCGAGTTAGGGTGCGGCTGAACGGGAGGAGAGGGTCTGGATCATACATGGTAGTAGTACGTACGCTAGAGTTGAGAAGACAGACAGAGAGAGAGAGAGAAAGCAAATCTACGCTGCTCAAGGTTGGCGAAGGATACATGTCCCAGCCCATCATATCCCCATCATTCCTTTTTTTCTTTTCCCCAATAGGAAGGGCTGTGGTATCATTGTTGCTGGACCAGGTTCTTTGTCTTGATCCCCAGCCCTCATTATCGCGAGGCTTTTTTGTTTGTTTGGGGAATTTGCGTTTTCCGTTCCTCGTTTTTATCGACTTGTATGACTCCTGATTACACCTCGTGAGGCTATTGTTTGTAGGAAGCAGTTTGCTTCTTTTTCAGCCACGTTGAGACAGCCAGTACGACTACCAGATACCCAGCATGGCTTCTTACGCAGACGAGAAAGGCGATGTCGCCGCCATTGAGCGCATGGAATCCAAAATCTCGTCTAGCGATGCGGCCATCAACCGGTTTACGCCTGAGGAGCAAAAGAATATTATACGCAAAGTTGATCTTCGACTCATCCCCACTCTCGGCTTCATGTACTGCGTGTCGCTCATGGACAGAACAAATCTCGGTGTCGCAATGGTAGCAGGCATGGGTGTGGACCTGAAGCTTACCAGCGAGAGATACAGTACTGTTGTCCTATTGTTCTTCATCACATATGTAGCGCTCCAGCCTCCTGCTACTGTCGTGCTACGGAAACTGGGTCCAAAGCTGTTCCTTCCATCCATCGTGGTCATCTGGGGAGCCGTCATGATTGCGTTTGCATTTGTAAAGGAGTGGACGACTTTGATCCCACTTCGTCTGCTCCTGGGTATCTTCGAGGCTGGTTTCTTCCCGGGTATGTTTGAGACCACGGCCAGAAAGACATGGGCACTAACAAACAACAGGCTCCGCATACCTCCTTTCGTGCTGGTACAAGCGATACGAGCTCCAGAAGCGCAATACCTTCTTCTTCCTCATCGGAATGCTGTCATCCGCCTTTTCGGGTATCCTGGGCTACCTCTTCTCACTGCTCAACGGCTACGGCTTCCAAGCAGCAGAGTGGCTCGGTCCGCACTAGAGCCCCACCAAGAGTGCCCCCAATACCCCCGTTGGCTTCGGTCCAGGCTTGTCAGGCTGGAGATGGATTTTCATGCTGCAGGGCATAATCACTGTCGCCATCGGCCTCGTCGGATGGTACTACATTGTCGATTTCCCCGAGCTAGCTGCTAAGCCCAGCAAGATACAGAAAAAGTTCCTCGAGCAAGACGAGGTGGACTTTGTCGTGGCGAGAATCCAGCAGGACCGGCATGATGTAGTGGCAGAGGAGTTCAACCTCCGAAAGTACCTTGCTGGCAGCTTGGATCTCAAGGTCTGGGGCTTTGCCTTGATCTACATGTTCACAACGACCATCACATATGCCATTGCGTACTTTCTTCCAATCATCCTCAAAGATGGAATGGGCTTCAGCGTTGCGGCTAGCAATTGTCTGGTTGCCCCACCCTACGTTTTCGCCGGCTTCGTCATGATGGGGTTGGCGTGGGCAGGCGACAAGTACCAAGTTCGGTCTCCATGGGTTATTGCGAATGGCGTTCTCGCTCTCATCGGCCTGCCTATGATTGGCTTCAGCAAAAATTTCGGCGTTAGATAGTTTGGTAAGTTGCTGCGGTTCCATGTCACTGGTATAGTTGCTTACGATCTCGCAGGCGTTTTCCTTGCAACTGCCGCGGCAAACGCAAATATTCCTTGCATTCTTACATGGCAGGCAAACAACATCCGGGGCCAGTGGAAGCGCGCTCTTTGCTCTGCTACGCTTGTCGGTGCCGGAGGCATTGGTGGTATCCTGGGCGGCACTGTCTTTAGGACGCAAGATGCTCCTGATTATTTCTTGGGCATCGTCGCGTGTATGGTTTCGGCGGGCTTTATTATTATTTTGTCATTGATGTTGAACTTGAAGTTTTGGAGAGCAAATAAGAGGGCTGCTAGTGGTGGTAAGGTTATTGAGGGGCTAGAGGGGTTTAGGTATACTTTGTAAATGCCGGGGAGCGCCAAACAAGAGATGGGTAGAGTAATAATCATGACGACCATGAATTGCTGTAACTTAGATTGAGGTGCGGACTGAATGGCCTATATGTTTACAGTAGTAGATTTGATCGCATTTACCTAGTGATAAGCCGGGGTATTTGGTTACTCTGTTATCTATGGAAACGCACTTGACCAAATACGCGCGAGCAAAATCTTGCAGATGAATTTTTCGAAAGTCTAAAAGCTTACACTTCTGATGGTATGCCATCATGTTTCTGGACATCGAGCCGATATTCTAGCGTTGATCGCAATTTTGACTTTAATCCAAGGTTAATTTGCATGCGTATCACAGACGAATGGAAAATGGCTATTGTTGATCATCCCTGATCCTCGGAGTGCTCGGGTAACTTTTGTATCGATGAGCCAGCAGTGTAGACGTGACTGAAGAGCCCAGATATTATGTAGACGGGAAGTTTGCGACTACATCGCTAATGGGTGAGACTGCTCTGACTGCTAAAGCTACAGATACAAACAAGGGACTGTTTATGGGAGCAGAATGAAAAGTAGAGCACCCTGTGCCCCTGACAGTTTAGCTAATCGTGTTTCGTCACTGCAGAACGAACGAGGAACAATTCGCCGAGAAAAGGCAGCCACTCTGGAAAGGATTATCGGGGCACAAAATATTGCATAATCATCGCATTGGCATCATCGTGCTGTCCCCATTCACTAGTCCGATCTCGGAGGACAAGTACAGATCCAGAGCCTTCGATAGGGGTTTTAGCCACTCTCATGTGTCAATTGCTAATAACATCAACTAAATTGGTAAGATCCGCTAAGCCTAGCCATTCATAAGTAGAGCAATCGCGAGCCACGTATTAGTGGAGAGTGGTTAGAGCGTGGTAGGAAAGAGCCACCGTTAGTTAAGATATGAAAGCTGGTATCGGCCCGAACTCTGCTCCACTCTGGATACTTACCCTTCAAGACTGTATTTTAACCGCAAAATCTGTGGGCCAAACATTTGCCGACTTGACTTATACTTGCTTGACTACAGATTTTCACATGGTGAGCATAGTTGTCTCGTACTCTTCGTTTAGATCCGCTTAATGCATATAGACAACTCCTAGATACAAAAGTGCCTATCCCCTTATAACTAGGCTATTGGGGATTAGGCTTTAGTGTTCAAGGTTCCCTTCTACGATATCTGTGTTGACAAACTACGAAGTCTAATCTTAACTCGGCCCGACGAGAATCCGTGTGGCACCAGAGCAGCACCTAAAACAGCAGTGCTGATGCCCAGGATTCTACGCGCTTAAGGCTCTATTCTCATTGTTAGAAAGAGTTAAAGCGGAACGACAGAGTGCTAACGCGTGGCAATAAAAGCGTACGTCCTTGAGCTGTCTCTCTTGACCCAACAACAACAACCTCAAGTCTTTTCTACACCCTTCAGCTTTTCAGTCAACAAAACAAAAACTCGATCTTTCTAATACTACCGTTCAAACTCTGCATCTCAATCCTCAACTCCATTTATACAACTCCAGACACTACCCATCGTCCGTCTACCTCAATATGAAGTTGAACGCGATTTTCCTGCTGGCTGCCGCCACTGTTACCAGTGCTACTCCAAGTCCCACTGCTACCGCCATTGAGACCAATACTCCTTTAATTCCCACTTTCGATGGCTGTAATTACGAGCGTGTTTTCAATGGCTTTCCTTGGGATAACTGCGATGGTGTATGCAAGAAATTCAGTTGCTACATGGCTTGCGCCCGGGTCGGTGGACACGACAAGGCGAGTGATTTTGTCATGACTGGCGACGATAACCAGAATGGAAACTGTCGCTGCAGGTGCTGGTTCAAGTAGGAAAAGAGTAGGAACATCGATATCGAGCTCGACATTACGCATAGCAGCAAGCCTATCTGTACCACCACAGCGCTCACATCAACGAAAAACCGGCAGGTTCAACTACCAGGCCTTAGCCAGTACGGATCGTCTGAATATACAGTCAAGCGAATACACGTGTATATGAAATTAATGAATATACTTGTAAATATTACCTTATTGCACGAGATCAACTTGCATGCCAGTGGTAAACAAACCTTGTGCGAATTAGCCTTTCTCCTTCTAGATGCCCATTTCTCTCCGAATTCGATCTCCAGCTGTCTATCTTTGTCTTGCAACTGTTGGCTGTTTTATTTTTGCTCTTCTCCAGAGACTGGATCATAGTTTTGATTCGAGTTTCCAAGAGACATTTGTCTCGCTCTCTGAAAAAGACACTAATCTCTACTGCGTCTTGTAAAGTGTTTTGTTATATATCCATTGTGACTTCTTCAAGACACTGGTTTGGACGAGACTGCAGTTTAGCTTTGGAGATTGTTATCATTGCCGTCTCTTGTGACCTTAGATTACAGTCCTAGATCTTCTCCACGATCCCGAATTGGTACTTTCATCGCTAATAGAATATGCAGTCATTCTATTCTATCAATCGTGATGCAGTTTACTTATACTCCATTCCCTACTAACGCCAATAAGATGACGCATTATTGGATATATCATCAGCGAACATAGCATCAGGGGCTGTCATTGTAGTAGTTCCCACCCCTGGCGTAGCCAGCGCAGCACAGCTAGAGTTCTCTGTTCACATACACACTCCCTATGAATCATGTAATTGTGATTTGCGGGAAAATTTGCGCATCACAAGGCCTAGGTTGCGCTGTCTTAGCGAGCTGGAAACACCCACTTATCCAGAGATTGCTTCCAGAATTCTTGCGCGCATTGTTTCCTTCGGCCCGAAGAGTTACGTACAGCCCCTGGCTTAAATTATCGCCTTGTATCTTGCTTTGTTAGTCAAATAATAGCCCTTCTTAGTACAGAAAAAACGGCCAAAGTACGTTTCATGTTACGCAGAATACCTTGATATTTATCAATGATTCAAGTGAGAAGTGAGAAGTCAAAAGTTTAAGAGACGTAGAGACTGACTAAGAGATCGTCAAGACTACTAGATTTGCAGCCTAGCCTTTGGTAGTATTTCGGTAGTATTATGGACACCCCTAACAATAGGAGCTTCTAGAACCGTCATCCGTGCCTAATGAGGAGCTGACAGACTAGGAAGCACGGCTATTCTCCCTATTGGATATCGGTTTTTTACTATGTATAGGCATCGCAACGTCTCTGCCACCACAAAGCTCTGCTGTGGTCAACCTGGCGGTATTTCTTCCTCGGACCGAGTTTCACTGGGATTCCTTCCCTAGAGCGACGCGCAAGCTCGGAAGAGGCTGGCAGACAACACGGATACGTCGGAGGGGGATAGACCAGTAATTACATACTACGTACATAGGTGTATATACTCCCATTTCAGAGTAGTGAGATTGCTCAATATAGTACACACTAATTAGGCACGTGGCGCATTAACTTGGTGCATGACTGAAGAGAAATGGCATAGTAGACAGACGTTCAAGTTACCAGTAGGTCGTTGCGACAGACTAGTTTATTCAGGATAGCAAGCCGAACTAGTGAAAGAATTACCTATAGCTTAATCATGCTTGGCAGGCAATGTTCGAGTATTTCGATCCTTCAAAGTCAACTGTACTATTTTATTAAAGAACCAGACAAGAGTTGACAATAATGCTTGTAGATAATCTTTGAACCGAGTATTCACCTTCAGGGTCCATATGATCGTCGAACCGCATGTAAATCTCAGTTCTGTCTTACTGTTGCTGACGCGAAACAAAGTGTATTTGGCCGTGCCATTGCTCTTTGCGACCGGATGGGGTTTGGAGCGAAATCGAATAGGACCGTTTGGTTCGGTCGCTTTCAAACCAACATCACGGTCAGATAGGGTGTAGGCGTGTGAATCGTAGTGGCGGAGGCAACAGCAGGCAGTTAAGACCGCCGTGATGATGAGATATAATACTGTTCCACAAATTTGTTCGCGCATTTTTTTTTTAAATACCTGGGAATTGAAAATTAACCGTAATCACAGGAAATAGCTCACGCAAGGATAATTTCACAGTATGACTGTATACAACAACAATTTTCTTCTAACAAGACGTCAAGATATCAACTAACTTGATTGTTTTATGGCGTTTTTTCACTAAAATAGAATGTGCATCTCCTACTAATAATCCATCGGCAAATTTGACAAGCGCTTACCACTTGAAGAGCTCACAAATAGTCTAATAGGGATATATATTACTACAATTTTGAAATCATACATTGGCGATACATGTCATGCTGCAGTACAGCCGCGGCGAGTAGTTCATGAGCTCTAATTTGCATTTTTGTGGAAGGGGTTGTGTTCAGATCAAGGGTATCTCACTACTATTCTCTGACTGAAGGCGATTCAAAAGCAGGCTTCGCGCCCAACATCCTCAATAGTACACTCATCGAGTCATAATAAGATCATAATATATAGCTAACCAAAAGACACAGAACCCAATCCCTTCTCGTTGCATGCCTTCATCACACCATCTTTGATTGTAGCAAGAGACATTTGCCATGGCTGCCTTGCGAATTCTGGATTAGCGTCTGTTTCGTCGTCGATAACATAGTCGATCCATTTCACAAGACTGACTACTTTGTTCATGTCTCTCTCTTCGATTACCACCTTCCTGAGGTACTTGATCAAGGCGGCGACATCCTGCTCGTAAGGCGCTTCATCATGAAATGCACTGATCCATATTCTCATTGCGCGCCGAAGATCAGGTTCCGCTGATAACTTCTTGACGGTAAAAGTAGCCTTTGAAGGCCGTGGAACTTTGATTTTTCGAGCTGGTTTCGGCTGGTTGGGTGCTGTCGGGGCTTCAATTTTCTTTGTCACTGCAGAACGGAAAGCATTCATCTTCGCAGCTTTGTGTTGCGCAATGATCTCTTTGCGCATATCCTCGGGCAGTGCCGCAAGGAAATCAGGATCAAGATCATCGTCTTTGTTGGACTTGGTGATAATAGGTGCTTCGAAGGTGTCATCGCTAATACCGAATGGGTTGTCGTTGCTTGGGCTTTCTCGGGCAGGGTTCTTGAGGGATATAAAATTGGCCTGGGTGAGCCGCTTCCCGGTTTTGCTGATGGCTGTTGCCTGCGCAGCCGCGGCTAGCATTGCTGACCTTGGCGGACGACCTCTCCCTCGCTTGACATGCACGATAGGCTGTTTGGCTGGAATACCAATGATCCTGTTTTTGCGAGGCGACTGGGGCAGGATCGTTTGATCAGCGCCTCTCGGTCTCCGGGATGGGGAGAAGGGAGCGTCATTATCGGCATACTCAGCGAGCACTTCTGCACGAACATCCTCAGGCAAAGCGGCGAGGATATCTGGGTCTAACTGAGACTGGGCGGGAAGCGCCGTCATAGGGAAAGGTAGTCCTTTTGAGGGTGTACCGGGTTTGTCATGCATGTCCACGTTATTTGCAGGTGCAGGGGAGGACTGTCGAGTTTGACGCAAGAGCTTGGTTCGTATATTCTCTGGTAGCTCAGCAAGCACTTTGGGGTCGACCTGGGTAGGGATGATGAACTGTGTACCCAATGTGTTGAGTGGACGCCGGGAAGGTGTTGATACGTTAAGCTCTTGGGCCCCAAATGCAATGTGGTTGTCTGCAGATGGTGTTTTGGGTTTTTGCGGAGTCTCTGGGCCGTCCTGAATTGGATCCTCTTCAATGACATTTAGTGCTGGGGCTGCCCGCACTGGCTCTGGATTTCCGACTTTGAACTGTAGCTTTCGCTGCGAATTCGCAATACTACCATCCGTAGGCGTTTTCATGGGCTCAAGTTTCGTCATTTGAACTCCGATACCACGAAGTTCCCCTGGACTAAATCCAAAGGCACGTAGTATAACCAAGGCCTCTCTTGTCAAAAGCTCCTTCGCATTCGTGGCAACGCCTAGTGTGAGACTCTTGTTGTACGTGTCGCATTTGCCATGTCCAAGGTGCTTTGGCGGATCCAGAGGCGCATCCGGCGAGCGCCGCATGACTTTCATCGTAAACTGCTTACCCTTAACCCTCCCCTTCAGCAGCCGTTTTTGGAGCTCTCCGCAAAGACTTCCGATAAACTCTTCGGCTTGCTCTTGGTTCTCGAATCGAACACCCCAATTCACCTCTGCAGATACAGACTTGCGGACGGCTTGTTCGCCGACTTCTTGGCGGTCGATACCTCTCGAATACTCATAGAGCCTTTCGCCCGTCTTAGGACCAAGCGTTTGAATGAGCCTCTCCTTGGTAAGCTCGCGGATGTCCTTGACAAGTTTGACGCCTATGTCTTCCAGTTTACCGCCAATTGAACCAGCAACGCCCGGTAAGTTCTGTACTTGGAGCTGGCCAATGAAATCCAGCACTTCTTCGGGTTTGATCTGATATTGGCCAGCAGGCTTCGCTTTGCGCAAAGCCAGCTTGGCGAGCAGAATGTTGTTACCGATACCAACCGAAACATTGCATCCTGTCCTGGATCTCACTTCGTCTCGTAGGTTTAACGCAATCTCTTCAGCCTTAGCTTGCTCACGATAGTTGCTACCCTCCGAAAGTTTCTTGCCATCGCTACCACCGACCGCAATGCACAAATTTGAAACATCAATGAGGGCTTCATCGATGCTGACACTCTGGACAATGCCGCCTGTAGCGAGCATGATCTCGTAGAATGTGCGACTGGTTTGTTCATAAGCCGGGAAATCATAGGGAAGGATCTTGAGGTCAGGGCAAAGTTCTTGTGCCCGCTTCATCCACATCCCGTTCTTGATACCAAATGTGCGCGCTGGATAGTTGCAGCTTGCAATCTCCGACCCACTACCTTGTCCATGGGCAACAACGGCCGGCTTGTCTTTATACTCAGGAAATTTTTTCAAACTAACCGCAGCGAAGAAGCTATCAAAGTCAACATGCAAGATATATCGCCGAGCACCGGGTACGCGCTTTTGTTTTGCTCGTTGTGACGGGGTCTTTTCTGCCGCGAGTGCTTGCATTTGTGACTTGAGATCAGCCTTCCAAGTAGATAGGTGGTGTAAGCGTGATTCTCGGTAATACTGCTCAAGGAAATTTGGATCCACAACGGTGGACCGGCGAATATTTGGGTCACGGAGAAGGATTGCGTTGTGCTCTTCAGCAGTCAGAGCTCTAGTCCTGGGCGCGGAGGTATCGGGTCTAACACGCTGTCTTTCGGCTCTCTCCTCCACTTCACTATTGAGCTGCATATACTGAGCAGCAGGAGGGCTTGGCTCAGTGTAGAGACTGTCGTCTACGTCATTCGATTTTTTGTCTGTCGTGACAGAAGGTGTGGGTGGATTCGTCTTCAGCCGTGTTGTGGGCTTTTCAGGCTTCTCTGACTGTTCTTGTACAGGTGGGTCAGGCTGATGGGAGGGTGGTGGATCTTCGATATCATCGTCGTCCTCGGGGGTGAGATGGCGTTGTTTTTGCTTTGAGAAGCGTGAGCGCATAGTGCCGGATGGTGTAGGTGTACTCGGCGGTCCAGCTTGGCTACTTCCCAACTGGCTCGTGTACCAGCTGGCGTCTGTCTGGTCTCGATATCCCCTAATCCTGACATTTGCCTTGGCCTTGACACTTCCATTATCGAGTGCCAGTACATTTTGTTTCTCGCCTTCATCTACCACACGGTACTCGTTCCATGGTAACAGTTTGCCGACTGCTATGCTGTCCACTACCCACGCTGGCTTTACGATGCGGTATTTCCGGAACTCGACAGCCTTCTTCGGAGTGAGGCTGCTGGCGATAATGTGTGTCACTGTGGTTTTGCCATCCAGATATTGCATAAAGCCTCCGCCATGCTGGACTATGAGTGTGTGCAGGTCGTTGAGCGAGGGTTGGGTGTAGCCGTTCACATGCGCCACAATTCCTTTGAAGATCTGAGGCTTGTCGCCCGCTTGGGCTCGGATGTCCGCATCCAAGTTTTGCAGTTTGATCTTCTTTCGCCGGAAGTAGTCGGTGAACCCACCAAATGCAGAGCCTCCGTACTCTTCTCCATCTTCACCCTCGAAGCGGTGGCTAGCGATGCGCTTGCGCACCGACTCGGAGTTTTTGTCGAGGCGGGAGCCCATGCTGACGAGTTTCTGGCCTTGGCGGATCGAGGGCGTTCATCGGGGCTGGGGTCATGATGGAAGGTGGCGGGTGCACCTGGGCTGCTGCATATCGATATCGCTGGTGGTGGTAGGGAAGCGCGTGTGGTGTGGCGCGTCTGACCGCGATCATGTCACGCTAGTGGAGCAAAGTGGAGCGTTCTGCCGGCGGTGAAAAGACGCTAAAAGAAAGCTGCAGGACTTGGCGAACTTTTTCTACCTCTCGAACCCGCTGCTCTCGAGTTCCTCGTTTTTTTCGCCGTCACTCTGCTCTACCAGCTGTCCTCGAGCTGTGCAAGCCTCTGAGCAAAGAAGCCGCTTCCCACTGGAAACCACTCCATACTCTGATCAGCCTGCTCTCACACACATCGGCGACAATCTCCAAGATGGCGTCCGCTGTTCCTGTTGGCGTCTACGGACGTCGCATTCCGGCTGGAGGCATTCCAATCGTGGCTGCTCTCGACCAGTCTACCACAGTAAGTCCCTTCGAGGCGATGGCTATGCTTTGCGACCAGCAGCCATGCCGCATTTCCGTTGCATTCGGGTTTGCGCGCATCCGTCGCATTCACGACTTTTGGCTAACTGATACTAGTTCAGAATTACCATGGCTGCTATCGACCCAGATGCGGAGCCCCAGTTTGACGAGGACCACAAGCATGCTCGCGCAACCCTCAAGCTCATCCGTATGCCTGAGGACTATGACATGGATGATGATGAAGACGACGAGGACTACGAGGAGGGTGACATCGAGGCAATTGCTGCTCGTCTGCGTGCCGCTGGTGCGCTCCCCGAGCTTGACTCTGACATGTCCGACGACGACAGCGAGGATGAGAAGAACGGCGGCCCCAGCGACCCTGCCAAGTCGAAGAAGGCTAAGCAAGCTGCTCTTACAAAGAAGATGCAGGAAGAGCTTGAGGCCGACGACATGGAAATTGACGGTATGACCAACGGCGCCAAGGGCAAGGCCAAGGGCAAAGCCAAGGCCACTGAAGACGATCTGAGCGACGAGGACGACGAGGACGATGATGACGACGACGAGGACGACGAGCCTGAAGAGCTTGTTCTCTGCACTCTTGACCCCGAGAAGGTACGGTGATGTTGCATGAGTTTCTCTAGGCGCTTACTAACCTGTACGCAGCACTACCAGCAGCCTCTTGACATCACTGTCCGTCAGGGCGAGGAGGTCTACCTCTGTGTCAACGGTACTCACGACGTCTATGTCACTGGTAACTACCTTGCGTTCCCTGATGAGGACGACAGCGAGGATGATGAGGATGACGGTCTTGATGAGCTTGGCTATGACCTGTCTCCCGACGAGGATGAGCTTGACGACATTGACGAGTCAGAGGACGACGAGCTTGATGGCATGGCCGACCCCAGGATCACCGAGGTTGACAGTGACGAGGAGGAGGTGCCCAAGCTAGTTGACGCCGGCAAGAAGAACAAGAAGCGCGCTGCTGAGCCTGAGGACGATGCTACGCTTGACGATATGATCAGCAAGACCAACGGCGATGCTAAACTTAGCAAGAAACAGGCAAAGAAGTTGAAGAAGAACGATGGCCAAGCTGCTGCTGGTGCCGCCCAGCCAGAGAAGAAGGCCGAAAAGGTTGAGAAGAACGATACCCCCAGCAGCGACAAGAAGAAGGTTCAGTTCGCTAAGAACCTCGAACAGGGCCCAACAGGCTCCCCCAAGGTCGATGCGCCCAAGCCTGAGGCAAAGAAGGAGGCCGCCAAGGGACCTCGCAACGTCAGCGGTGTTACCGTTGATGATAAGAAGGAGGGCAAGGGCAGGGCCGCCAAGAAGGGTGACCGTGTCGAGATGCGCTACATTGGCAAGCTGAAGAACGGCAAGGTTTTTGACTGTGAGTAGTTGCCAGTTCCTGTTTCTGCATAACGTCGTGCTGACCACCGCACAGCCAACAAGAAGGGCAAGCCCTTTTCCTTCAAGCTCGGTGTCGGTGAAGTCATCAAGGGCTGGGACGTTGGTGTCGCTGGCATGGCCCCTGGTGGTGAGCGCCGGCTCACTATCCCTGCCGCCCTGGCATATGGCAAGAGGGGCGCTCCTCCGGACATCCCACCCAACTCTGACCTGATCTTCGACATCAAGTGCATCTCTGTCAGCTAAAGTATCGAATTCCTGTATTTGTCCAGCTATGCGCACCAGGCTCCACTTCGGTCCTATATCAGGCCACGATTAGACTCCACTCCTGTGCAGGGCTCCGCCAGCCTGCGTGCGTTGGCGCATTTTCCATGTTTCCTATTCAGTCAACTTTTCGTATGCATAGCGCGTCGTCTGAGATATCCGACTTGCATAGTCTGGGTTGCGTCATTAGATATGTGCAAGGAGGAAGGATCTCTCAGTCCTCTTCGCCATGGTTTCCTTCCACGGGTCATCTGTATGAGATATAGCGAGGCGAAGTTAGCACAAGGTCAAATTTCGCTAAGGAAGCTATTTCCAAAAGTTAATAGTGTTTCATGTCGACGCTTACACCGGTACGTACTAATACATGCCATTGAAATATTTGCATTCCGTGACACCCGCCTGGCTCTCTCAAATCATGTGTGACAAGGTGCGACGCGCATGCTCATATACGGAGCGGAGTAAAGTTTCTGTTATATGGTGATGAAATGATCCCGTGACCAAGTCCTCGTCAACCTGTAACCACCTCTCATTCTTTGGGTGGCCGAGGTTGGCCAAGATAACCGAAGATTCTAGCGCCAGTTTTTGGCCACTGAAACGGCCCTGCCGACGCACGAGCCTGAAAAACCCCACTGCGCTAAAGCCCAACTCCTCTTTCAACGTTCCGTCCTCGTCTCACCTCATACTCATTACAACGTCAGCCCTCAGTTACACCAACCAACAACTTCGACTACTCTCACCCCGCGATCCTATCCGCGTACCATCGTCCTCGACACATCGTCCTCTTTCGCCCCTCCTACACCGTACAACCCTGGCAACACTGTAGCAATGGCGTCAAAACGAAGCAGTAGTAGTATGAGTAGTAATAGTAGCATTCACTCGTACTCGTCCGCAAGCAACGTCCGGGCCAGCTGCTATGCCGTGAACGCCTCGACTGCCAGCCTCCAAGGCTTCCATTACTCTACTACCCCGGCTGCCGGGGCTGGGTGGTGTTCCTGAGGTCAGCTCGGTATGTTTCGGGTACGCGATGCAGCTTCGAACCAAGCTCTAACCCTGAACTAGGGAATACCATCGCCTCCATCAAGTCCCCCCCTCGCCGCCAGACACGCATCCGCCAAGAGCGGCAAGGCGCGCAGAGGGGGGGCAGCATATACCATCACGGAAGAGTGTGAGAGACTCTTCTGCGAGACACTACGATCTGTTTTCCTGGGTGAGGGGAGCCAGCATCGTCAGGACTCGCTAGTGATGGGTATGCCATACAACATCATCACGAATGCAACTACCGCCATAACAAACGATTACGGCATCGAGGCTCGTCGGTACTCTGACTCCTCGACTGAATCTGATCTATGCGAGATGGTGCGATTTGAGGAGCAGAAGGGTGCGATCACAGACTACATTGAAATGTGGGACTACGTCGGTGGCATTATGTTCCGTGGCTTCGTTGTTGAAAGAGAAGAGGAGAGAAGCATGTTTGTTTTCTTTGATGAGGCCGTCATCGCCGCAGATCTCAAGGCTGGGTAAGTTTCATGTTCCGTCGTCTTCTATCGCCTGCGCAAAGTACTTACATGCAAAAGCTTAATGGCCCTCCTCGAGCTCTGTGAAGTTGACTATTTCTCCTGCGGCCGTCTCGTTCTCTGCATCGACCGACATGCCGACCAAGCAGCTCGCAACAACTTGACAAAGGATCTAGGCTGGATTGGCTTCGGCCTAACCACGCTCGACGAGTTCAGCCAGGGAGATGAGTTGACCAGTGAGAAGTGGTTGTTCATGGATATGGAAGTCTAAGCACGTGGGTCAGGAAAGATTGTGATTGGAAGTCATTCGTCTCTTGCTGCAGCATGTCAGTGTTCTGGAGTTCAGGTCTTTTTGAATGGGCGTCTTGCATGGAGTTTGGGTGTCTGCGAGCCTTGTTATGCGGATTGCATTCCTGTTCGTGTTCACATGTCTTAGTAAGGCGCTCATTCTTCTGATAGCTAGTTGGTTCAATACGACAAGTTTACCCTTGGAAGTCGCACCTTACCTGACCCGTGAAACGTTGACTCCGACGCGTAATCCTTGATGTTGATTTCTATTCTAATTTCTCGCACTCGCGCTTACATGTGATGCGTGCTTGATCGCGATATCCAATTCTTAAGTTTTCACAAAACGCCTTGAGCCCTAAAGTAGGCATCTCGCCGAATTCTCTTCTGTAGTACAACTCGATTCTGGTGGCCAATCTCAAGCACCAGCGTCAGCCAATCCCGCCATCTCGGCATCGACATCAGCCCTGCCTCCAAATTCATCTCCCTCACCATCCACATCCATGCGCTCAATCTCCGCCCTACCCTCCAGCGCGCGCATAGCTGGGTTCTCAGTACCGCTGATTCCATGTGCTGCCTTCTTTCGCTGATGCGCCTCCAAATCTTCCAGACTCCACGATGAGTGGCCTTCTTGCTCTGCCCTGCTCCACGGCACACTCATTTCCTTGAGGAAGTTCTTAGCCATGCCGACGGCCTGGTCGATGGAGAGTTTTGTGTTTTTGGCATCGAGGCCCTGTTGGATCCACTTGGGGAGTTGTGTCTGCTTCTTGTTGAAGCGCTTATCCGCCAGCACCATGATACCGTAGTCGTCTTTTCCGCGGATGACGCGGCCCAGGCACTGGGCTGCGTGGCGCATGGCGTCGAAAGAGAGGAAATCAGCCTCTTTGATGCGATATGTTTCGCGCAGGAACTCGAGGCGCGCTTTCAAGATGCGAGATTCGGTGTATTGGTAAGGTACGCCCATGCAAAGCACAGTGCGGCCATAATGGTGGTCGAAATCGATTCCCTCGCTGACTTTTCCTCGCGCGACGCAGAGAAGGACGGCGCCGCGGCCGTTGTTGCATGCTGTGCGGAAGGTTTCTAGCGCGAGGGCAGTCTCTTGCGCGTCGGGTGTTTCGACAAGAATGAGTTTGTATTTCCACACCGTGTCGAGGATCTCCATTCCTTGCCAGGCTGAAATGATGCTTTCCATGTACAGATAAGACGGGAAGAACACGACGACTCCGTCTGGAGTCAACTTGCAAAATTCTATGAGAAGATTACCAAAGTTGCGCTGAACTTGCAGATCGTTGCGATGCTCGAATTGCGAGGTAACTTGATTCTGGTCGTTGCCGCGGTCGACAATCATGGGAAGGAAAGACTTTCGCGTCAGTGTCATTGTAAATGATTCTTGTACGACCGTGTTGAAGTTGAGCATGCGTGGGTACATGTCCAGCGGAGACATGGTTCCAGAAGTAACGATTACAGAATAGAAGCGCTCAAACACAGGCTTGATAGCTATGGCAGCGTCCAAACATGTCAAGTGTAGGACAGGGTTCGGTACAGTGGCCGTCGCTGATTCAAATGGTTCTATGATCAGTAGGAAACCGGTTTCATAGGTTGCCACCAGCGTGGCAAAGGTCGCAACTTCCTGGAGAGGTTGATAGTCCTCGATATTCGTGAGTTCGAGTGTGCGGACAAGTGAAGTCAGGCGCTCAGCGCAGAAACGCAACGGTTTTCGCTCGATGAATGTCAAGTCCCTCAGATGCTTGAGGAACTCTGGTGGTGTATCTGCAACGACATTGAGAACCTTCATTCGAGTTTTGAGGTACTCGATAAACCGTTTGAGAAAGGCGACAAAGTGCTCGGCCCGCCGTATGTTACCAGGCACAGCTTCGGTGAGGAGATCGTCAGGGAGGGCAGGGTTTGCCATGAAAGCTTCTTCATTTCGTGCCTCGTCTGCAGCTCGGAGGCCTTCGACTAGCTTGGCATATTCGCTCTGTAGCTTTTCTGCGTCGCTGCTCTTCATCTCTGTGATTTTGCGGTCAAGGCTGTTGACGCCTTTGGTTGCCTTTCGTAGCACATCTTCGGTCAGGTCGATGCTTAGGGACTCAATGCACACATTGTCGATGTTGTGAGCCTCGTCAAAGACCACTATGCAATCCTTTGACAGCTCCTTGGACACTCTGTCTGCAATCTTTGGATCTAGCAGATAATGATACGAGTAGATGATGACGTTGCAGTAAGGCATCATCCGCCGGGCTGTAAAGTAGGGACATTGCTTTTGTTGTTCACCATACTTCATCATGCCATCAAACGTCCATACGCCGGGCGGAATGAGGTTGTGCGGCTCCAGTAGATCCAGGTTCTCGTGATAGACGCAGAGCTCCACGTCCTCGCCTCTTTCCTTCTTCTCCTTGACAAAGCCTGCTGTCAAGCTGCGACATCGCGCATCTACCACAGTCCCACTCTTTTCTCGCTTGACCGAGGGATGGAGACAAAGGTTTTTGCGACTTGTCAGTCCCAACCCCCGGAATTCCTCCTCGTAGCCTAGCTCGGAGGTTCGGTACTTCATCAACGCTTTCAACTCGGCCAGTGCTTTCTCAATCTCAGACATGGTACGCGAGCAGTAAATCAGCTTCCGTTTTTCAGGGTAGTGCTGTTGATACGCGACGATGAGCGAGAGCAGCGACACGGTTTTACCCGTGCCCGAAGGCATCTCGAGGACGCAGTGACCGCCCTGGTCCAGCGTCCGCTTGAGATCGCACATGTAGGCATATTGTTCAGGATAGATCCGAGGATACGGGAAGAGAACCGGGAGACTGTCGATGTAGAACTTCATGGTGATAGTCCACCGCCCACGTAGAAGCGTCGTTGCGGACAGGTGTTGTCGAGACAAGAAAACAAAGATGAACTGAGCTCGGGCGTTGCCTCCAGGACGAAGTCCAATGCTGGCAAAACGCGCTAAATCCCAATTGGCTGTAGCGTTTAGCAGGGATGTACCCAGACGCCCCACCATCGCCCGCCAACCCACACTTTGGTGCCGTCATCAGGCAGAGCCGCATTATTTCGACATTTCACAGCCTTCTGCCTGGGTGGACCGGACATGCGACTGCTGCTTTCCTTTGAGTCTTTCCTTACATAGCTGCAGCTGCTTCTGCTGTATCTTCTGCCTCGACACGTCCCTCGTCCATACCTTCTACACGCCCTCGCAATCGCTGGTTATAGAGTCACAACCCCCGCCATGTCGAAGCGTACAGCAAAAGCCCAGGCAAGCAGCGCGCGCGCCGCCACCACAGCGGGATTTGGTGCATTTGGCGGCGTACCCACTGCTTTTGGCGCAAGCTCGTCACCGCTCTCATACGTATCGGAACCCCCAGACGTGTCGGCCATCTCGGATCCGAATGTTGTAGTGTACCTTAGGAATCTCTCCAAAAAGGACAGCACAACAAAGGCAAAGGCGCTAGAGGACATACAAGCGCATGTCGCTTCACTTGAGAGCCCGGTGGAGGAAGGATTGCTGGAGGCATGGATCAAGATGTATCCGCGTACTTCAATCGACAATGCGAAAGCCGTTCGCCAGAACGCCCATCTCCTCCACGGCCAATTCGCCGCATCCGCCGGCAAGCGCATCGCCAAATATATGCCAAAAAGCGTCTCTGCATGGTTATGCGGGCTCTACGATAGCGACAGGTCCGTAGTAGAAGCAACACAGACCTCTTTGCGACAAGTCTTCAACACACCCGAAAAGCTGCAAAGCATCCGCAAGATCTACCAACAACCCATACTAGAGTATTGCCGCGACGCCATCGACAAGGAAAGTCCAACGACTCTCAGTGATGAGCGGACGGTCACCAAAGATGATGCCGAAGCCAAGTACAGCCGCGTCATATCAGCATGCGTATCTCTACTGGGCAGCTTGCTAGCTAATCTGCAGCCCGAAGAGCTTTCCAAGTACCAGGCCGACTACGAAAGCCTATTTGGCGACAAGAAACTGTGGGGCTTCTCATCTTATGGTGAAGCTGGAATCCGGCGATCAGTGCATCGCCTTCTCAAGATTTGTTTGGCAAAAGAGGATGGTTCGTATTTCTTCTCACAAGTACAAGTCGAAATTTGCACTGACATTCCAACAGATGCTATCCAGCAAAATCTGACCATCATCAGCAAAGCCTACCTCGCGGAAGCATTAAATTCTGATCAGACAGGTTCTGTCAGCGACTATGTCGAGACTCTGACTCTCCTCACTGCCAAGCATCCTACCGTATGGACATCCGACTACACAAGCAAAACAGCGGTTGACAGGCGTCTGCGACAATTCTTGAAGAAAGGATCTCAGTTTGGACCTCGCGACTTCTGGACACGCTTGATTGAACTCTTCAAGGTTATACCAGGGGACGTCTTGCCACAACAAGCTACTGACACGGCAGAGTTATTGAATGCTTTGCATAGTGGTATTGTGCGCAAGGATGAGCCAAAGTACACTCATGAAGCAGCCTTTGGTGCGTATCTAGAGATAGCTGGCCTTCTTAGTCAGAGACTGCAAGAATCGGAGAGGACGACGCTGTTGAAAGAGATGGTATTGCCTATAATCACGCATTATCTGCAGCCTACATTGGAGACTTCACATTGGGCAATACCGTCCAATGCGACAAGGTTGATACCAAAAGCTCTCGGTATTGAAGGAATGGTCACAGTCCTCTTGGAGCGATGGGCCGAGTTTTCGCAGCGACTCATTGACGGTATCAAAATCTCAGCCCCAGAGCAGTCGAAAGACTACGAAAAGTCACAAACAGCTGTTGCTCAACAAGCCATACAATTTTCAACTCTGCAACATGAAGCGCTTGAGATAGAGGCTTTAGCAGCACTTCGTCCCGTCATTGTACAGGCATGCAATTCGATAATAGCGGAAGCTCTTGAGGTCCTCAAAAATAGGCGAGGGAAACCATACGGCGCCGCCGCCGCTATTGCGGCTGTCCTGAAGCAGAACCGTACTCTGATATCATCATCTCAAGCAGAACGAGATCTTGAGCTCTTCATACAACACGATCTACCAGAACTTGTGTTGTCACCGTCATCTTCATACCTAATCGACGTGTTGTACTCAAAGTCTGACAGTGCAATTTTCAAGGATGCGTGGAGCGCATCTTTGAAGGCAGTTCTGAAGGAGACCGACTCTGCAACCAGGACCAAGGCACTTGAGGGAATTCTTACCTCTTCCAGGATACCACCAGACTTTGATCTCGCAACCTCAGACCCGGAGTTACAAAAATATATCATATCCAACGTACATGAAGCTGTAGAAGGCTCAACCGAGTGGGACTCCTTCAATCGTATGCTTCAGTCGCCAGCAAAGATCCTATCTCCCGACACAACGGACGATATCCTTGCTTACATGACAGAAACCCTCTCAATATCGCAACAAGCCCCATACTCGCTGCAAGGTTTACGCCAAATCGTCAAGTCCAAACCATCAATGCTTCGCGAGTTCCTTGTCCAGCCAAAAGGCTCTGGCCTTCTACAAGGATTGCTTCTCGCATCTGAATCCCCCAATGATGAAGTGGCTCAGGGCGCCACAGCTGTCAATGCGTCAATTCAGACCATATTGTCATCCGGTTCTGATTCTAAACAATCTATGTACGACCTTATCCAACAGGGTCTGCGCGATGCTACCTCAACGTCAGTTTCGGTCGAGACTCTTGTTGACTTAGCAAAACAATTCGTCAAGGCTGGGGCTGAATGGGATCAAATTTCCAAGGTATTCCCCAGCATTGATGATTGGAATGCAGCCCTTGAGCCTTTTCTCAATGCTGCGCCCAAGTCATCGTTGGCCATCACAAATCCCCTGGGCGGTGCTGTCTACCTTGTCACGTCAGACCAGTCGCCATCCAAAATCATTAACATGCCTCGGGATGTTGACGGCTACTCTATTGCATATCGAATCACCCAATACGTAACCAGGCTCTTCAAGAATCCCGACCTCTTCTCTGTCAACATGGTCCCATCGGAACTGAAGGATGCCTATGTTCGCAACATCGCAGTCGCTGTGCAGCTTGCAAACGACAACCTGGGTCTTGCAGGCGCCAACGGACTCTGGGCGCACTATGATTCGGATATCGAATCAGATGTGATGACCTTTATATCGGATGCCCAATCGTTCGTAGCACAGGAATTGCGGACGCTAGCCGCTACTTGGTCAAACGACAGCGCAGAAGCGTCTCTCATGACTTGGGCTAACGCACTTCTCTCGAGCATTGGCGACGACACCAACGCTCCCACATATTACTATGCACGGACATATAGCGTGCTAATTGCGGATGCTATTGAGGCTGCTAGCTGGAAGAGCTCTCAAACAGCTCAGTTGCAGGACATGCTCAAGGCGATGCGGAAATCGAAAAACATTTTCCAAGTGCTGGGACTGCTGAACGGATTCAAGGAGCCATTATCGGCTTCGAGAGCCTGCCAGAGAATGTGTAGCGAAATTCTAGCCGACTTTGCGGGCCTGGATGCCGAGGATAAATCCCTGGATGCTTTACGGAATCTTATCCAGCTGAACAGTGTGCTGAGCGAGGATGATTTTGTGGAAGAGAGCGCCAAACACCGCGTGCTACTTTTCGTCACTCACGTAGTTCCGTGGCTTGAGGAGAACCAAGTTCCGCAATCCGTCAAAGCGGAATTGTGCCGGGCATTCCTGGTATTGCTTCCCGTCATAGGCGACCGATATGGCGATCATTGGAGCAGTATCCTCAATGCGCTCGCTAAGATCTGGTCGGCCACGACAGAGCTGGAAACGAACGAGTCAGGCATGGACAGCCCGATACCCCTCGTGCATGCATCACTCAAGCTATACGCCCAACTCCGCACCTTGGTTCAGGCCGAAGAGCCAAACGATGATCTTGTCGACGCCTGGAAGGAGACAGAGCAGAGTGTTGCTGATGGATTGATCAACGTCCTCAAGCATTCCCAGCACTTCCCCGACGAGTTCCATCAGCCTTTGAAGATGGTGAATGATGTGCTAGCGCGTCAGATATCGAAAGTTTCACTCAAAAATCTTGAATCGACCGAGGAGCTCTTTCCATTGTTGTATGTGGAGTCGCAGCCTGTTCAACAGACTGCGTTCGACATTCTGCACAAGCAAATTCCTGCAGCCCAAGAGCAGATTTCTATTGACGCAGCGTTGGAGAAGTCGACTGCTCGTCTGCCAGAAGAGCTGTTATCTCTGATCATTGATCCTCCTACAGTGGCGGCATTGGCTGGAGCAAACCTCGAACGGAGCGTACCTTTGTCGTTACGAGGCTACCTGCTTAGCTGGAGGCTAGTCTTTGATCATTTGGAACATGCGTCGTTTAAGGTCAAAAATGATTATGTCGAGCATATTCGAGAGGGTGATTACTTGCCCGGCCTGCTTGATTTCACATTTGAATTCCTTGGGCATGCGCACAACCGGCCGGTCGACGTTTCTAAGCTTGATATTACGACATACGAAGCGGATGTTGAGCCTCCCAAACGGGAGCTCCAATGGCTACTGACGCATCTGTACTTCCTGTGCCTACGCGACGTCCCATCGCTCACAAAGTCGTGGTTCAAGAACTGCAAATCTCGTGCTATTGTAGTCTCGCTCGAGCCCTGGACGGAGAGATTTGTCTCTCAGCCCGTCATTGTCGCTGCGCTCGATGCAGTTGCTAAATGGTCCGAAGAGCAGGCAGCAGCTGAGCCCGATTCGCCCTTTGCAGTGAAGGTAGTCTCTCGCGCTCGTGAGATTACGGCGTCTTACATTGTTGATGAGCAAACAATGGCAATGCGCATCTCTCTCCCTGCAGCTTTCCCTCTGGCAAATGCCAATATTGAAGGCCTCAATCGCGTCGCCGTCAACGAAACAAAATGGCAGTCCTGGCTCCGCACTTCATTGGGAGCCATTACCATTTTCAACGGGTCACTCATTGACGCGCTGACTACTTTCAAGAGAAACGTGGACGGAGCGCTCAAAGGACAGAGCGAATGTGCAATTTGCTACAGTATCGTCGGCTCAGACAGGAAGTTGCCCGACAAGAAGTGCGCGACTTGTAAGAACTTGTTCCATGGTGTTTGTTTATTCAAGTGGTTCAAGAGCAGCGACAGTCCCAGCTGCCCGCTTTGCAGGACGAGTTTCCAATATGCCTAGGCTGAGACGATTGGGACTTTGGTTCATGTTGGCATACCTAGATGGTAGCATGCATGTTCGAACATAGAGGACTAGATAAACCCGCCAATGATGCTGTAGAGCCTCCTTCTTGACTGCAATGGATTTGTAATAACTTCGATGGGCGAATGGATGGCTGTAATGTTGTAAAATGGACCTCGGCTGTACCTTGCAGCTGTCCATTTACCCCACACGACGTTGTACCGAGCCTAATGAATACATGGTTTATTACGTGCATGTATTCCGACAAGGTTTCTAAGTAAATCCTAGCCAGTTCTTACTCCCCATACACACTCCTCATCACCATCCCTCATCTCACTTGCACACACGGGTCGGTGGTCCATCCCAGCATGGCGTCGCAAGCTCAATCCCCCACGCTAGTCTTCAACTACGACATCTCATGCCCGTTTGCCTACATAGCTTCAACCCGCGTGCAAGCCCTCGCCCAGCGCACAAATGCAACACTCATCTACCGCCCCGTCCTGCTCGGCGCCATCTACCGCGCAACGGCTGCCCCGCAGGGTGCAGCGGGCAGCGCCAGCGACGTCTTCAACGCAGCCAAAAAGAACGTTACATCCCACGCCATGCAGCGCACGCTGGACCGCTACCACATCTCGTACTCGCCGCCGCCACAGCATCCCCGCAAGACAGTCAATGCCCTGCGCATGCTGTACAGCGTCGCCGACCAGGCCACCCGCAAAGCACTAACTCACAACTTGTTCCGCGCGTACTGGGTCCAGGGCAGAGACGTAAACGACAACGCGGTGCTCCTGCAGATTGCACGTGAAAGCGGCATCACCGACCTCGATGCATCGTGCTTTGACTCTGTTGACGCTAGAAAAGAGCTGGAGACGGCCACGGCAGAGGCGATTGAACGCGGTGCGTTTGGCGTGCCTGGGTTCTGGATTCCGGGGGCTCCTACGGGGCCACAGGGCGAGCAAACGGGGCGCTTCTTTTGGGGCCAGGATCGCATGCATTTCGTCGAGGCGACGTTACTCAGTCTCTCATCGTCATCTTCTTCGTCTTCTACTACAGCAGCAGCAGCAGACCCATGGACCCGCGTGCCCAATCTGCGTTCTCTACTTCCGCGCTGCATACCCACCAACACACTGTCCCCCTCCAGCCGCGCCGTCAAACTCGAATTCTGGTTTGACTTTTCGTCGCCGTGGGCATATGTCGGCTACACGCAGCTGGCACGCTTACAACGCACGTTTGGGGCTGCGCTGGAAATCGTGCTGAAGCCCCTGCTGGTCGGCGTCTTGTTCCGCGAGATTGGCGCGCCCAATATGCCGCTGCTGGCGGTGAGTGCGGCCAAAGCGGCGTGGACAAGTCAGGATATTGTGGATTGGACCCGCTGGTGGAATGCGGTGAATGTGCAGGAGGGGGGCAGGGATGGCAAGTTTGGGTTTTACTGGGCGGATGTGTTTCCGATTCGGTCGCCGACGTTATTGAGAGTTGGGCTTGTGGAGCCGAGGGTGACGAAGGTTTTGTGTAAGTTTCTTTCCCTTCATTTCTTTCCTCCCTCCCCATCTTTTCTTGTTTTCCCGGGGTGAGAGGAGAGCGGCAGGCGTAAAGATGCAGGAGCTAACACCAAAGCAGATTCGGCATGTTGGGAGCAGAACAAAAACATGTCCGACGAATCTGTTCTCCAGTCCGTCCTGGATGAAGCGGGATACAACGGTGCTGATCTCATTGCGCGTGCAAAAGCCCCTCCTATCAAAGAGAAACTGCGGGAGCTTACGGCTGAGGCAAAGGCCCTGGGCCTTTGCGGTGTGCCCACATACCGTGTGTTGAAGCAGAAGCAGGAAGGGGGAGAGTATGAGCAAGTCGGTGGATTGGTGTGGGGACAGGATGAGATCAATGTGGTTGAGGACTTGATTGCTGGTTGGGAGCCTGGCAAGACTGGGGGTCCGATCGCTCAAGTAGGAAAGGTCAAGTATGAGGATGGAAAAGGAGTGAAGGGTATTGACTCCAAATTGTGATTGTAAATATGTTACGACCGGGGGGGGGGGGGTGGTTCCAGATATCACCGTATGTTTCATCTAAAGATGTTGAACAAAACAATATTATTCAATTCTAGCGTACGTTGGGTATGAGCGAATGCTATTCAAAGACAGACAGAAAAAAGCAAAACCATTGCACCGAAACCTAAATCAATCTGGGTATCATGAGTTATTTGCGGGGTTTGTGTGTGTGTGTATAATGTTGGGGTATATGATGCGTAGTGAAGGGGTAGCGCAAAAAAAGCACATATGTCTGCAAAAACTGCAGATGGGGAGTTAAACCGAAAGATCAACGTGGGGATATGCACGACGCTTCCTCCGCTTTGCTGCGAGCTCTGGGGTCCACATGCCACTGAATAGGTCTTCACATTCGTCTTCATCCTGGGAATCGAATTCAATGTCTCCGTCGTTGTGTCCGATTTCCATGGCGCTGTCTTCTTCTAGGCCGTGGTCCCATACTTTTTCTTTGACGGTTCGTTTCGCCTCGAGCATAAACTTTCCGATTTTGTACTTTTGGCTGTCTTGGGCGGCATCGACGTACTTCCAGCCTAGGACGCTGCCGCAACTGCGACAGCTGATGTCAGATACTGTGTGGGCACCTGTGACCAGTTGTCGGGGCTGAGGTTTGTGCGTGAGTGTATTGGGCAAGTCGCCATCTTCGAAGCTCGCTGCTGAGATGCTGCCGCCTTGAAGGAAGCCAGTTGACGATAGTGGGCTGACTAGATATGCCCGGCCGTGTCTGCCGGTGAATCCTTTGCTAATAATCGATGAAGTAGGAACAAGATCGGCAAGGCATTTCTGGCAGCGAAGGTGTGACCTTGGCTGTGCGGCTAGAAAGGATGTTGGCTGTGGCGGAGACGACGATGGCGACGCGACCGAGTCGGTGGAGTCGCTGAATGCCGAGCTTCGGCGCCGGCGGAATGGAAGGCTCGGGAATAAGTAAAGCGGAAAGGGAGCTGTTGGTGAGTTCGGCATGGTGTTCTTTTACGGCTGAAAGTCTGATTAGGTGTTTCCTGTGAAATCAGATGGACGAGGTGCTGAATGACGGCCTATGTACCGGTGCGTTGCAGTTGTCCTTTGGTTAAAGCCAGGCCCGGAAAAAAAGTTTGTTCTCACAGCTCTTTTATTATGCGCTCAGTCAGATACAAACGCGAAATTGATTTTGAACCACGCAACAATCTTTTACAGGCGCGATGCTGGTCGCGTAGTGGTGACGCCGAGAATGGCGTGACTCGGCTGAAGTCGGCTCGGACAGGGGCTGGGAACAGGCGAGAGGGGATATGAGGGCCGTCTTGCAAGAATCAAAGGCGCGATGGAATAGAGAAATGGGTTGGAGAAGCGCTGCGAAGCTCCTGGAGAGGCCGGCTCAACCTAGGGAGGTTGTTGGGTGACGTGCTGAAGACGGGGGGGCGACTTTGATGTTGCGATAAGCGATAAGTAACTCCTAGGTAACGGCGCCACAGCCGGCGGGGGCGGGGTACAACGAATGCAACTCGAATTTGGATACTTATGCGGATTCAATATGCCGCTGGAAGTCGTGCAGCAGCAGATGGGAGGAGGAGCAGTAGGCACGGCAGGGCCACGAGGCGGTCAAATATGAAGCTCTGGTCATCTCATGGGAAACGTGCGCTGGCGCCGTCAAATCACAGCCAGTCTCCTGATCATGCGGCCATGTCAAGCCAGCACTTCGTCACGAGTTGTGCTGTCACACCCCGATTGCCCCCCGACTGTCGCCATGCCTGCACATGATTGTGGCTGCCGCTCATTCGCTGGGATATAGCGGGCCATGCGACTGCACTGCTATCTCCGGCACTGGGACCAGCAGATGCTTCTTTAATTTTACTTTCGGCTAAATCAACATCAAAGCAAGTAAGTAAGTAGGTACTTATCGAGTACTTAGTTCCTCGTTCTGGCTTTGGCAGGAAGAACTTGGTGGATACTTATTACTACCCCAACTGTATTTCATACTGTGACTTCCAACGTCGATAAGCAAACGGATGCTACGTTCTATCTCGCCATCATGCTTTCCATGCATGGCTTCGACAACGCCTTCTCCCTCTGGATAATAGGTTTGGAATAATGTGGTCATCTGCCTACGTTTCGACCTGCTCTCCGGTGGGTCTTGTTGCATGGCCGCAACGTGCATCCAGCATTTTTACCCCCAGTACTAACATTAGGTATTATTGCGACTCAGAACTGGCGACATGTTGTCTCTTGTCCCCGCGCGGAAAAGAAAAGATGTACGCAATCCCACACAGCAGGCCCAGGAAAAGGGCAAAGTTCGCGTCATCGAACAATCTGCAGAAGCTCATCCCGACGCCGCAAAGAGGCCGCATGCACACAACAGTACACCCGCTAGCCGCACCTTTACCACCCTGCGTCGTGGAAGCATCAAACTATTTTCCATCTTTCGCAATGGCAAGAGTATGTGTCTTGTGAGTTCTGTTCACTGAGCTGCCAACTTTAACTCCGCCAGGCTCCCCTCCCAGCTCAGCAGAGGCTACTTTTGCTAGCACCGGCTCAGCAACCAACAAACCCTATGGCTCGGCACACCTACAACCCGAAAAACCTTACTCCAAGTCTTCTTCACATTGCAACCTTACCTCTGCAGCACCTATGAGTCCACTGCCCCTCACCCTAGTTCCGGATACTTCATCACTTCTCCAGCTTACCAACGCCGCCACCTTCGATGGCGAGTCTGAGCCCTTGTTCAGAACTCGCACACCGCCTCCTACTCCTGTGACTACAACACGGTCAAATTCAAGTCTATCCAGACAGCTGACCACCAAGCTCTCGAATGCCCTATTAAATAACGATACAGTGGTCCACCGGCCTAAACTAAGCTCCCGCCCCATGGTCAAATCAAATCACTTCAAACACCAAAGCGATGACCAGCATACCACGCTTTCACCCAAGAGCCCAATGTCTGAGGTGCCCTCTTTACCATCAAGCATCCTCGGTCCTGGTAGCAGTGTCGCACCGCTAAGCCAGTCAACCGCACCCACTTCTCTTGTCTCTTCGGGTGGCCCACGATCTGCCGAAACCACACTTCGAACACCAAATGGGCGCTATCTGACAGACAACTCGCCCCCTCTCTTCTGCGAGGCAACTCCCGAGCACCAGTCTTCTCGATTTTTGGTTTTCCCTCGACAAGATGCACCACGCCTGTGTGAGCCGTCCATTCCGACCATTGAGAAAGCGGCGGCAGTCAAGGTCTTCTTCGAGTCGCATTTCAATCAGCTTCTGTCTACCAAGGTCACCCCAAGATCTGTACGACGTCGCCAGATGGAGCAAAAACTCGTTACTGTGGCCTTGTCGGATGAGCAGCGTCATAGCAAGAGACGAGAGTAGTATCTCTCGGAAACGTATCATTTACGCCAGATGCGAGTCATGAAGTCGAATACACTCGCTCGACAGACCATGAGGGGGGTGCATGCCTCAAACTATGACATTATTCGCGTTTTGGGCAAGGGGAGTTTTGGAGTCGTCAGGCTTGTTCGTGAGAAGAGCGAAAACTGCGAGACTCTTCGTGGGAGCAGCTCTAGTGCCAGATACCTGGACGGCTCATTGACTCTACAGAACGAAACTCCTCCTGTGCTGAACCAAAGACCTAAACAGCTGTTCGCCATGAAAGTCATCAGAAAATCTGACATGCTTCGCAACAGTCAAGAGGGCCATTTGCGTGCGGAACGGGATTTCTTGGTAGCTTCAGAAAACTCCCGCTGGGTAGTGCCTCTGATTGCTGCCTTCCAGGACAACAACAATCTGTACCTTGTGATGGAGTACATGATGGGTGGAGACTTTCTCGGCTTGCTGCTTCGTCACGACATTCTGGACGAAAACGTAGCCAAATGGTATGTCGCTGAGATGATACTTTGCATCGAAGAAGCACACAAAATGAACTGGATTCATCGCGACGTCAAGCCCGATAACTTTCTCATCACCGCGTCCGGCCATCTCAAGATTTCCGACTTTGGCCTCGCCTTCGACGGTCATTGGGTCCACAATCAGACATACTATAACGAACAACGATATAGCCTACTTCGTGATTTGGACCTGCAAGTTGAGGGCGATGAACAGGATGTCGAAGAAGAAAGAAATCGGCAAGATGCTCGCAGAGCCATGGATCAGATCCACGGCAACACGGCGAATCGCAGCCGCTATCAAACGAGGCAGGACTCTGCCAATGGACCTATCATCGACTGGCTGAACCGGGAACAAAGACGCCAGTTTGCAAAAAGCGTGGTGGGAACTAGCCAGTACATGGCACCAGAGGTGATCAGGGGTGAAAGCTATGATGGGCGATGTGACTGGTGGAGCATTGGTATAATTCTATACGAAGTACGTGCTGAGATACGCTTCATGACCTCTCTAACACACGCAGTGTCTCTACGGCTGTACCCCTTTCTTCTGTGACAACAGACAAGCAACCAAGGCGCGCATAATCGTATGTAGAGTCCCACTGTATCCAGACAAGGCTAATCCGAGCAGGATCACAGAAGATGGCTTCGCTTCCCAACCGACCAGCGATACACCCGTCCTAACATTGACCGCGTACCTCTGATGCCCGTCACACGCAACGCCATCGACCTCATGATGCGGCTTCTCGAAGAGCGGCAGGATCGCCTCTCAGCCAAGCGGTATCGCGAAAACGACTGGGTTCTCCGTGACAAAGCCCTCGGCGTCCGCAGCAATCGCCACATGCACCATCCCACCGGGCACATTGTCTTTCCCAACGACGCCGAAGACATCAAATCGCATCCCTTCTTCCGCAACATCCAATGGTCACTGCTGCACATGACGCGCCCACCCTTTGTGCCGCGCGTGCACGGCGGTCAGCCCATCACAAAGTACTTTGACGACGAAGCCGAGATCATGAGCGCATCCGACCATCTCGACTCGTCCAGCTACGACACGCTCGCCATCCCCCCTTTCATCCCTGACCCCGCCACCCTCGCAACCCAAGATCCCACCGCCCCCTTGTTTTGCACCCCAGCCCTCAACCTCCCAGACGATATCTTGCACAACTCCCCAAATACTATCTTCCCCCCCTTCCAGATGCTCAAGCGCCGCAAGAGAGAAAAAAAGAGGCCTCGTGATAAATTGCTGCGCGACCCGGAAGTCGGGCGTGCCGCCATGGAGATCAGGAAGAGGGGCGCGTTTGTCGGGTATACGTATCGCAGGCCGAGGTTTTCGCTGCCGGATTTGGAGGAGAGGATCGCGATGATGAGGCCACAGGCTGCGAGGGGTGGGGTCGTTGCTGCGAGTGCGTGAGGAGTAGAGCTGGGGCTTAGTTTAGATTGGTGTTGTGTAGTGTTTGCTAGCAGTGCTTGTGGTTTGTGCTTGTACTTGGTGGTACATAGTTATATCCCAGTGTTTTTGTCCGAGAAGCAGGATGCCGTGATTCTCGTGTTCGACTACTTTATTTATTTCTCGCATTTGTGTAGACGTGCTGACATGCCGCAAGCAGATTTCCTGGAGACACTCTCTCCAAACACTCTACACTTGTACTTTTCCCCCCTATTTCTATTGCGCTCTTCTAATATCTCACTCACGTATCTATCCCTTCTTCTCACCGATAAAAACAATATTACCACTACATTTTATCCTCCTCCATAATCATACCCTCCTTTCACCCCTGCATATTTCCCTCTCCTCTCATCTCTCCTCATCCCTTCTCGTCCCTGCCCTCATCCTCGTCATCGCCCACCTCCTACTCCATACCCCCGCCCTTCCAACACCCCACTCCCCCTTCTAAACACGAGGTAAAAAAAAACACACGCCACAACGGTGAAACTCAGAATCCCCATGGACACACCCAGGCCCACTGTTGCCGCTGGCCCGAGACTAGCTGCTGTCTTGGCATCTGGATGTTGGTATGCTATGGTAGCTGCGGGAATGGTAGTACGAGTGGAGATGCAGTCACGGTCTGGGGGTGAAATGGTGGTGTGCTAGGGAGAAGCGAGAGATAAAAAAAACAGAGATAGAAGAAGAAGAAGAAGAAGAAGAAGAAACGGAGGAAAAAGACACAAACTGCAAGTCGAGTATTCCCAGCGTGCATATCCTCGTTTCCAGACTTGACACTTGGTCCCCCTTGGCTCGGTGCTACGTCAGTATCCTCACTGCCCTCCCATTTCAACCTCGCTGGTGCGCCGTCATGTATATCTTTTATTGTACTACTCATCGCAATGGGCATTTATTCCCCTATTGGACTTTCCCACGTACGAGAAGAGAACAAGTAGCTTGGCTTAGTTACAACAATCGTGGTAGCAGGTTCCATGGATATAACGATGGGGGTGTGACCACCTGTTTTCCTACGTGCATGTGGCGGTGCTGTCATGGTACTAGCTGCTGCGTTGGTATTACCAGTACCTACTTGCAGAAGAAGAAGAAGAAGAAGAAGAAGAAGAAGAAGAAGAAGGAGAAGAAGAAGAAGCAGAAGCAGAGGAGGAGTAGGAGGAAAGCATTCACAGTTTTCTGCACGCGAAATTAGGTAGAATTTTTGTAAGGGGGGGGAGAGAGAGAGAGAGAGAGAAGGCGGTGGATGTGGAGGAGGGATGCGAGTGGTTATAGCTTTTGCGGTACAGAATGTGTGTTGCGACATGTACTGGGTTGATGATGGATGTGTTGGCGGGCGCGGTTGGAGACAAGGTGTGAAGGTGGATGTGTGTTGGCATGTACGCTGTGCTAAGTGCATGGGACTACTCGTTTACTACATAGCACCAGCGTGGATATATCTGAGTCTTAGTGAGTTTGAGCCTAGATTTTATCTAGTTCAACACAGGCTGCACTTGTACATGGGCGTTCTGGAGTGGCAATGTAGCAGGGCAACAAGAACTCGACAAAATTGACAAGGCTGTATAATGTAAAAAGACGTGTATTGCTGACTATCGTTATGCAAATTATAAACTAAAAAGATCGTTTGGCGCAACAACAAGACGTTCCTGTCTAGTGATAGACCCGTATTCTAAATGTCTAAAGCTGGAATGGAGAACGACAAGACCATTATTTGGAGCGGCGGAAAGCGGCGAAAGGAGGGAAAAAGTATGCAGGGTGGAAGAAAGTAAGCACTGTACAAGCGATAGCAAGCATCCTATTCACAGTCAGTATCAAGTTGAAGGGGGGCGAAAATAGAGCGTCTTACATTCCGTCGAGGAGAAGAAACTCGCGCTCGTTACGCATCAGTGAGTTACCCCAGCCACCAGCCATTTCAGGCAAACGGTAGATGCAGCGAATCAAGACGGTGACGTATGCCAGGACAATCATGGAGCCGAACAATTTGACTTTTCCTAGCGAAAAGGTACCCGTCTCTTTGTCCATCTGGTAGCTGCTCTTTTCGTCGAGTGCATCGCGATGCTGGCGCGCCTTGCGGTATCGGAACACGTAGATGGCAATGAGGATGCCGCATACACTCATGGTTGCGACTTGGAAGGCGATACCTGCGACAATGAGGTTGTTGCCGGCATCAATGAGCGCCTTGTTGGTTGTGCCACCTGCAGCAGCCATGCCTCCACCAACGGCCTGGAGCACAATGGAGCCGAAATCGCAGCCGACAAAGATCCATGGGTAGAGGCGAGCCTTGATGACTGAATGCTGAGGGCCGCAGTAAAGGACAAAGTGCTTGAGCGTCAGATAGATGGCGGCGGCGACGAAACTAGGACCGAGGACCAGACAGCAAATTTGCAGTTTGAAGCCAGACTCGCTCCATGGATTGTCGTTCATGATGACGCGACCGGCGTATCCAGCGGTTTCGAGAAACGTCCCAATGCCCAGAGCAAGGGTGTAAGTCCATGTCTTGCTCATGATACCGATAACCAGGCTAGCGAGGAAGCAGATGCCGAAAATAGCGCAGAAGAAGGCGTTGACCCCTAGATTGGGCCTGTATCCATAGAGGGTTGCGTATACGGGGCATTCGGGCGATACTTCGAGACATTGGCGGAAATTTCCTTTGGGTCTGTCGCTAGCGGCGGAAACAATGAGGACCTGGGTTGTGAGGGCGAGGGCGGCCACGAGGCCTCTTTGTACGGAGGAACGCATGCTGGGCGTCTACGGCAAAACTAAGAAAAGAAGAAAAGAAGAAGAGGAAAGGTGAAATCAGGCAGCAGAAGAGAATGGTATCTAAGCAGCCGGGGAGTACAAAGCGGGCTGGGCCTCCGCGGCGCATGTTCGGTTAGGAGGCGCTTAGCCCATTGCCTGATGCCCTAGGTGTTAGAAGATAATGGATACCGTATACACCGTATTGCAACGACGGATTGTTCGCGAATGTCTAAGCGAAGCAGCTTGGTGGTGCTTGTTGGCACGCCAGTGGCCTCGCTTGCACCATCAGGCCCATCGGCTGTGGCCAAGGCGTCAACGATTCAGGCTTGGTGCCGCGGCTTCAGAATCTCCCGGGCGCATGGATCAAGCTGTATGGTGCACGTGCGGCAAAAGACGCTGGTGCTGGCTTTTTGTTCGTCCATTTGGGGTGGCGTTCTGCGACAGTAGCTGATTAGGGAAGGTGTTTGGCGCAGACAGGAGAATTGTGGAATGGATGATGTGGTTGGTGTGGCGCCACCGGTTGCGAGTCTGGCGGTGCCGTTAGTCCGTGTCTTCCAGTCTCTGCACTCGTCATGGAGGATGCTGATCGCAATCGTGTGGATTCGAGCTTTGTTATGTCATCTTTGCAACATGCTCTCCACTGTAGCGAAGTCAAGTATCTGAGAGCTGAGAGTACACCTGGCCTTCAGTCGCATCGAGGCGCTGCGAGGACCTCTCACCACTCTGGATGATGATAAAGCCTTGCTGAGTGTATGCACATGTGACACAGTGTTATTTTCGGGTTAAACGTCTTTGCTTCCGTCCCATATGGTTGTGGCTGAGTTGACCGACGTTGAGAGGGCTGCAGTGCTGACAGCTGAGATGCAGCCTACGGGGCTAATCCGATTTGGGACTAGCCGCTCGCCATCTTCTGGTTCTACGATGAGCACTTGCTATTGGACGTATCGCTTGGTGTATCAATAGTTGATTGACAAGCTATGGGACTGGGACTTTGCAGGCCTACCTGGTGATGATGCGGGGAAGCCGCCTGGGTCGCAGATATCCTCCGCAAGTCTCTTATACCCTATCCCTGCTCTAATATTAGCCTAGTCCCAACTGCAGGGCTGTTTACCTTGATTTCTTTTTTGCTTCATCACTGCCACATGCGCGTTTGCAAGTAGGGCTCGTAGTAAGCATCGACATGTGTTGTTATTTCAAGCAATGCTGACTCTAGAACCACAAGGCATTCGTGTGACACGCAAGTGTTTCCGAGACCATTACTCATTTCTTTCATGGGTAATCTGAAGGATATCAGCGTTGTCTTTTTTCACTACTAACCAATGAGTCAGAGGGAGCTTGACTGTTAGCAAAGACTTTGATATTTGGCACCGACAGCTTAGCCGAATTAACTGGGTTTGAATGAACTGACCTGCTCATTGTCGTCATTCCAACAACTGTTCCATGTATAAGATTTACAATAGGCCAGATATATGTTTCTAAATTGAGGTTTCAGCGTCATGCAACAGTCTCCGAGATGACTGTAGTGCCAATAAAGCGGCGATAGTACTATTCATTAGAACCACAAATTTCATCGATGCAGTTACGCGTATAGACATGTTGCTTCTTCTCTATTTGTGGTTTACATCTACTACTTGGAATGTGAGGCACTGTATTTCTTTTACAAGAGACTTTTCCTAGCTGCGGACACCAGCCTCTAATCACGTGTCAATGGCACCACCAAGTGCAGCGTGCAGAATTTGAAGCCTTGAATTACGAGCATGTAGAGACATCCAGGTTTGCGTAGTATCCAGCGACAAATCATCATATGATCAGTCTTATCGCCATGGCTAGCAGCGTGTCTTGTAGCCAATGTGCGTCGGCGCTGGCGTCGTGGGTCAAGGAGCGACTTCGGGGCCAGGAACGCCCCGGTCTGCAGTCCTTGAAGCGGTGCCGCATCCATCGTCACGCGCAACGTCAAACACACACACTTTGCTTCTTCATCACATTCCACCGACCAAATCAATCGCCGCGGTCATGGCATCGTCGACTGATCTTAGCGCGCTTGCGACGCCGGCATCGTGCACGGCAGACTTTTGTCTCATCCCGCTCGGGACCCCCACAGCGTCCGTGTCAAAGGAAGTGGCAGAGGTGCAACGGCTCCTCAAGAAGAGCGGACTCAACTACTCGATGCACTCTGCAGGCACGACGGTTGGTAAGTTTTTTTTTCACGTGCAACAACCCCTCCTTTTCCCCGCCAACGCAACTTGAGCTGTAAACACTATACTCGCCTTCGCTTCTGAGATAAGGTTCTCGGCCGGGAAGCGCATCGCGAGTATCTGCGGGGTGAGCTCAAGGGTGTGGGTGATGGAGAAGGGAGGGGTAAGACGAAACAGCTTGGAGCACAGACTAACGTCTTTTTTTTTCTTTGCAGAGGGTTCATGGGACGAGGTGATGCGAGTCATAGGGCAGTGCCACGCCATGCTGCACCAAAACGGCATTGTACGGATTCAGAGCGACATCAGGGTGGGGAGCAGGACGGACAAGAAGCAAGGCTTCAAGGACAAGGTTGCGGCTGTGGAGAGGCTGCTCAGCGAGGATGCGAGTGCGTGATGGGGCGTGTTTCGCAGGGCGCGTGATGGAGCCGAGGGTGTAGGATGAGTTGTCATGGCTGGGGCTTGTCTCGGATCCTTTCACATGCGCGCATGTTGTGTGTGTGTGTGTGTGTGTGTGTGTGTTGTGCGCTGTGCGTGGCCGTACATACATAGCACCTCGGGCGCATGAAAAGCAAATTAGACGTGGACAGCCGCCAAACCTACGCCTACACGCAGGCCCGGCAGATCTGCCAGCCAAAGCGACGGGCCGTGGTTGAAACACGACTCTTGCGGGTGCAATTGGCTGTGTCTGTCGGGGGTCCCTCGGCAGCTGCTGGGGTGGCTGACTAAAATGACGACGGCCGATGACATGGCTCGACTCGGCTAGGATGACGGGCGTTGTCGCAGATTAGACGCCTTTTTGTCCGTAGGCGGCCAGACGCCAGCGGATAGAAGCGTGCTGCCAGTGCCAGTGTATGGGTGTATGGATGTTGGATGGCGGATGGAGGATGCGGCGGCGAATCAGCGGCGGCGAGAGGCCTTGGTCTGCAACGTGACCCCGCATACAGGGCGCAGGCAGGGCTTCACCGCCAGTCGAGAAGGTCGACGAGGGGAGCAAGCTGATGGCGACGATAGGTCGAGGCCCTGGGGGGCGAGGGGGTAGGGGGGGTATGGATGGCGGAAGGCTATGGGAGATGGGCGAGGGATGAGGAGACGCACGGCCGAGGGGCTGCAGTGGTGTAAAAAAAAAGTTGGCGCATGCCGCAGCCACACACATCCCTGACGTCGGTCGGTACCTTGAAGCCGGAAAATCCCCTCCAGCTGCCTGCTGCGTGCCGCAAATATCCTACTCACCCACACACACACCCACTCACGCCTCACTCCACCATTGCCTGTCCTGCCCTGCATCCCCAGCCAGACCTCGCTGCCACCGGCTCCTTCTCCCGCGTCTTCTTTTCCCTCTGCTCTCTCTCCCCCCGCTGCTGCCACGCGCCATCGCCCTGCCCCACCCAGCGCGTCCTATATACGCTCTGGCCTGCCCCTCCCGCACGCCCGAGTCCCCCCGTCCCAGCGTTGGTGTATCGTGTGATCGCATGCCAAATGCACGCGACCGCACCATCACCTGCAAAACTACTGCTCCCCGCGCGGTAACGTCGACGCCTCGCCCTGAGCCCCCGACGAGCACTCGCCCTCGACGACCATGGCCTTCAACTTCAACTGGTCGCCGCTCATCGCCGACACCTCGCGCGCACGCGACATGCTCACCACGGCCCTAAACAAGTCGCCCAAGCCCCCCATCATCGTCGACGACATCATTGTCACCGAGCTGAACCTGGGCTCCACCCCGCCCGAGCTGGAGATACTCGAGATTGGCGACCTGGCCGAGGATCGCTTTAGGGGCATCTTCAAAATGTCGTATGCCGGCGACGCCTTCCTGACCCTCAAGACAAAGGTCCAGGCAAATCCCCTCAAGACATACCTGTCCAACAAGCCGGACTTTGCCTCGCCACAGCCCCTGGCCGCCGCATCGGGCCTGACCATTCCGCTGCAAATCACCCTGTCCAACATCCGCCTGTCCGGCTTCGTCATTCTCGTCTTCTCCAAGCAAAAGGGCCTGACGCTCGTCTTCAGAAACGACCCTCTCGAGTCGCTCAAGGTTTCGTCGACGTTTGATTCCATACCCTTTGTGCGAGACTACTTGCAAAAGGAGATTGAGGGCCAATTGCGCGTTTTGTTCATGGAGGACTTGCCCGCCATCATACACAGGTTATCGCTACGCATGCTCTCGCCAGAGTACCGTGAGATCGAGACAGAAGAGCGCTTGGAAGCTGCCAATGACACCACGGCTGCCATCGACCCTCTGGCGTCACCCCCTCAAGATGCCGTCGACGCTTTTGGCAATCCCCTGGACGAAGCCCAAATCTCGGCCCTGTCCCTCGACTCGGGCGAAATCCACGCGTCCTTCTCGCAGAAGAACATCCTCCGGCTGGCTGCTCTCTCCGAATCCCAACGAACCCTGTCGCTCTTTACGCCCGGCATACGCGATGCCGTTTTCCGAGCATGGGCAGGCCATCCGGACCGGCCCGAATCAGGAGCTGCCACCCCGGCCCTCACGCAGGGTAGTCTGTCCAGGATCCAGTCGACGTTTGGCAGCCTAAAGTCGGGCGCGTCCTCGGTTGCATCTGATAGCACAGGTAATGAGACACTCAGCTCACGGCCGACCATAGCTTCATCCTTTTCGTCGTCCGCCGGACTTAGTCTCGGCTCCACTCGTTCGCGCGCTGGTGGCATGCGGAAACGGAAGAAGCGCGTCGTCGACCTACGGAAAAAGGACACTCCAGACTCTGGTGTATCTACCGGCGAGAATACGCCATTGCAGAGCGCATACACATCCGAGACATCAAGTGTCATACCCGAAGAGAGGGAGGTAGAGGAAGACTTGGTTACTCCGCCAAGGAGCCCTGAACAGCCAAGTAGGCGCTTTGAAAGTAGGCGCGGGAGTCTCGATGTTGGTACGCCTAAACGGATCCCTGAAGAGCCACCCACGTTTGGGCCTCTTGCCCCTGCGCCGGAGCTCTCAGAAGCACCCAAATCCACAAAGTCAAAGCGATCGACAGCGCCACCACCGCCATCATCGCTGCCACTCGGCCACCTCGAAGACCCTTTCATATCCCGATCATCCCGACGCCCGCCAATCTCCCGCCACAAGCTGCGGCAGGCACAACAATCCACCTCTCCACTCCTACGTTCCTTGTCCTTTGACAAGGTCTCATCCCTCTCTGCTCTTTGCTCGCCTCCCCGTACCTCTTCACCACCTAATATCGACGTTGCGTCCACTTCCGGAGGGATCCTCCAGCAAGCCTGGATGCAGAAAATGGCACAGGATATTGCGCGAAAGATGCAAGAAGAAAAGGATCGGTCGTCGCGGCAGCGGCCGTCGAACCATTCCCGCACAAAGACTGCCCCTGTGATGAGGGGAGGCTTTTGGCAGAGCGAAGATGAGATTGAGGCGCCACCAGCTTACGTGGCCTAGGCCACGTCAAAAGGTGTGATGAAGTTATGAGCCATGAATTTGTCATGACGAGCGGTTTTTGTTTTTGTTTTACTCTTTTCGCTTCATGTGCATCCCATTCTTGCTATTGTAATTTGTCCCATCGCCTTTTTTCTTTTCTTCTTTTCTTTCCTCCTCTCCAAGTCGGATTTTTCCTTTTATCATTCTTACCTCGTCCCCCTCCATCTTAGCATAGGCGTTTTTTTTCCTTGTGTTTCCGAGTGTGTGATAAGAACATAAAAGTAGGCGGTGCTGTGGGTTTTTTTCATGGGAAGGGGAGGAGGGGGGAAAACATTTCAGGTTGGCGTGGGCGGAGAAAGTGATATGAAAAAGAAGAAACTCGTTGTTATTCCACCACAACTTGAGTTTTACTTCTTTTTTCTTCTTTTTTCAACTTTTTGTTTTATTTTAATTTCCTTAATCAAAAGATAAAGAGAAAAAAAAAGAAGATACTTGTTAGCATCTTAGATTGGCGAATCTGTTTTTTTTCTTTTCTTCTTCTTTTTTTCTTCTTTCTATCTGCTGTTGTTCGTTGTAGAGGCAAAGACGATATACAACTTAAAAAAGGGTCATAGGCGTGGTTTTTGAACCTGCAATTTTTGTTTTAAACTTCATCGGTCGGAGTAAGCGGAATACAAGGTCAGGATATGTAAAGGGTGTGGGGGGGGGTGGGACCTTGGAACTTGAAACTAACCCCACTTACTCACTCACTTATTCACACATCCAAGACATTAAATTACACTCACACATACGCATAAATACACAACACTACACTACACTACAATAATCTTCCATGCCAGTATACTACATCCAAGCTCTATTTCTCTGCTCTCGATCTATTCTACATCTATTATATATTTCATTCCACCATTTCCCTTGTTTTTTTTGTTTTTCGCGGATCAAAACCTGGGCAAGCGCCAGTTCACTAAATCTAAATACATTCATTTATTCATTCATTCATTCATTGAATGTGGCTAGTAGACTAGGTCTGCGATACATCCGCAGGTTTGAATCGCTATATTTAAAAAAAAAAAAAAAAAAGGGGGATTTGGGGGTTCGGGGGTTGGAATTTTGGGAATGAATGAATTGAATATGCAATGCTTACTGGAAAGTGGAATCAGCAGCGGTTAGGTTGTTGCGGGTTTTGATTGGGGGATTCTGAGTGCGAGCATGTGTGTGTGTGTGTGATGAGGATAGGCTGAGATATGCTGTGCTGTGCTGTACTGTGCTGTGCTGTGCTGAGATAGGGCTGTGGAGAGAAAAAGAAAAGAAAAGGGACATGTTGTTGTTGTGTTAATACTACAAGTCATGTTTATTCATAAGGAAGTAGGTAGGTAGGTAGGTAGGTAGGTAGGTAGGTAGGTAGGTAGGAAAATACCAAAACACCAAATACCAACGCCAAACATGCGATTCCACGCCATGCATCCGGTATTTCCTCCACAAAACCAACACAATCCGTGGCTCGGAATGGAGAAAAAAGTACGACTCTCTCACTCGCAAAAACTCACCCCGCTACATCCCCTACCCGCACCCACCGCTCCTCCAACGCCAATACAACCAACTCCTTCACACTACCCAACGCATTCTCACGGCCCAGCGCAACAGGACACAGGAGCTCTGCAACGCGAGTAAGAACTTTGAACAGTTTGGCTGCTTTGCGGGGGACTTTGTCGGTATCCTGTTGGTCGGCGTCTTCTTTGAAGACGAGGCGCGCGGCGGTGATGCAGTGGTGATGGGGTGGGCGCGAGAGCGACGAGAGGTGTTTGAGGAGTTTATGAAGGAGAAAGTGGAGCCAGATGAGGTTTGATTTGGGGTGGAAGGCGCGCCAGGGGGTGTGAGGGGGTTCTGTTGTTGTTGTCGTTGCGGTGTCGTCGTCTTCGTCGAAACGGATGTGTGTGTTATTTGCATGTGGCATGTGCGTGCTTTGTTGCTGCTGTTCGGGCGCCTGATCGCTGTCGTCGAGTGGATGCTGGAATTGCAGCGGGTTGCCTGAGAGCGCGATGCCGCGCATGTAGCGGTATATATCGTATTGGTACTCTTCGGTTGCGTCGCCCTCGAAGATGGCGGGGTCCTTGTCAAGATCCATGTATGCGACGTCGGCGGCGTCTTGCGCTATGCTGGATGCTGTGGAGCTAGATATGTGTGAGAGACTTGAGAGTCTACGGGATGGCGGCGCAGCGACCATGTCCGCGCGGGAGAGCGTGTAGTCGATGACTGTCGTGTCGAGGCCCGTAAAGCGCAGTTTGCGGCGTAGAGGGTCTTTGATGCAGGGCTCTAGGACGTCAGCGCCTGCTCGTGAGGAGCGCACGCAGATGTTGCCCAGGTGGAGATCGCGGTGCTCAAAGCGACACGCTTCTTCTGCTTTGCCGATGCTGATGGCTACACCCCAGAACACGTCCCAGACTTCCCAGATGGAGGCCAGGCCACCAGACTCCATGAGCTTTTCGCAGTCTGTACCTGCGTCCTGCATCTCGACAACAGCCCAGAGTTGATACTCGTCATAGCTGCTTTTTTTGCTGGGGTCAGGAAACTCGCTCTTTTTGCCGCGTGGGCGCGCTTTGTTCCACTCTTTCCACGCGTCATTAAACGAAGCCGATGGCCGTCCCTGGACAAGAGTAAGGTCACGGAAGACTGTGAAACCAGGAATGTGCGTGAGATTCTGCAAAAGATTGACTTCTGATAAGACATCTTCGACCTGTGATTTCCACTGATCATCTTCCTCTCGTTGTGCCGTTTCCTTTTCAATCTGCCCTTGTAGGTCTCGTACTGCTCGGCCGTGGAGCTGACATGGTAGAGGGACCGTTGGTGGGGTTTTGAGTGCCACTACTTTGAGCACCGACTCCTCCTTGACGCCGTTTGTTGATGATATTGACGATAGGCGGTACACTTCTGAAAAGGAAGCTTCTGCAATCTTGGAAACCTCAAAGTGAGGTTCGAGTTGATCCGCCCAGTCCTGGAACGCAACAATCTTCTTCCTATCACTGAGAGCGAGCAATAGAGAGGCGTAAGTCGAATAGAGATCGTCGGGCTCGGGCGTCGGTTCAGGCGTAGGTAGTTGTTGTCTTCGTTGCGGTGATTTGGATTTTGGGCTGGCTACGCTTGATGGTACGACCCGTTTCTTCTGCTTCTTCTGCTTCGCAACGGTTACCACCGAGCCATCTAGCTGAGTCTCAGCATTGATATTCCGATCGCTGAGCACCTTTCTCGGTCTCTGCGACTTCTGCGACACATCCCGGCCCTCGTCCCCTGCAGCATCAATCGTCAGAGCCTGCATACTCTGCTCCAACCCATCTTCTACTGGTGAAATGTTCTCCTTAATAACATCAACATCTCGGCTCGGCTTGACTTTCTGTGCCTTGATTGTTTTCTTTGCGCTGTCCTTCTCTTTCGCATCCCGTCTCTGCTCTATGTGCAAACCCTCCAACCCTTGCTGAAGCACCGAAACATTGTTTTGTAGTTGCTTCTCGCTTTCCTCTGGCTCTGCTGCTGCTGCTGCTGCTGCTGCCAGGAGCTGTTCCCGCCAATCGCCTTCCGCGCTGCTGGCCGCATTTTGACCTTCTACTCCCTTTTGTGTGGCTTCTCTCTCAGGCGATAAGAATTTCGTAAAGGCCGTGCGCTCGCCGTTCCTCCACTTTCCGTATACAACTTTGGGTGGCATCTTGCGTTGAACGAGTGGTGTCGGGGCTTGTCGATGAGTTGAGGCTCTGGATTGGATGTTCCAGGGTCTGTTTGGGGGATCCCGCACGGAAACTCTAAGCGAGTCGTTGGCGCAGCAACTAGGCGCGCCACAGTTCCCCAAGCCTCACTTTCACATGCGAGTGGCATCCTATCATTGAGCGTTGTACAACCACAACTCACAGACCAGCCATGTACGAGGCTGATACAATGTGTAATTGAAACGGAGGCCATGATCACAATACACACGGTTCAGACTGTGAGACAAATGAACAATTAACATTAAAGCCAATAGGTGCTCTGTAGTGTGGCAGAAACCCCTTAGCATCATTCAACGCTGTAGCAAACAGACGCTCTTCGCAAACTGAGCGTCAAATCGTATACGTATACAACGAGAGTCCAGGCTCTCTTTCTAAAGCGCAGAAACAGATTACATGGGAAACGGCGTGCCGATAAGCTTGCCCAAAAGACCGGCAGACGGGCGAGTGCACGAATAATGAGATTCAAGTGTTGGAGACAAGGAGATGCAACTGCAAGTCCTCGTACAGTGCAAAGAAAAGGGCTCCTGAAAGCAAAGCAGAGGCGCTTGAAACGTGGGGTTAAGACAATTTACAGCCAAGTAAGATTGGTGATTGGTGTGCCAAGTATTCGGTGACTGGAAACAGAGAATGTATATGGCATCGTGGTAGTAGTTGTTGTATTAGAATTTGTCGAGTCGCAGGGCCGTAGGAGTATTAGAACTTGTACGAGTGGCGCTTCATGGTCTCAACCGTCGACTTGAACGGGCTGCGGCTCAGCCTCTTCTTGTAGCACTGGTGGCGGTACAACGCCGAGACTCTTGCGCTTGTTCTTCCTCTCAATCTCAGAGTCTTTCTTGACGCCGTTGGCTTCTGACGATGCCGTTGTCGGGCTGGCACCACTGGCTGCCTTTTTGTTCGGGGCAACACTTGCGAAGCTGCCAGACAGCTTCGAAGTAGTGTCGTTGTTTTCAGACTTGTCGGCAAAGTCTTTCCACTTGCGCCAGCCGTCAAAGTCGATGAGGGCCTGCATGCAGCCCCATTCTTTGACTTTGCGTTCAAGCCAGACAAAGTTTACAGGCTAGATGATGCGTTAGTACAGGCTTTGCACAGAAGAGACACGGGGCAGCTTACCTTTGTCAAAAAGTCGTTGCAACCAGCTGCCAAAGCCTCGTGTCTGTCACTTTGCAGCGAACTGGCCGTAAGCGCGACAATGATGACTGGGCTCTTGAACATGCTCTTGTCACCTAGCTTGTCATCCTCGATCAGCTCGTCTTGGCCTTTGCCATCCTGTCCGAGCCGATTGTTGGGTGCTTCGCTGCTACCGCTGCTAAAGACACCAATACCATTCACACGTTCCAGTCTCCTAATCTCCTTTGTTGCTTCCAGACCGTTCATGACGGGCAGCTGAATGTCCATGAGCACCAGATGGAAACCACCGGCCTTCCATTTGGTAACTGCTTCTTTTCCGTTCATGGCGCGTTGCCAACGAACCTTTAACCGCTGCATAAAAGCGCCCAAGACTCGCAAGTTGATGATGTTGTCTTCGACAATGAGTACATTGATGGGAGGCACTGATCCGTCTAGCAGACCAGCAGGCAGAGTTGGGGCTTCTACCGGGGGCTTTCGCGGCTTCCCACTCTTTTTGCGCGGTTGCGGGGACGAGATGCGTGGCGTCGGTGGGGTCGGGGATTGAAGAGCTGCCGGGTGTGGAGCAACCTCAACAGGGGCTGGAGGCGTGGGTATTGGGTTGTTCGAGGCAGCCGAATTCTTTGCTTCGGATGCTGAAGAGTCGTGCCGTGGGCGGTTTGGAGGACGCGCCGAGGTAGCAGACGAGGGAATGCCGCCGCCCAGGGTAGTAGGAGAAGCCGTGTGTGTTCTCGTGTACTTGGGCCGGTGTGCATGGCCTGCTCCTCGCCTTGTGCCACCGGGAGAAGGCACAGTAGGCAGCTGTCCGGTGGTGAGGACGGACATGGAATGAGGAGGGCGGGGCAGGGGAATGCGGTTGTCTTGCTGCAGCGGCGGCAGCGGGGGCGGCTGGCCAGAGCCCAGAGCGGCCGGCGAGTGAGCCATGGCGGGCATGGGGGGAAAGTACTCAGTCTGCTGGTGGATGCCATCTTCGTGGTGGTAGTAGGTGGGCACGCGCGGCGAGGGTTTGGGAGTGCGTCGTTGGGGCACGTCGATGATGAGGGCCTCGTCGACCGTCTGGCCGCCGGGGAAGTAGGTGTCAATGGTCCTGCACATGTCCTCCTCGGGCCCCAGGATGCGTTCGGCTCCACGCTGGCCATCTCGGGGCACAATATGAAGCGTCACGTCTGGCGAGTCGAAGCTTCTGCCCAGCGAGTTTGCGTACTTTTTGAGAATGACGTCGCGCACGTCGTCGACCAGGTCGTCTTCGCGGATCTGGACGAGCGTGGCCGAGGCATGGGGCCGCTTGACCCAGATCTTGCGGTGCAGCATGTCGGCGTTGAAGTGCGCAGGCGGCGCGCCCAGGGCGTCAGAGACGGTAGGCGGAGCTGTGGCTGGTGCGGCGGGAGCGGCGGGCGGGGGGATGTCGGGGACGAGCAGGCTGCTGATTATGTCTGCATCGGACTTGTGGACGACCGACTGGGGGCGGACGGGCGCGGGCGCGGGCGCGGGCGAGGGCGACGCGGACGGGGCGGTGCTGTCTGCGGGGCGCGGCGGGGGTGTGGTGTGGTGATGGGGGTGATGGTGTTGGCGATGATGCTGGCGATGGTCGGCGTGACTGGGGGCCGTCGACGTCGTCGAGGAAGAAAGCGACGCGGGCAGCGCGCGGCGGTCGAGCTCGGCAGGCGGCACCGCGACGGCGTGGACGGGCGTGGGCGCCTCGAGCGTCACCTGGGGACAGACGACAGGCACGGCGGGCGAGGGCTTGCGGGCGTGGGCGTGGGCGTGGGCGAGGGCTTGGGTGCTCGTCGAGGTGCTCGTCGGCGTGCTTCTGCGTGTGTTCAGGCTGCCTGTGCTTCCTTCTGCCTCGTCGGCGGGACTTTCGGTGGCCTTGCCCAGCACCGCGCACCTCAGCGTGTGCCCGCCCTCGCCCTCGCCTTTGCCCTCGCCCGCTGCCTCCCGGGCGGCCTCAGCATCAGCACCCGCTGCCGCTGCCGCATCCGCCGCCGCCGCCGCCTCAGGCAGCTTCTGCAGCGAGACGCTTTTCCGCAGCGGGCTGCTGAGCGGCGGCGGCGCGTGTCGCTCGCTGCCCGCCGACGAGGCGATGGAGCGTGCGCCCGTCGACGTTGCGCTGTTCCGCCGCAGGAACTTGGAGCGCGCGTTCTGCAGGCGCGTCTTGATGTTGCTCATGCCGGCGACGAGCCGGAGTCGGCCAGCATGTAGTCGGGGAGAGCGCTGTGCGGCCGTGGTGCGTCGCGAGAGTGGGTTATTAGAAGGTTGGCGGCACCGCTGCCGTTGCCGTTGCCGTTGGCGTGGTGCTGTGGTGCAGAAGGGCAGCTGGCTGTAGCTAGCCTGCTGCGTCGCGGCGAGGGGCGAGGGGCGCGCGGCACTGGCCGACGTGGACGAGGACGTGGACGTGGACGTGTGCCAGGTGCAGAATCAAGGGGCGCAGACAAAGGAGAGGGCAAAATGAGCGACGCAAGCAAACCACTTGGGCGAGAGCGAAAAGCGTCGTCCGGTGCTGCTGCCAACGACGAGTACCATGGCCATGTCCAATCTCCAGCAGCGCTTGGGCCTGGCGGAGAGCGGGCGGGCAGCTGGCGGAGGCCTCGACATGGATAGCCGCATCTGCATCTGCACCTCTCCTCTTACGCACCAGGCACATCAGCACCTTATTCCATCCTCGCCCCAGCCGTCACCTGCACCGCATCCACGTCTGCATGTCATCACCACGAATCTGAGCGCTCACCGGTTTCATTCTCCATCTGTGCCACCTGCAAAGTCTCACGAGTGGCGACGACATGAAGCCTGATGCCACCACAATCCCCGGTTGGAGCCCTATCGCCAGCTCATGCTCGGCCACGCCTCAGCATCGCTCTCACTCTCTCCATGCCCATTTGATCCCAACCATCTGCACCCGCGCCCCCGCTGACCGCCATACCCATTGTCCATGGCCGTTTGGGCCTCGAGCCGGCTCACAAAGCCCGACATGTTCATGGTCACGGCCTGCCTGCGCCACTGTGGCTGAAGTCGGTGTGGCGCATGCCGTCTGCACGTGACTGTGTCTGCAGCCAAGTGAATGGCTTGTACTCCAAGTTGCTTGTCACGTCTTGTGTCAACATACACACCCACTCATCCACGTCACCCTTGCGAAGCCTATTTCAACCGCCAAGCTTGTGCATCATTGTCTCCGACCATCCATTCAACTTACCAACATAGCCACGATACAAAAGGCTCTCTTGTCCTTGGCCCGCCATCGACGATCCCACAGGAAAACGTCACGATTGTCTTGTGAGCCGCCCCGGTCCAGCCGCCCACCACCAAACTCTGACCTCGACCACAGAAACATAGTTGCCCCTGAAAATTGCTTTGTGCACGTGTCATCCTTTGGAGGACAGCTCACACACACACATGCGCGTGGAGCACAAGAAGAGCATACGACGCTGGAAGCATACAACGCTGGTAGGCTGTGTAGGGGGTACTGCAGCACACATGGCTGCCAGCTACGTATATACCCCCAAAAAAAGGACATGGCCAAGCCGCGAACATGACACAGGGAGGTGAGGTATCGATGTCCGCTACAGGCTCTGATGCTCCGACAGTCCACTTGAGCTAATGCCAGGAAAAAGCAGGCAGATATAAAGCCACCGTTCGATGCCATCGTCCGACGCCATCGTCCGATGCTCCGTTCCTGACGGAGACGGAGAAGAGGTACGTATGACGGAAGCGGGCCGTGTCTATGCATTTGTCATGACAAGTGCATGCACTCTCATCCTCGTATTTCTTGGCACTGCCCCCCTCGTTCACCTCTTCATGTCTAAAAAAGAAAAGAAAAAAGATACACCATGACTGGTATAGTATCCAAGGTGTTGATATATGCTTATTTCCTTCGTCGTGAGCTTGGTTTTCTTCCCCGCATTTTAACCGGTTACCTAGTAGTAATACATACATATGTATGTAATCCCACGAGGGCTCGGTCCGGAACGCACATACTCGGCCCGGTTCTGCGCCAAATCGGCAGTTGCCATGTTGGAGAGAAAACGAGTAATATGCCCAGTACAGACATGTATACGCAGGACCGAAACAGACTCGGTGGATCTACACACGGAAATTTGATCTGGAGATCTGGTTTCATTCATCTGGTCCAGGACATCTTACTCAGATGGGTTGTATTCTATCCCACAAGCAGCATTTGCACATGTTCTGGCTCCATGTCTCGGATGACACTGTCCGAAAGCTCATGCCAAAAGCTCTAGCAGAGCCGTTTATACCCCTTTCCACCACGTACATATCTCTCCCCATGATGGATTCCTGGCCAAATATTAATTTTCAACCTGTGCTATCCTTGCATGCGCAGCTCGCGCACGTAACGGTAACGCCGCTACTGACCCCGCACCCAGTTGCACGGCACGTATTGCACGTATGTGGCGCGTTATCTAAACTGTCCTTGTCATTAGAGAGGTACATGTACTTCTGTCGCCTCAGAGTGGCCAGACCCCGGGTTAGAAAACAACAGCCCATACACTACTCTGGCCGAATTTGACCCAGCCAGTGTGGCTTGTACTAGGTATGTACGTCTTGTTTCGATATGCCACAGCTTAGGCAAATTTCCCCGTTGTCCACAGCCGTCCCGACATACATGGTACATACGCCTTGTACCATTCCGCGCGTCTATAGTTTGGCCGGACAAGAAGATGAGCAAGCAAGGATGACGATTAACACAAACGACGGGCCCACCATGGTCCAACATGGGGAAGTGCCATCACGCCTACACCTACACCCAGGCAAAAGACAATGTACATGTGTCATGTCAGCCAAGTGGGCGAAGGGATCTTGTGATGTTTGAAGTTGGCGATCCTTGTCCACAGGGTGTGCACATCGATGGCTTGAGATTGGTCATGACGCTGTAAGGTTTTATCGCTGGGCAGTGCCGTGGACGTAGATCGTATGGGAGTCAGACGATGGGCGAACAGGGGAGGGCCGTGGTCCACCTCCCATATCGTGCGTAGCAGTTGATGCGGCTACCTCGTGAATCCATCCGCGTACCCAGACGCAGCACCAGCCCGCCTTGTCCTAGCAAGGCATTCATCCCAACGGCCTGTGTGTCCGACATGCTGGTTGCGGCCAATCGGGGGGTCCCGTTTGTTTACGTACGCAGGGCTGTGGAGTAGCTCTTACCCCATCCGCCCTAGTGCGGGTCTGCCAGGTGAAGGGTCGTTAGTAGCGGCGGCGCTATGCGATGTTCCTCGTTTTGCCCAAGTGGACCTCAGGCAGGACTGCCGCAGCATTGGGGGCTCGTGGGGCCAGTCACTGCACTTCGGCCGAGACTACCTCCCCTACACTCAACCTGCTGGAGGGGCGCTTGATGCGACCATTCGTGCGCGATTTTCACAATGCTCGCTTTCAACAACCAGCATCCCGTCTTGGCACATACGCGTAGAGCGTAGGCATAAGGGGGCTTGCTCGGACGGTCAACATCTGCAAGCAACTGAACGTCCGAGACTGTGGGCGTCACGCCCAACAGGCAGAAGTAACACTGCCACTTGCACAAGGTACAAAAGGCGACGGGCGGGCGCACCATTGACGGGCACAAACCTCTACGGCTTCTCCTGCAAGCAAAGTCTTTTGATTCGTTCTATTCCTCACATCCAGCCAGGCCAACATGGCGGTCCACTTGGCACTGGTGGTGGCGTCTTTGCCCATTACACTGGTAGGCCCTTTCTTCCTGCAGTCTCAGCAACATCGTCTAACCCACCCATCTAGCTTCTCTACACTGTTTGGAAACTATTCTACAACGTCTTCCTGCATCCACTGCGCTCCTTCCCCGGCCCACTGCTCGCCCGTGCCACCCTTCTGGTATACAACAAGCATATTGCAGATGGCGATTCGCATTTTTGGGTCAAGGCACTCCACGACAAGTACGGGCCAGTTGTACGCATTGCACCAGACGAGCTCGTATTCAGCGAGGCTGGCGCATGGAAAGATATCTATGGATTCAAGAAAGGACAGGTCAAGGACCTGAAGTTTTACGGAACAGACACTGTCAGCCCACACGAACCAGGCATCATCAGGTCAAACGACGAGCGCCATGCGAAGCAGCGCAAACTCTTCAGCTATGCATTTAGCGACAAGGCCCTGAGTGAACAGCAAGCGCTGATTCAGACGTATGCCAATTTACTTTGCGAGAAGCTCAGTGCCAAGGCGGCCAAGAACGAGAAGGTCAACTTATGCAGGTGGTTTAATCACACTACCTTCGATGTCATGGCCGACATGACCTTTGGTGAATCCATGGGCTTGCTGGATGGCTCGCCGAATCACGAATGGGTTGACAATCTTTTCGAGTTCCTACAGTATATAGTCTATATGCGTATCGCAAACTATTGGCCAAGCATCACGTTCATCTTCAAAGCTCTGGTAAGATGACATGTTCTCCTTTATCTCTCTCCCTAAGCTGACCATACTTCGTATCTGCTCAACAGATGCCAAAAAATCTAAAACAACGGCTCATCAGTCACCAACAATTCACACTTGAACGCGTCAACAAGCGTCTAGCACGTACGGCGGAAAAGCCCGACATCTGGTCTTTTGTCGACAACAAATTTGGAGACAAGGAGGGTGCTGTTACCCAGAATGAGATTACCGCCACCGGCGCAACCTTCATGACTGCCGGCACAGAAACGACCGCAACCGAACTCTCTGGCTTGTCTTACTTGCTTAGCCAGCACCCGGATAAGAAGCAGCGCCTTATGGATGAGATTCGCACCACCTTTTCATCAACAGAGGAGATGACGTTGACCAAACTGTCACAATTGCCGTATCTCAATGCCTGCATTGAAGAAGGACTGCGATACTACTCGCCGGTCGCAGTCGGGTTCCCCAGGATGGTTTATGGCGACAATTTCCAGGTCTGCGACCGATATGTTCCGAAAAGGGTAAGATGAACCTGAGCAATTCACCCTCTGAATCTTGCTTGTAGACATTCTTTCTAACTGCTGTCGTCTCGATTTTTAGACCACTATATCCATGTTCCAATATGCTGTACACCGATCTCCCCTCTCTTTCCACCGCCCAGACGAGTTTTTGCCTGAACGCTGGTTGCCAGAGGGCCAGGCCGAGTTCGGCAACGACCGGAAAGATGCATTCAACCCATTTTCGTATGGACCACGGAATTGTCTTGGCAAAAAGTATGTCTCTCTCTCTCTCTCTTTCCCGTCGTCCACGCCTTCGCCTCTGTGCAAAACGTAAATCGACAAAGTGCTAATCTTCTTTGCCCCAACAGCATGGCCTACCATGAGATGCGAATCGTGCTTGCCACGTTCATGTTCCACTTTGATCTCGAACTTTGCCCCGAGTCTAAAGATTGGATGAATCAAAAGACGTATCTCGCGTGGTCCAGGCCTCCGCTGATGATGAACCTCAAGGCCCGATGAAAAGCCGCGGGCAGCGAGGAGCATTGCCACTGGTGAAAGGGGCTGTGGAAGATGCACACAAGACACTGCAAATTCCCTATGTATTTTATCAAGTTGTTCAAACGTCCAGACTGGCACAAGTAGGGTGCGAGGTTGGAATCAGTAGGTTGTGGCGTTGTAAAATGTCGTTTTAGGTTAGCGAAAACACACGTTCTTTTGGTTTGTTTTCTACAAACATCTCCGACATCTGCCTGAGTGCCTTGATCGCCACATCTCATTCAAGCCTGCGAGAAGGCCTGTGCTATTATGCCCGAGTTATGTATTTGTTCCAGCCAGTCCTGATCCGGAGGCCTGCTCCCCGCGTTAGGGTGACAAGAGACAGCGTGGCTTATGCGAATAAGCTTTGGGCATCTGACTGTATTCCTAGGCGTCAATGTCTGCTCGACGGATTCATATATATGCCTTCGGTTTACCCCTCACTGATGTCGCTTCTTTGGCTAGCTACTCAAACGACATTCCGTGCGAATCCACCAACTGCAATATAGCACAAAGACCCCTCTCGCAGATACGAACCACGTCACAACAATCAGATATACGGCGTATCCGGCGTCTGCGCACGCGGTCAAGGGAATTACCAAGTCCATGGCCTTGGAACAACAAACTCATGGGTCTTGTGGTGAATGCAGTTAGTCTAGGATTCTCACCGACGCCAATGCTCTAGCCAGCAAAGGAAATAAGAGTATCTAGATCAACTGTGGGGCGATCCGGAAGCGAGATAGAGGCGGATCAGCATGAGCCTCAAAGAGGGAATAGGGCGAAGCTTTGCAGCGTTAAGGGGTGGGTGGGTATGTCACTATCTATGTGACGATCCGGAGATTAGGAGCGCGAAGCTGGCTTATTACCGATGGGACCACCTACCTACCTACCTACTTACTTAGCGAATACGAATGTCGGTTTGATATGATATCAAAGCCGGGGAAACGACATGGAACCAAGGAAACCGCGCAGCAATACTACCGCCCAACCGCTTTGAACTCGATTATTCTCGCAGAAGAGAAAAGATAAAGTAGGAAAGAAAGAAGCGAGAAAAAATATGACGACTGCAACACCAACTGACCAGGCAATACCTTCCCACTACACAGCCTCGCAGACCGCCCTGCTCCTCCTTGATCTCCACACCATGGCCGTCGAGAAGGGACCCAGAGAAAGCGGTCCGCTGGCCCTGGCTGTCGCGGCAGATACTAGGCGCTGGGCCAAAGCCCGAGCCATGCACATTATCCACTGTCTGCTGGACACCTCCTCAGCACCCTTTGCAACCGCCAACGACGCCGCGCACTTACCCCACGCAATATTCATCCTGCAGACACCCGCAGGCGACGAAGCGGCAGTGCTCCGCGAGAATGCCGCAGCCGAACCCACACTCACGCGCCGCGTGAGCTACGTGTCTGCGCTCAAGTCGCCCGGTTTACTAGCGTATCTAAAGGAGCAAGGAATCACGAACTTGGTGCTAGCGGGTCTGAATACCTCGGGCTGTGTGCTGCGTACGGCGTTCGCGGCGTGTGACGCAGAGTTTGTGGTGACTGTGCTGCGGGATGCGTGTGCGGATCCGCAGATGGATGTGCATGAGACGCTCGTGCGTAAGGTGCTGCCGCATCGGGGGTATGTATTTTCGGCGAGCGAGTTCCGTGAGGGGTGGGTGGAGGGTACGCTGGGGAGGTGAGGTGTATGGGTGATGCGGCTACTTATTCAGGATGGTTAACGGCAGATGGGCCAGCTCGCAGCATTGGGTTATGCGGTGAGATGGGGCTCCTAAAGAGAGCTTAGGCGTCTTGTAACGTTTTATTTTGGGCTGCGCTGGGATTCGCCTACTTGGACAGCATTGCGGAATCTGAGGTATCACGGAACAGGAGCAGTCGCTTTTCGACGATGGAAAGCCAAGTCCCGCAAAGATCTGCATAGAGGGAAGAAGCAGCGAAGTGTTTGAGGAAGTGGATGTTCTCGCTGGCAGGCTTGAAGAGATTCAGTTCGGCGTATCTTGTGCTCGTTGGATGAGAACTATTTGCGTCGGATGCGCTGGTTCGAAATGAACGAAGAAGACTTATCGAATCACGCGGGACTTTATGCACGCTTTTTCAAGAGAACTTTGCAGCTAAGCTAATAATATGATCTTGTAGCTCGTTTGTAGCGTCTGGCTACAAGGGCTATTTGTACACAGTGTCCACCTACACTTGACCTCTTTTCAAGGCCGGTAAACACAACATATGAAAGTCTTGCATGGAACAGATTATTTAGATATGGAGGGGGGGGGTTAAAAAAGATCTAACTGCGTTCTTTACAGATGAAAACATCTGCGAAAACGCCAATCAAACAATAACAAACGTAGCAAACTCAAGCCAAATTCGTAAATTTCCCCCAGTCCAATCTGTATAAACACCAGTACGAGGTATTGCATGTAGTTTCGGTATCCTGTTTCCAGGAGCGAGACGTCCAGAGATATGCTTGTGTCATTTCAAAGTCAGATTTGCAAGGTCTAGGAACAAATTGCCGGAACATTAGGTTTTTGATATCGTTCAGTAGACTTATAAGATGGGACGATATGAATTAGACTTGACTAGCTTGCTCACAACAGTCTGTAGCGAATTTTTTTCTTTTGCTGTGCCCTTGATGCTATTAGCCATGTCGTCTTGTCGCAGCAATGGAACGTGAATAGTCGGGTATCAGAACTATAGACCGCATGCCTTACACTGAAAATAGAACAAAAGCAACAGAAATTCGCCCTAGATATCAAAACTATTCGTTCTCAGCATGACGCTTAGCATGTGGACTGCGATACGCGTCACTCGGCATGGTGTGTAGTCGCTTCAGATCACGTGTTCAGCAAGCGCCACAGCCGACCCGCCTCTTGGCAATTCGTTTGTAATTGGTCGTATAATTCCGCGTGTGTACTTGATTGCGATGCTTATTTCAGCCTGCACTACAACTAAGAAAGGGACTGGGAACTAGACACTAACCATGAACAGTATCGAAACCTGGCTGGGGGCTAAAATACAGTAAGGTTAAGTATGCTTTGATTGAAGTTTTTGAAAATTACATTCATACACATGAGTACATGTGTTGCAGCTAGACTGCTACATGGATAATTCAAAGACCAAGGAAGAGGTGATAAGAATGGAAATGGTATAGCATGTCGATGTTTGAGCTCTAGACTATATTACTATTTCGATCCACCTGCAAAGTCGCGGTTGGGGATGCATCTAATAACTACTTGACCCGCTCATTTCTACTAAAATACCATGCCACCTTTAATTTCTCAAGATGAATAGTCTAAGTATGTGATACCTAGGAAGCCTAGAAAATGAGTAGAGAAAAGACTAATTACTATATACTGCTTTTACTACTTTCTACTAATCACGTTATAGCGACTAAAGCTCTAAACAATTAGAATTTACCTATTGTCACTGCTGGTAGTTAGGCTATGGTATGTTCTGCATGGAACAAAGCTCAAAATAGGCAGTTAGAGTCACCACTTACACAAATCCAAAGGTATCAAGTGCACAAATATTGGCTCGGAAGGTAGGTGTATGCTCCTCGTTTAGGTAACTATCAACAGCTACAAATAGAGGTATATCGAAATAATCGAGTAGGAGCCTCTAGAACATTGTTAGCTGTCGATTGTCTTGTGAAGTCGTAAAAAGTCGTATATGTTGATTAGGTCTGACTTGCAACTCTCTACTTACAAAAAACCCAGTGCTTTTTACTAAAGAGTTAGACTAAGAATATGCTGTGCGCTAAATTGTTCTGTCTTTCCCTCTTATAGACTAAACAGTTTTCTAAAGTTCTCCTTACTCTGCTCTAAACTTCTTATCGTATAAATAGGCTCTACTAGACTAGGGGAAATATATAACTGTAACGGCGCAGGTAAGGCAGGTCGGATCTGTTTCAGTCGTAGGATCACTTAGAGGCATATGGGAGTGCGTGGGATCACAAAGAGCCTAGATTCAACAAGCCACCTATAGGCCTTGTACGAAAGGATATCAAAAGTCTACAGAGCTAGCTATAGAAAGTGTCTCAATATATACCTATCCTAGTTGGGTCTAAATTCAGATCCAACCTTGGGCGAATGGCTAATAAAGGGCGGCAGGTACTTCCTCTAATCTGGCTCTGGGATTAGCTTAATACTTAGCGAAGTTATAACATCGTTACACTACCCCCCTCTTAGTAGACAGCTAGTCCTATAGCTATAAGACTCTCTTATGCCTTTTTGTTGCAGTTCCCCTGCGCTATTGCAAGTAAACTATTTTAGGTGTCCTTTAGCTTAGTTACATACCTAAAAAATCTTTTTCTTTTCTTTCCCTACACTTAATTATCTTGTAGTAACGTTATGTTATCTATGCCCTTCTCCTACGCTTAGATCTACTAGCTAAGGGCCTAAAGGGGTCCTAGCTTAGATAGGTTTTGCTTATAGAAGTCTCTAAGCTTATGTAGGGCTCTTATAAAATTTAAAGCAGGGTCCTAAGTAGGATCCAGATTGTGTCTAATCTAGCTTACTTAGTATTTTAGCTTAGAACAATATAACTTACTAGCAAGGATCTAGTCTACTTCCTATTCTTCTACACCTTAGATAGGTACGCTAGGGGGCTTAAGAGCTTCTTGTCCTAGGAGGGGATCTTAAGGGTCCTTACACAACAGGTCTAGAGCAAAAACGTTGTGGATTTAGGATTCTATTAGTAGTTATAGTTAGTAAGAGTAACTAACCTTTTTAAGAACCTTAAAGGGGCCTTCCTATCTTACAGCAAGCTTCTAGCTTAGACAGTTAATTGCTAGGTTCTTAGTATCCAAGAACACTATATCGCTAATGTCCTAATTAATAAGGCGGCGATGGCGATTAACAGCAGATCGCATCTAGTCCTAGGCCTTCTCTATCTACTGCTTAGCGGTGTCCTATGCGGCATATATGCAGGTGGCGAGCGCTAGAGCATCCTTATAGTTAAGTTTATTAGTAGGTGTAAGGATGCTAGTAGAGTGCTTCTAATTCTAGCTCTACCTAGGTTTAGATCTATAAAGGATCTAATACAGGGACATGCTAATAAAAGAGTGTGGTAGGGAAATTTAGGCACGATTGATTAAAGGCAGCAGCCTACTCTAATTGTCCTAATAATAGGACACGAATAGACGTAGTCTCTAATTAATGTATTTGTTCATAATCTCTGTCTAACTATTAGTTTCCTTATAGTAGGCGGTGGATAGCTTAACTTTAACGCCTAGGATTTAACAGAACTTAGACTAGAAACTAGACACAAACTGTGGTCCATAATTAGAGATAATAGTCTCTAGGGTGTGTCTAAATTAATACACCCACTAGACAAAGAGTTTAGCTATACCCCTTACATTAATTGTCTTGTAGCAAGGGATAGAGATAGCCTACTTAGACAACTAGTTATTATTATTATTATTATTATTCTAGTTTAACGTCCTTTTTCAGGCTAAAGGGCTATATAAGACGTATAGGGTTTTTAGGCCTACAAGTATCTAAGTAGGTTGTTTCTAGCTACGATATTTAGGAGGGGTTTTAACTAGATAAAGGTGAGGCTCGTAGCCTATTGGTGGGTAGGTAGGGGGGGGGGAGGATAGGGTGGGGGAGGTGTATGGCTACCTATTACAGGTATTACTCCTCGTTTTCTGTGTTTCCCTTGTACCAGGCTTGTGTTCCAGCCTTTGTTTCTTGAATAAAGGTAAGAGTTGCTTCTATACCCTCTTTTGTTTAAAGGAGGATAGGTAGTGATAGATCGCCTTCGCAGGCTTCTCTTAGTCCTTTACTTTCCTCTCTATATAGATTACATCTAAATAGAATATGAGGTAGGTCTTGTATAGACCTATAGTTGCAGGGGCAACTATTAGAATCCACTTTCCCTCTCTTATATAGGTAGTCCCTTAAGTAACAGTGCCCTAGTTTAAGTTAGTAGAAAGCGCTAGAAATCTCTCTTCTAGTATTGCTAGGAATAGCGATTTGCTTT